GTTCCATGCCGTGGTCACCCACGGCGTTGCTGCAAAGGCGACGGCCGCAAACGCAGTGACATGTTCGTTGGTGCTGCTGCGCAGCCCCCACCGTGCGAAGCAGGGAAGGGACCAGGTGAGAACTATCTCCTATGCGAGTCCTGTGGAGTGGGGCAATATGCGGTGGCTGGTGGCTACTGCCAGGGATGTCCTCCAGGTGGGGAACTGATGGCATTTTTTGGACCAGGAAATTTTTGCCAAACAAAACATGTCAGCTTGCCTCAGCTTCAGGTTCGTCTCCCTCTGAACGCCGCGGTACATGTGACCAGTGTCCTCCTTCTCATTACTCTGTGAGCGGTCTCGACGGTTGCTTTGCGTGCAACTTGCCGCTGCTTTTGGTGGACAACGAGTGTGCTTCTTGGCAGTCGACAAGGCAGTTTCAAATCTCACATATGTTTTCATGCAAAGGCATGCCAGTTTGGGGCAGGAGATGTATGCCACCATAGCCACCTCAGAAACAGTGGGTCCAAGACCCGCTACCGCAAATACCTGCAGTTCCAACCCCGCAATGGACATGCTGAGGTGTGGTGGCACTTGCCGCTGCTGGCACTGGGCTTTGGGGGCCTTGCAGTTGCTTTCACCTTGCTGCGTGCATGGCTCTGGGCCCGAAAAGCCAGGAACGCGGAACGTATCATGGAAAAACTCTACAGCGAGTTGTGGGATGCTTGGACCTGGGGCCACGGATTTTTTTTGGGAGGTTACTTGGTAGTATATAATCAATGAACTTATATAGTTATAAGTTATAACTTATAACTATTAGAATGTATTAGAATTAGGTAATTTTCAATCTAGTACATTCTATACTATACCTGACTTGTGCAGAAATGGGTCTGTCTGAGTTGGTCCAGGAAGTTGTTGGAATTGGATGTCTCAGGGTGTCAATGAGAAATTGCAGCGTTGGGGTTTTGACACCGAGATTGATCCATTGAATGAGCAAAACCGAGTACCGAGTTTTCTTGCTCTTGAGGCTTTAGAAACTTTAGAAAGAAGTATGAAGAGCTACAGTTTGCCTTTCAGCATTTTGCAGCATTTTTCCAGCGGCGCAGAAGGGGGATGTTATTTGTGGTCGCGGTCATTCCATTGGTCCATGTCCATTTGGTGAACTTCTCAGGATGAGGAACCCGACACAGTGGCCACGTATGCGGAGAAATTGCATCGCGTTGGATTTGGCGACGCAAAAATCGATCACAGGATTTCTGCAATGCGTGCGCAGCAGAGCCACAGGGCTGGTGTTCCTGAGTTGCACCTATAGGCACTTCTTGAGGAATGAAGAGTGGCAGAGCACAGAGATTTCTGCATTCTGCATTTAAAAACCTCGGAGATATGTTCTTTCTGCATTTTTCTTGAAAATCATGCTTTCAGAGTCAATTGGGTAAGTATATAGCCTCTAGTTTTTTGAAACATGGTGTGCTGGAACCTCCACCATTTACTTCCATGATTTTCCCATTTAAACAGTATAGTGTTTTTTTGATTTTACACCAGGGCATGTTCAGGTGAGTATTGGATATCTCCTCTCGACGGAGTTTGCAGAACTGGCCATGCATCGCACCGGCAAGGATGACCCAAGCTTCATAGACGCTTGCAGAACTGCCGTGGTTCCACTGGAAGCAGTTCTCAAATTTTAAAGGAATCTCTAACATTAAAAATAGACAGACTGTCGGATGATCTATATAAAAATATGTTCCAGAGTATGCCCTTACCCAGGCCTGCAATACAAGACTCTTGTTCACTGGTTTAGATATTTGCAAAACCGATTGTGTTGGCAAGGGCAGCCTCTGACCAAAGGAGATTGAGCCATAGCCGTGTTTTCATAGCTCGGCAGATTGGTTCCCTAGGACATGAAAACCGCCTTCTGGCTGGCAGAGGAACCTATTGGTCGAGACATCATCTGCCCTCGAGATGGTAGAGCGGGTTGTGCATTAGTGGACTGGATACCACGTAAAGAGCGCCGGGAGCAGACACACTTTATGTCCTGGACATGGAAATACAGTCTGCTGCAGGTGCAAGTGACTGCAAATGGGTGCATTTTGGAGGGGGCTGCCCCAAACTATTGCCATTTTTGTGAATGTTCTTTGGGAATAGTTTAGGTGATTTTCTCAGGGGTGATTGATTTTCCATATTCCCAAATGTTCTATCGATTGAGCATTTTGTAGATTTTAGGGCAGCTGTCCGTTTCTAATGATTTCTGAGCTCACGTGCGCACAAAATCGAGGTTCGCTGTGCGTTGAACATGTTTCAGCGCAGCTACAGCACCGCTGGTCTTGGAGCAACGAGCGTCTTCTTTTTCATGTGCTTTTTCGTCAACAACCAATACAGGCCCCTGTCAAGTTGTCCTTCAGATGTCAGCGATTCAAGGTGACATCGTAAAATGCAGGCTAAGTCAAGGAAATCACCTGGGGGTGCAAGCGTGTTATTTTCATGGGTCAGATTGTACTTAGCAGTTGTAGTCACCATACATTGGGGTATTACAGCCTCTCTAACTAGGGAAACAAAACCCACTGACAAACTGGAACTGCGTTCTCAAGGAAGGCACTGAGGCATAGCTACGACCATTTTGAGCATGACTTGGTCTTTACTCTGCTGCTTCCCTGGAAAGGCTTATTGTGGAGGAGTCCGCCAATGGTAGTGATAATCTGGAGAAGCTTTTCGAGGGCAACCTGCGGCGCATCGGACGGATGGTGGCCATTTTGGATACCTGGGACCAACCGCTCTATCTAAGTCGTGTCTGGACAGTGTACGAGCAGTTCGTGGCCTCCACTCTTCAGATCCAGGCGCCGAGTGGGCCGAGAGGGCCGGGCGTCTGAGGAGATTTGGGAGCCATAATTAGCCTTCATCAATGCTGCCGCCATCCCCCTTTGATGAAAAAGGACGAATGCGTCAACAACAAAACGGCAGATATGATATGACTGACCAAGCGCTTTCGTTTGAATAGGGTTTCTAGATGTCTCTCTGTTTGTGTCTTCCTCTCGCGTTCGAAACGAAACAGGCACTCAGTTTCTCTCCCCATTCCACCCATATTGTCCTTCAAAACTGCGGATGTCCCAGGCTCAGAATTGGGGACTTCAAATCCGCTCAGTTGGTGTACTTCAGTAAACGGGATGGATCCAAGATCATGCAGTAATGACTATCGGTCAAAAGAATTCTTTACCAGTGGATGTCAACAGACGGGTATCAGAATTTTGACCCACTTGCTTATATGGGTATACCTGTCAAAAGTGGATATCCGATATCCCCCCTTGAAAGTATCGCTTCCCAAGGTTTCCCAATTACTACACGTGATTCAACCATCTCTGCTTTGACCGTGAGCCATCGCCGCAGGTGCAGTTCGTCCTGCCCAAGGCTGCCACGGATCATTTGCAGCGGAAGATCTCATGTGGCTCAGCAGGGATCGATGAGGTTATCGAATCCCTTTCTCAGGTGAATTCCAGACAAGCCAAAGCGTGGAAGTTGGCAGATGAAATGAAGGTGAAACTTGGCCCAGATTTGATCAGTAAAGAACATGAAAGAGCCTCATCTCATTGCCCTCAAAAGTACTTGATCTTCTTTATTCGTCTTTGATTTGCTTTGGATTTCGTGGTTTACTTGGAATCCCTCAATGCAGTTCTCCTGGCAAGGAAGTCATTGATCCAGGCGCGGCAAGGCTGTGTGAGGTTGCAACTGTCACTGGATTGGTGTTGTTGGAAAACATGGTTGAGAACCATTGGTATGGATCGGTATGGTACAGGTATGTGTACCATTAGGGATAGGGGTTGGGTAAATGATGCTCTGACCCCAATTTTTGACCGCAGCCAAGGTGCTAGTAAGGGGAATCATCCCCAAATGGCCTAAGTGTTCAGAGTGGTGGATTATATTATATAATTCATCCAGTAGAAAGGATTACTAGCCAGTATAACCATGATTAGCCATTATTACCCTCTGGTTATTTAACATAGCTATGGAAAATGGCCCATTTCTAGACGATTTATGATGATTTACCACAGGGTAACCATTATTATATAATCACTATTTATCGACCCAGAATGGGTTCCTCTCAATTTTGCCTTCATCCCATGGCCCCTGTTGGGAAACTGCAGGAGACCGTTGGCTTTCGGCACGTGGATTCTCACGTGACGCGCGTCATGATTACGTGGATTGGAGATGTGATGGTACAGACCTGCAAACAGTTTCTGACTCAGATGAGTGAGCATTTTCAAATACACAGAAACTGTTATGGGCTAGACTATAACCCACTCATCTGAGGTTATTTGAAAATGGTTACTGTAGCATTTTTCCTATTTGGGCTTACAATGGGTTATAGTTATAGAAACTGCGGCATGTCGATTTCGATGGGAACATATTTGCAAACACCCAATTCATCCCTGGCGGTTCATGGGGAGTAGTTTGTTGAACGGATCAAACGGGGCTATCATAATTGAATGGGAATCAGTATCAACACATCAGCAGAAGTGGATGAAAGAGTACTTTGGGCACGAAGTCGCAGAACACTGAAGAAACAAAGTAAGTAACATGATCAACTATCCAAAGATGAAACACATTTAGCAGTTGGATTAAGAATGCAGTTTCCATGCTGGCTCAAAGAGTTTGAACGATGTTGGCACAGACAGTTTTTGACATCATTTTGACGTTCCAATCAAGGGCTCTGAGGCTGTCCTGCCAAGGTTACTGGACCAAGCTCTTGCCGAGAAGGTCTCGGAAAGCCCGTGTGGCAGTGAGGCGCTGGCGGGGGCTGGGAATGTTTCGAATGATCCCTTCAAGTAGCGATGATTTCATGGGTTTCTGGGTCTATGGACAAGATAGCAACGATTTCCACAGGCCCTCCAAGTTGCACATGCTTGCGCCTTGCGGTGTAGCAAGTTTTCGCCAGTTTTGCTGATGTGGTTGGATTTTCTTCTCGAAAGTCTCATTATGTCTACTCTCTGGTGCCCGGACCCTAGCACCTTTGGGAAGGCATGGAGCAAAGACGTCCGCAGCGTCAGCGAGAAGATTTTTGGGATCTGAATGGCAACTTGTGAGGTGAGCCCCGTCTCATTTGCAAAGACTGCCGATGGATGATGGATGACAGTTTTTAAAGGAGTATGTCCAATCATCATCCATCATCCATGTATGTACAGTACGCTCCATGTACTTTAAGGAGCATGATGGATGAATTGCCGATGTATGTACAGTACGCTCCTTTCTTTTGCTGAGCATGGCCAATTCATTGCTTTTGACGCCCCAGCACGGCCACCAGGTGGGAGCTGGCTGACGAATTCACTGTGCTTGGCAGCTTCAGTGTGCCAGAGTCAAACAAACATATACTATATTCTTTTGTAATGATGACTTGAATTGTCAAAGATACACTTAAATCATTTTCTTGCTCTACGTCATCAAACGCTATATGGGACTGAAGCAACTCTAACGAGGGTTTGTTCAGGAACACGGTATACCCCCACTTGATCACCTTGGGAAATACCGTTGACAATATCAATGGAGGAAATTTGGCACCCCATTTTTTGATGGATCCATGATTCAATTGTAAGCATTGGAAATTGCAACAAAACCATCATTGTCTCTTCAACGATGCGTTGCACCAGATTTGAAACACGTCATGCGGTTCAGTGGGTAAATTGGATATGAAAAAGCAGTAAACATCTTTGTCTTTACCACCTCAAAGCTGAACGCACCATTCTCTTGGAACTATGGCATGGCACTGCATGGTACATTTCTTGGCACCGCAACGGGTCGTTTCGCCAGGGTTTTTCCGCAGGGACCGCAGCTTTGTGGTGCCAGAAGTGCAGACCCCCTGTACAGTGCATGCGGAGGACCCCTTTGAATTCAACCCAAACAGGGCTACGCGGCTACGTGCCCGCAGGGCCCGGAAAAAGAAGGAACTGCGACATGGCGACATGGCTTGGCTTGGCGGTCTACAACCTTGTGTCTAGAATTGATCTCTGGAGGATGACCGGATGACTGATCGCAGCATTGTGCAGATGGGTCTATACACATATACATACATGTTTGAAAGTTTACAGACAGATGACAAAGAGGAAACTCTTTCCCGGCATTGTTGCCTGTTGGTTTTGCGCATTCTTGCAGCTGTTGACTCTAGGATTTGTGATTCCTGCAAGCGACCATGCTCCTTGAGTGGAAACCATGATGCTCCAGCCATGGATGTTGGCAGGTGTGTCTGGTGCATGGAAGCCGAACCCCCACGGCATTGCAGTGGGGCCACTCAGATTTATGCTGAGCACAGGGCAGAACAATGGGTCAAACCTGACCCGCAAAATGGAAGCTTCAGTAGTGAACATTAGCAGATATTAGCAGATTCTCCGTCTATGTAGCCCAATCCCATATGGCTATTGAAGGCTATTGGTCAAAACTTACGATGATACCATATGTTTTTTTGGGGTGAACATCCATTTGCCATCATTTCACAACTACATTGTCCAATCCCAATTTCACAGCACTTCAAACATGGTCCAATTGTTTGCGAGCAGTAGCAGTGCTTCACACCAACTTGGGTGGGAGATGTTTCATCATAGAGATTCAACCATCCCCATTTCAGTAAACCCTGCAATCATACAAGGGCAGTGAATGTTAGCATATAAGCCCTTAAAAAGTGGTTTCTAGTGGTTGAGATCCACCCTTGTCAAAGCCAACAATTGAGGATCCAACATGATGTTCCATCTTAATGTATCTTAATTTCACTAAAAAAAGACACCCTTCACACCACTTTTTGGGCCGGATGAATTCCCATTTTATCTCCGCCAGGGGTGAGTCACCTTGCCATTGGGGTCAGGCTCACCTATGACCTCGCCAAGGGTGGCTGGCCCATCTTTGCCTCATGGGCTGGGCCGCTTCGCTCAGGAGCAAGCTGAAAAGTCTGGTGACATCCTGGTTTTTATGGGATATCCCATAAAGAACTGGATAAACTGCTGGCAAATTTGGATAAGATATACATTTTCCATGGAGAAAAACTGATGATAAACCATGGGAGTGTAAAGCAAGTATATGGGCGTTTCTGAAAATGGACCCCAAGTATCATCCAAGTGATTTCTGGGTTTTTAAGTCGGGATACCAATGGTGATAAAGGGCACCTTAATTTGAGAAACACCCATATATAGCTTGGGGATTTATTCGGTGTCCCAGGCGGCCAGATGCGGTTTCCAGCAAAGAAAATACCAACGTTCTATCCATACAGTCCTTGCAGGGTACTCAACGGGGTGAAAATAGTTGATCAACAGGTACATTCAACAAATGCTATTCGGGTACTTGGTACATCTTTAATCTTTCTGATTTGTGTTGATCACTCTGAGACTTTTCCCATCTTTTCTCCCCACCGGAGGACCGTCCAAGACGGGCGCGGAGAAAGCGAAGCCAACGTACACGCAATCTTCGCGCGCTACCATGGAGAAGGCAAGGAGGATCAAAAGCCCCCAGATTTGGGTGAAAGCGACCTAGCTGCCACCACCATTGGTACAACATCTCCAAACATCTCCAAACTATTCAATTGAACACATCAGGTGAGCTGTTATCATTCTCGTTGATGAACAAGAGGGGTAATCTCCTTTTTTGCAGCTAGTCTGGGTTGTGTATTTGACTTTTCAATTGACAAATCTTGCCCCAAAGCCAAGCCTAAATCTTCTTTCCTGAAGCATTGAATGTGCTCCCCTTGAGGATGACTTAGAAACACCATTTGGCCCAGTGTAAATTCCATGAAATTCCATGCATTCACCATTGATGTCAGGGGCCCACCAGTTATGAGTTGGTTTATAAGCCATTAAAATTACAAGCCCCATTGACTATAGATATATCATGTTATATCTACCATAACCCTCCATGTCAGGCTTTGTTTAAGCTGAAGCACGACCAAGAGGACCTCGGCGACGAGCACGTCTTGCGCACCGTGATATCTTCGGTCGAGGAGAATGGCGACAACACCCGGGTTCAAAGCGTCATTTTTCACGTCTGTGCTGAGAAGGGTCCTGATGGGGAATCTGACAGCGACATTTTGGAGGCCATGGAAGAAGGCCGGAGAGGGGAAGTTGTCACATGTTGTGGAGGTGTGTTGTATTTGGATGCTGTGGGGTGAAAGTCTTGTAGAAGCAACCTTACACATTTTTTTTTGGGGTTCCGAGAGCCGAGAGCCTGCAAAAGCCAAAGTTCCATTTACAGAGAAACAGGTCCCTGACATGCCCGTTTTCAAGGTACTGTCGATCTACAAATGGATTTTCCAGCCAATCATCTTTGATTGCCAAGTTGGTGAGCATGGAACCAGGCCCAGGTATATAGTTACTTTTGACCGCAATCTCACCCTAAGTTCGAAATGAGTTGGGTTGGAAGTTGGAAGTCCTTGCAATTTGTGCCTGGGAAACTACCTTACAAGTGGAAATTCGAATAAGGGGAAGGGTGACATCCACCTCCTACCATCTAGACCATTCTCTGCATCATATCCCTGACTCAGTGTATTCTAGGACCATTTTTCATCAACTCCTGCCCCTACGAAGTAGTAATCCCATCCTCATCAAAAAAAATGAGGCACCCCGAAATGAGATCCAATACTCAACTGGTGTTTAGTCCAGGCGTTATGGAGACCCGCAAGTCCTTGCGCTTTGTGACGTTGGTCCATCCACTTCTACAACTCACCGCCCCTTGGGTTTCGGATGTTGGATCATGGGGCCGGTGGGCGGAGGTCGTTTAAAGAGTGCTTGTGGTTTTGAGAACTCGAAAGAGCTCAAATGGATGTTCCCAGGGCCTTCTCTTAAATCTCACCATAGTCATCCAGGTTTGTCATAAAGTACCTTATTATGGTTTATCATTGTTTCCCCGTGTTTTTTGGGCCATAACTTGCTGAGTTGAGGATAACGGTGCCTTGATTTTTCTGCTGCCACAGAGTGAAGCAGCAGATAGCAGCTGTATGCGCTCGGCTGCCCATAAAACTTCGAGAATTGTTGATCAAAATCCTTTGAGTATCTTGGCATTTGCTGAGTCAATGCTTTTTTGATTTTCCAATTGGTCAATAGGGAATCTACTGGGAATAGTTTTCAATGGTGAACACGTATGTTGACTGATCTATTTCGAATGGAAGGTAATTGTATAGTGGTATGCACATCAACAGCTAAACAGCTTGTCCTTTGGGTTTAGAAGACTGAAGACTTCCAAGCCCTTTAGCTGCACTCATCTTGTCGCAGAATTGGATGATGAGAAAATTCAGAGGAAGCCCCAAATATTCCCTTTAACCAATCCATGGATCATGGATTTAGCAGCTTTGTTCAGTTGCCGAGGACATGCAGATGGCGTTCCCTGCACCTTTGCCCTGCAGCCGCAGCAATGCGCTGAAATCAATGCGCAACTGATCTTGAGGCCGGAGCCATCGCCATGTGCCGCAACACTTGGATGATTTTTCCATAAAGGGGACCGTCATCAAATTTATAGATGACCCGTGGCATGCATTGTTTTCTCTAGAAATAGGGCATCCCTAAAATCAGCTTGTTTGTGATCATTTTCCCTATCCAAAAATACGATTTTGGTCCCCAGTTTTGGACATGACCCAAAAACATCCGCCTGGAGAAAGGCAGGTGAAATCCGGTGAACATGAAGCTGTTCTGTGACTATTCAGAGGACACAGGTAGCCCCATTGAATTGACTGTCACTACGGATGTGTATCTCGTGTTGTTGCTGCTCCCCGGCCAATTGGTCTTTGGCTCCTGCTGTCTCGTCATTTCCCCCAAAAAGATTCCACTGACGGACACTTCACAGGATCCTAATATTCCAATGGTGGAATCCTAATGGTTCCTATATCATTGATGTTCCCTCCGATGAATCATGTGATATTCCCAGATCTCAATGTTCCAATGATCAGCAATCACCCTGAGGTGGCTTGAGGAGCTTTTTAAGATGCCCAAGCAGCAGTGGAGTGCTGCAGCTGGTAGAGTGGTGCCCTTATGTGCTGCCGGCTGCATCACCAGTGGAACCAAAACATAGATGGTGGCGCAAGGTTTTCAGCTCCAATTTTTCTGGATGATGGAGAGAGTGGCAGTTTCCGGACGGACTTTGAAGTGAACTTTCAATGTTGTCTGCTGCGCAAGCAGCCGAGAGGCAGGCATATTTTCAGCATTTTCTGTGTTGGTTTGTTGATTGCTTGGTTTGCATTTGTTCGGCAGAGAAATTCGGGGAAGGTGATAATCGGTGTTCTCCTACGTATTCCCTCAGCTACCCCGCAGGCTGAAACACTACTGGTCGCCTAATGGATGCTGAGATGGGGCGCGTGGAAGGTGTGAGCAGTGCAGCTGGACACTTTGTGAACGCCTGTGGAGAAGGCCATCGCAATGTACGGTGTGAATAGGAAAGATATGTCATTCCCCATTTTTGGTGATCGAGATTTTCTGTGACCCATCAATGCTCGAGCTGCACAAATCCAGCTTATGCACCCTGCTAAAACGGGCAGGGTCCAAGACCACTTATTTGGTCAGAGAATTTCACACACATATAATATGTGTATATATATATATAAATTACAATATCAGTATTTTCGATGGCATTATTACTATTATCTTCACGGCTATTAACGTATTATTGTTTCTATTCTTCTTATGATTGTTCGTATTGTTGTCATTGTTACTATTGCTTTTAATATTACTATTATTATTAATATTACTAGTATTGTGTATATGTGAATAGTCTCTTTATAGTCTGATATTTTTGATTAACCATAATATGTATTTGACTCCAAGCATTTAGAATTATACTGGTTGGTGGTTTCACACATTTCTATGGGATAATCCTTCCCATTGACTAATATTTTTCAGGGGGGTTGAATCCACCAACCAGTATATGTCTGTATATATACTCTATATATATATACATACACATCATTTTTCCATACTGACAGGCTTTCATCCTCTCCACTCCCCTGTTCAGGCACGGTGACAGTGGAGACCACCCGGAGCGCGACGATCAGTGACACCAAAAAAGACAATCTCGTTCTTTCATTTCTGTCGGAGGTATAACATATATATATATTATAATATAATATATAACATAATATATGATATAATATATGATATAATATATAACATAATATATGAAATATTTTTGATATAATATATGATATAATATATGATATAATATATGACATAATATATGATTTAATATAATATAATATATAATATATAATAAAATAAATAATACAATATGTATAATATGTATAATATGTATAATATGTATAACATGTATAATATGTATAATATGTATAATATGTATAATATGTATATATAAACTCCCTTCCCGCCAATATTAAACATACCCCCAAACAAAGCCACTGACATGGGGGGTAGGGCGCAATTGTCGACCCATTGGGAACCAACTCCAAAAAAAGGATGTTGTTTAATCCAAACAAAGACCTTTCAGATCCCACAATATAGCCGTGGCATATATATACATATATATACATACATATATATATATACATATATATGTACATATACATATGCTTGGATATTGTAAAAGCAGGATGGTCAAGTCGTACGTTTCGTTTCGTGCCCGAACAGACCGGTAAAACTTCAGTTCCGCGTGTTCGTTGAGTCCCGGAGTATGGTCAGATTTGCTTCCCCCAATTCCGAGGTTTCAAGGTCAAAACATGTGAAAAAACGATGGTACCCGGCCTGGTAAACACACAAAAAACGATGGAAAGATCCACCATTTTTCATGGGAAAATCCACTATTTCTATGGGGTAATTTAACATAGCGAACTGGAAAGATCCACCATTTTTCATGGGAAAATCCACTATTTCGACTGGGCCATTTTCAATAGCGAACTGTTAGTTTACCAGAGGATAAAAACGATGTAACAAATTACGTGTCCAAACATGTAAAACCCTATGGTTTTCTGCAGATCTTTCCATTTTTTTCGCCTGAACCTTCCAAAACGCTGGGATTTCCTGCCCTGGCTCCAGCGGCTCGGAAGTCATGGCGCAATTGGGTGCCTCGTCATTGGAGGTGCTGCGGAAGCTCAGCATCTCCCGAAACCAGACCGAGGCGGGGATGGTGAGGCTATGGCTATGGAAAATCTATGAAAAACTATGAAACATGGCATTTTTACCTTGGGTTTAAGGATGAGACATGGTACTGTAAATGGAAATAATGGAGATATTTTGATATATATTTAATATATTTTAATGAAATATGGTTTGAAAGAGGTTTGTAGGATGATGTATTAAAGGGCTGTTCACATCGCAACATCATATGCATATTATAAGGACATTACTGCACGACGTCACTCCAACTGCTGGGATAGGTATGGGCAACTATCCCCTAGTTAAGCCTTAGTTCAAGTTGGTGAGCCATTAAAATACATCCACATAGATATTCATCATGTATACCCTCTGGTAATTTAACATAGCTATGGAAAATCACCATTTTTAATGGGTAAATCCACTATAAATGGTGATTTTCAATAGCTATGTTAAATTACCAGAGGGCACACTCCGCCAAAGAAACCAAGCACCATCCTGTTTTTTTTTTTTTCGTATGTTGAAATCAAGCTAGGCATGTAACGACATCAGAAAACGGCGCAAAAAGGACTAAGAAGCACCTAAATGGAAACAGAATAACAAGCACCCAGGAACCAACATCGTTTTGCAATGTTTGCGTGTTTTTTTTGGCTAACCAAGGGTCCTTTGACAGAGAGTATATATAATACTTAACAGTATATGATGTGTTTCCATGCTATAGTTATATAATAATAATGATAATAAACATCATAATAATAACAAACATAATAATAATAACAATAATAATAATAGTAATAATAATAATAGTAATAATAATAATGATAATAATAATAATGATAATAATAATAAATAATATATATATATAAACATGTATATAGATGTACACATGTCAAAGCAGTAGCAAAAAAGGCCATGGACCTATGGAAATCCGATGTCGCAGGAGGCTTGGGCCATTTTTCAACAAGAGGGGCTAGAGAACCTGGTAGATCTTCGGCACGCCTGGGCCAACGCCAGAGATCGACGTTGGGAGACGCTCAGCGAAAAGGGGTGAGGCTTAAAAAGGCTTTGGAGGAACCTGGGAACGTGGCACCAGGCTTCCAAATTACCAACATTGGCTTATAGTCATTGCTAGAAATGAGCGATTTTGTTGGGTCCATGTTGGGTCGTTGGGTCCGAGCACCATTTTTGAGCCACGTTCAGAAACGGGGATATGGGATTGATGATTGGCTCAACATATACGGCTCAATTTGCATGTCATGTTGTAGCCAATGATGATATGAGCCGCATAAAGCATCAATGCTATTTTTTAGGAACCGCTGGGCAAACATGAAGAGGTTTCCACGGTCATTTAGACACAACCCATACCTGACATGCATCGAAGGGAGCTCTCACAGAGACACCACAGAGATAGCTGCGACGATCGGTAGATACCAAGTTATTCATCTTGGGTGGAGGACTGCAAGAGTTGCTGCAGGACTGGCATGGGAAAAGATGAAAGTTCACTGAAATCAGGGAGAAAGACACCTCCACCGAGGTGTACGACCATCCACTGAATGAGCTCTGACGTTTGATCAGCAATCGGCTGGCTTTATATGGATGTTTCCTAAAATAGGGGTATCCCATTTTATCATCCATTTATAGATGGCATTTCAGATTGGGATTTTCCATGTAAACCATCCAGCTATTGGGGACCTCCATGACTTAGGAAACCTCCATATGCCCGTGACATGTTTTTTCATGCCCCTTCCGGAACTCAGGCGCTTGGCCCTTCCGAAGCTTGTGACAGATGAGTTGATGTGTCTTGGATCATGTGGAGCGAGGCCTTTCGTTGAGGGTTGGATAGCTGCATATGTGATGCTTTGTTTCCTCCATAGATAGCTAGATTGATTGATTGATTGATTGATTGATTCGATAGATTAGATAGATAGATGAGACTAGATGAGATTAGACCAAATTAGATTAGATTAGATCGGATCAGAATAGATTAGATGAGATAGATCATATAGATTAAATTAGATTAGATGAGCTTAGCTTAGCTTAGGTTAGATTAGAATCGATAGACAGACAGGATAGATTAGATAGATTAGATTGGATTGGATCGGATTGGGTTAAATTGATAGGATAGACAGGTCAGATAGGATAGATAGATAGGATTGATAGGATACACAGGATGGGTGGGTAGCTGTTGAACAGGTCAATCAATATGGACAGAAAGAAACTGATAAATATAAAGAACGCGACATTGATGGAAAGATAGATCAAACTAACAGTTCGATGTGGAAGATCCACTATTTGCAGATCCTTTTTCTAGGGAAATTTATGGGTTTTCCACCATTTTTTTGTATGTCTACTGGGGCCGGGTAGATCCATGGTTCAGAAAAGGAACATCGACATAGATGGATGGCTTGGTCCCTTTGGAGGTACCGCTGACATCCATTATACTGGTTGGTTAAGAACGGGATTCCCGATTCTTGGATTAAAAAAAACAACCAATACATGAAGGGTAGTATAATCCCTCATAATCATCAACCAACAGGGGTGGATCGCAGCCACTGCTCAATTGCTTCGCTCCTTCTAAAAGTCACCGTGCTTCGTCGCGACCAGGTCCTTTTTCGAGGCAGAGATGGGAATCAGCTATGGCAAGATGCTTGTGCCGCCCAAGGAACTGTGCGTGCCCGCAGGCCACGTATGGGATTGCAGTTGTACCATTGAAATCCATATAGTTCTTGGAGCAATGTTGAATCATATCATATTATACAGTAGCAACCCAAAAAGATAGAATTTAGTTTCTTGTTCCACTTTCTTTGAATCGTATTTGACTATTTTTTTTTTTGGGGGGTTACTATACCCTCAGCAAAGTGACATAGATATGGAACATCCGCCATTTGTAAATCATTTGGAACACCATGAATTTCCATAGCTGTTCGTGAGTTGTTTATCACCCGTTGTTTATCATCTTAAATCCCAACCCTTGATAGTAAAACCACAATTTTTCATTGTCAAATCCAATGTTTTTTGGCTTTGTCTGGACTTTTGAAAACCATCGGTAAAAAATCATGGTTTATCATCAGTTTCCCATAGGCTGGTAGAGTTTATTAGGGGGGTTTATATCTATAGTTCATACATGGTCTATAAGTGTCTATAAGTGTCTATAAGTCTTCAAGTCCTGGGGGGTTGTATCCTTTTTTTGTATTCAATGCATAAGTCATGCAAACACTTTCATGGTTTATCAGTTCTCTCTCTCTCTCTCTATAGTTCAATTAGATAAAATACCCCCCCAGGAATAAACTAACAATCATCAAACTCTAGACTATAAACATTTATAATCACGATAACTAGCTAGATATTTTCTAGAGATATACATAACGGTAGATATTATAGATGGATAATCCATAGTTGATAGATACGTAATATGATCAATGGGAATTCCAGGATCCTAAAATGGAGGTACGTTAGTACCATTTTTCAGGCCATATTTTGTGGGGATATTCCCTTACATAGGCCTGAAATGGCCATTGATATAATCTATAGTTGGTTAGATGATAACGCCAACCATCACTGGTCCCGCAGGTCCCGGCTTCACCATGACCACTTTGGGGGGGCAGGGCTTAGCAGCCTGGCGCTCCTGAGGGCTGGCAGGTGATTCAAGCAATGAAAACATGGTGATTGAAGCAAGAAAAAACAGTGATTTGACCAGTTAAAATGGAAATTCTATAGATTTCTATAGATTTCTATAGATTTCTGTGGATTGTCATGAATTGGATGGATCGATTCAACGCGTGTTGTGGTTTCATGAGGAAATTTGCCATAAACATGGTGATTGAACCAATGTAGAGGTGCTGTTTGATGGGACTACCATCAATCAAAATTGTGATGGGAGATGGAACCAAAGAATATGAGCAGTAGATGGGTGATATTAAATTATCGATATTCGATAGGGAAACTATCGCTCCACATCAAACTTGGGTGATATTTACCGCGAGTCCCTGAACAACTCAATCGAACGAGACAGGGCGAAAAGACAAAGGATGGTCCAATGACAGACCTCCGTGATCTTCCAACAGGAGCGAAAAGGCAAGCTGCGTTGCTGGGGGTCGAACTGCATTGAGACAGAAAAAGCGTTGGGATGTTGTTTTTTTGGGGGGCTGAATGACGGTGACCATTGAGATTCGCATTTTTCTTGTCCCACGAAGTTTGACTGCAGGATGTTTCCCCCAGTGAATACTTCGAACTCAAAGAAGTTGGGGTTTTCTGTAAAATGGTGGGTACCCCATTTTATCATCCATTTATCTAAAGTTGGGCCCCCAAACGATAGCTAAGTTGGTGAACATAACTCCAATTTCACTATGGTTTATGGATGTTTATGGTACGTAAATAACTATAGTCTATAGTCACTGGGGCGAATCTAAACCAACATTCACATCACTGGGGGGGGCCCACATTATAATAAGCATATAATCCCATTATAACCATCATCCATATATTGTAATCAAATATTACCATCATTTATATCCATATAATAACCATATAATGGTTAATAACCATATAATCCCATTATATAATCTGGTTGGTGGTTTCAACCATCTTGAAAAATATGAAAGTCAATGGGAAGGATTATCCCATATATTATTGGAAATGAAAAATGTTCCAAACCACCAACCAGTAGTTAGTTGTTAACCATTATATGGTTATGAAATATAATCCCATTATTATGGAATAACCATATTTTCCATGGAATACACCATCCATAAGTCATGGGGGATCCCCCATGACTATGGAAACCTCGGTGCCAAGGTCCCTCCATCGGCCGTACGGATCAAGCAGGCGGAGTGTGAGTTGCTGACCTTCGACCTCCCTGGTCGTGTATATGAGCTTATGGGTCATTATATATAATATAATACAGAACATAATTTAATAGAATATAATATGATTTGATTTGATATAACATAGCATAATATAATATGATATGATATAATATAATATGATTTGATACAATATAATATGATGTAGCATAATATAATATTTAGTATATATATATAAATATATCTCTTTTGTGGTAAACCCAATCATAAATCATCCCCAAGTCATCACCATCAATGTCTGGTAGAAACCATCCCCAGTCATGGTCGGTTTTTGGCATCGCTGGAAGCCCCTGGCTGAGTCTAGACCCGGAACGTGACCTCAATCTCAACACAACCTGAATGCGTTCAGATGCTGTCGTTGAGCCCAAGGACCTGGACCTCATTGAATTCTCCATCAATATGCCATTCTTGCTGGGGTATCTTCATGATCTTCATTTCTACCCTCTGGTAAACTAACATAGCTATTGAAAATGGTCATTTATAGTGGATTTTCCCATTAAAAATGGTGATTGTCTATAGCTATGTTAAATTACCAGAGGGTAGTTGGTGAAAGTTCCCACAAACAAAAGGTTCAATCCACGCCTTTAGTACTGGTGCTTCGTAAATGGGGGAATGATCCCTATAATAACCATACTATAATCATCATCCCATTCCCAGAATAAAACCATAAAGACCATCATGAAAAGACCATCATTATAAAGAGTATAAATCCATAATGACCATCAAACCATCATCCCATCATAATCTTAATCCCATTACAACCATGAACCAAAATACTCAATAATCAATGATGATTTGTTTTCACCATTAACCATTATAATAATGGGATTATATTTCATAACCATATAATGGTTAATAACCAATTACTGGTTGGTGGTTTGGAACATTTTTCATTTCCAATAATATATGGGATAATCCTTCCCATTGACTTTCATATTTTTCAAGATGGTTGAAACCACCAACCAGATTATATAATGGGATTATATGGTTATTAACCATTATATGGTTATTATATGGATATAAATGATGGTAATATTTGATTACAATATATGGATGATGGTTATAATGGGATTATATGCTTATTATAATGTGGGCCCCCCAGTTATAAATTGGTTTATAAACCCCAGTAACTATAGTTATAAGTATCATAAACCATAGTGAAATTGGAGTTATACACCAACTCAGCTAACTATGGGGCACCACCTTGTATGGTTATTATATGTTATTATAATCAATCCATAATAACCATCATTCTGCGTTTCGGGATGGTTCTCCCGCAGGTTCTGCCTGACTCCTGGGCGGATGTGCAGGCGGTGCATGCAGGTGACGAGCTGGTGCGGAAGCCCAGCCAAGAGGAAGGCAGCCGTTTTAATGGGTTTTAATGGGAACAGAATCACGAACCGCCATATTATGGTAAAAACCATGGTTTCGTTTCGTTAAGATTTTCTCTTAAACCAATCCAATGATAATGGGTTTTACTAGGCTTCCAATATCTGGAGACCAAAACTTCCCAGAATCTTGAGGGAGTTGATGATAAACCACACACAAAGTTTTTTTTTTTTTTAAATAGGTCTTTATCATTGCGTTTTTCAGACTACCACTTCAGTACCACCCTGGATTTCCGGGAAAATATGGAACACTACTTTGTTTGCTTCCTCATTGTTACTCAACTCACCCTGGAATTTGACAGAGGATTGGATTTGTTGCCATGTTTGTCTGCCATGGTCCGATGGTGGACACTTTCCTTTTTCTGTCCCCGATGGCATCCACGAGCTGGCGAAAATTGTGTGACCCTGCTTGAAGCATTTTTAAGCCATTTTCTTCTCTCCAGAATCAACGGGTGATGCCCTCTCCCACAAAGTGGGGCCCCCAAACGATAGCTAAGTTGGTGTATAACTCCAATTTCACTATGGTTTATGATACGTAAATAACTATAGTTACTGGGGCGAATCTAAACCAACATTCACATCACTGGGGGGGCCCACATTGCAGGTCAAGGTGAATGGCCAGTTGACCAGTTCCTTGACGCAGCAGCAGATCGGCCTGGCACTGCGGCAGACGCGTCCCCTGCGTTTGACGCTGGCGCGGCCCGTGACCGGCTCCCGCCCCAGCGCGGCACGGGGCTCCCAGGCGCCCAAGGCCCGGGAAGCGGGGAAGGTGCTGACGTTTGAGGCGAAGGAGGCGGATGAACGACTGGGCTTCAAAGCAGGTGGGACCCCTGGGAGCTGCCAACTGGATCTGTTGGGGTTGAGAAGTTCTATGGAGTTCTTTTTATGTTTAAAGCCGCAAAAAAGAAAAAGGTTCAGCCCTCATGACTTGGCGCGGGGGTTATGTCAAAGATTGGGTTTCATTGTTGGGTTTACCGGTTTACCACATTGTTGGAACTTGAGATTTCTGCATTGCTCGGCCTTTCGACTTCACAAACCTCAAGATTTCTGGTATAGCCACGGATCAAGTACAGCTCCACTGCAGGTGGGAAACCTCCGGGTGAAGTCTATGTGGAAAAGCTGTTTCCCAAGCTATGGGCCGAGAAGCAAGGCTTGCGCTTGAAAGATGTCCTGGAGGAGCTCAATGGACAGAGATTGTCCGAGATGTTTCTTGATTGAACTTGCCCAAGATCCGAAGATTCCGAAGGTTTTAAGGTCCATTTTGTTCAAGAGCACACAGCATGTTTTTTGTCCCAGCTGGCACAGCTTATGGACTTGTTTTTTTGTCTTTCTCAGGCTGCAGACATTGGTATATTTTTGCTATTCACCACACACTTTGCTCTGTTGACATCTTCAAAGTGTGGATGGACCTTCGCTTTCTCTCCTTTTCTGCACTGAACCCTTTCTGGCTTAACACAGAATCACATGGCTGGGATGGTCCTTTCGGCAGAGTAAGTAGTCTTTCTACCTCTGCCGGGTGCAGGATTCCACTTCCAACTCCTGAAAGAGTATTCAATAAAACAACAAACACACAATCTTAATCAGAATCAGAGTTTTGCCATCAAAACAACAGCTACTTTCAATCTGGAAGTCTCGCCATCACCCAAGTTCCAAGATTCCCCTTCAAAACCAGTTCATCAACCAACATTTTCACAACCAAAATCCCAAAAAATCCATCCTTTCCAACGGCCACCTTCCCAGGCAGCCGGAGCAACTGGATCAACTCATCAAGACGCGTCCGCTGACGCTGGTCTTCCGCCGCCGCGACGGCGGTCCGGGCGACGTCGCGCCCGGCGGTCCGGCCGGCGGCCTGGCGGCGGCCGGGGCGCGCTTGGCGATGGCTCAGAAGGTGAGGGCGTCACGATGACATCGGCATGCAGAAAAGAAAACACGGAATCAAATCCAGTTTTGCATCCAGATTTTTTCGAGGGTTAAGGACCATCTTCAGTAAACTAACATTGGAACTGGGATCCTCTGCAGGCAGTGAAGCCCAAGGCGAAGGCCGAGCCGCTGGCTCCCTCGGGGCCCTTGAAGGAGAGCGTGGATTTGGAGGTGCACATGGGGATACGGTGGATGGTTGCGAAATCCTGAGCCAGTTCATAGGTGGTAAACATCCCATTATTTCATATTATTTCCAGGCTTTCTACCATCCCAGGTGGTGCAGGATTTCTTTCTTCCAGCCACAGTAGGATAGGAGGATTCCAGAGGATTCCGGAGGATGGGATGATGCCCCCATTGCGCCAGTTGCCGGTGGGTGAGAAGCAACTGGGCTTTGTCCCTTGGGGCTTGCCGCCTGCGCGCGTCATGGTGCGTCAGGCCGACATGGGACAGGGGGGGTTCCTGGATTTGCTGATGATGAGCTTTCCATTGGGCAATCCATTGCGTATTTTTGGGGCTGATCAGCAGTTCAACCAGCAGTTCAACCAAGTTTGTGCTCATGATTTTCGAATGGTTTTTATGGTGGTTTTACCCGATTTGGCTTGACATTTCCATATAGTCGTTCCGAGCTCTTGTCGCATACCAAAGGGCACCACTGTCCAGTAGTGTTCTGTGGGTATGGGTCAAATTTCGACCTCCGAATTGGATGATCTACCGTATGCGGCCACAAAATGAATAGATCCTATACATTCCTATACTAAACCAGGGTTTTGTTTGGGCTTCGTTAGATCATTTTAGGGAATAGGATAGGATTGGTTTCAAGTGGTAAAGATGACCAGCCGTTTGTGGGTCCATTGCAACTCATTGCAACTCCAGTGACTTGACCACCGCAACCCAGTTGAAAAATGGGCTATGATAAGGGGCCGCTTTAAGCATTATGTCTTCATTTGTAAAGATTATTATCCCATATGGGTATGGATCAATACCTATTAATACCATTTTTAGGGGGATGAACATCCATTTACCAGCTATTTTGATGTTCACCAGGGGTACAAGGTTTTGACACACTGCCATATGATCCCATACATCTTGCGTACACTCCCCGTATTTCTGGTGGTTTCATTCATATGTGGCTTCTTTGAAAAACCATAGAAATGGGATGATGGTCCCCAATGACGAGCGTATTTTTAGGGGAGTGAAGCATAGAAACCACCCAGACACGATTGGTTTTACCCCATGGCAGTCTAAGACATGCTTCCCCTTCTGGCAGGTTACCGGCGCGCGTGCACAGAAGGTGGATTACTGGGCTGTTGTGCGTTGGGTCATTTTTTTGGGGGGTGTAGTCATGGCGGACTCCTAAACTATAGTCTATGTTTTTCCCGGTTTCCCCAACATGATGATTGGGATATGATTATACGGTTGGGATATACAACTCAGAGAAGATCTTGTGAAAACACTCAGAGAATGCAACAGGTGACACCCTCTGGTAATTTAACATAGCTATGGAACATCACCATTTTTAATGGGAAAATCCACTATAAATGGTCATTTTCAATAGCTATGTTAGTTTACCAGAGGGTACTCGTATACTCCCCATTTCAGGCCATAAAAATTTCGAGGGATGATGATGGACCAATGGATTCAACTCGTCCCTGCAAGTCATTTTTAACACAAGGCTCCAACATAGAAAATATGACATCAACTATGTTGTACATTGTAGCGGATATAGATTAATACCGTATTAATAGCCTTATTTGGGGGATGAACATCCATAAATCCACCTATTTTGATGTGAACAGAAGGGTACCAGGGTCGGGTTTTGATCCATAGCACATGTCATATACCAGATATATGGTGCGTAAATAATCCTCACATGTCACCAGTCAAACCCCAATGACCGTTGTGTCAATCATCACTCCTCAATTTTGTGAAATCTCAATCTTTCCCAAGGTCCTACACCAGAAATTGATTACAATTTTCACCAGACCTAACCTCATTTCACCATATGACAAACATCTTATTTCACCCACATCCCCAGGTTAAGTCCACAATCTTTGGTTTGTGGAGGGTATGATGAATTGTGGATGAAATCATCACTCCTCAATGTGCTACCCTCTGGTAATTTGTTACATAGCTATTGAACATGGCCCATAGAAATAGTTGCTTTCTCTATGAAAAGTGGTGATTTTCCATAGTCTGAAAACGTAGAGTTAGTAGATATTCTCTTAATTTTATAGTAGATTTTCTCTATTACCTATAAATGTTAGTTTTCCAGAGGGTATACAGTATATCCATAGTTATGGGGGTGATATCCCCCAAAATGGAGGTTATTACCATGGTCAAAGGCATTTTCCCCAACGGAAAGTAGGGAAAAATGATGATGGTGAGGCTAATCTAATGCTCCGGTAATGTAGCAATGGCCAATCGCCGATTTACATAGTTCGATGAGTTTCCCTTTTGCACCGTAAAAATGGTGGGGACTTCGCATTGCTCGATTACCGGAGGGCATATTGTAATATCTAAATTAAATATAATTATGATAAATTATATACAATTATAATTAATTATATATAGTTATATATATATATATCTATATCTATTCCCATAAATGCATCATATCTTCCACAGCCTGTGACCTGGTTACCTTTTCAGGCCTTGCTTCAAGTGGGCCATGAATTGGCGGAGGTCAATGGAGTGCACGTGCGAGACATCCCCAGGGTGGAACTGGAGAGGACGGGACCGGGGGTTTTCAAGCGAAATGCCCAAGTTCCAAGGGGAAGTTCCTCATTTTTTTTTTTGGCTTACCCATGTGACACCATGGTTCCCACCAAGTGATTTATCTCACATTTTCATGGATGAGATGGATGAGTGCTACTCAGATGGCATCGGGAATGATTTACAGTTATTTATAATTGGGTGTTTCCACACTAAGGCTTGGAAGAAACATCAGTGATGGTACCAATGGAATACCATCGCTGGAACCATTGGTTTCCTGAAAAAAATCATTCTGATTAATCCAGCAGAGAATTGGACACATTCTGATGATATCTTGCTGCTGATATCGAGTTCTTTCTCCAACAAGTCTCAGGTTCTTCCCCAAGTTTCAGCATTCCGAAGTATCATTTTTTTCAACTCTAAAAGCCTAAACTTACCATCTGGTTATTTAACATAGCCATGGAAACCCACCATTTTTGATAGGTAAATCAACTATAAATGGGCAATTTTCCATGGCTATGTTAAATAACCAGAGGGTAAGTCTTCCGATATCTACAATCTCCAAAACATCCTAAGCCAAACTCCCGACTTTTCCCGATCTCCCAGTTGGGCTACCGCCCCAGTGGCACAAAAAACCGCTCGGCAGGACGCTGCTGACGCGACCTCTGAAGCTCCACTTTGTGGCCAGCGAAGCCTCGGCTGGAGTGACTTGGGCTGTGGAAAAGGCAGGTTGTGAAGGGAAACAACTCATGAGTTCATAGGAAAAGCCATGAGAAGTTTTTTTTTCTTTTTCAGGGGATATATATATATATAGATTCAGCAATCATAGTTAGTTTGATCAGTTTGAATCATACAACGAACTCTTGGAGAACAAGGAACAGGGACCAGTTCCATGAGATTGTTGATTTTTTGGAGAACGTCCAATGTTAGAGTCAAGTGATATTAGGATGCAATTAGGGAGCCATCTGCAATTTTATGTCACTTCAATCTAACAATCATTTCCAGACCAAGGTCCTCTTCAATGCTTCTACTTTTTGTTGTGAAACAGCTTGAAGTTTGGCCCATCAGCCGGTTCACAGCAAGACGGACAGAGGTTCCACTATAGTAAGTTGTCCAAGCATCGACATGTCTGAAAATGAGGCCGTGTCCCCCAAACACGGCTTAAATAGAGCACCGCAAGATCCAGTTTATCATCAATTTTCCCATTAAATACCCATTTTGGTGGTATACCATGAGAAACACCCATTCTGAGACGCACCCATTTATAGAAATAAGGAACATAATGAGCAACTAGTGGATGGGGCTTTCCAGTTTTAAGATTCGAGGCCTTTGCCGTGCCGTCCGCGAGAGACGCTGAAATTGAGGATGAAGAGGCGAAAGATGGCGAAAGGGAGGGGTGGAGGCCTCCCAAACTGGGCGTTGGTAACCCTTTGATGGATTAAACTCCGCTTCAGCAACTACGGCTCAGCAACTACGGCTCAGCAACCACGGCTCAGCAACCACGGCTCAGCAACCACGGCTCAGCAACCACGGCTCAGCAACCACGGCTCAGCAACCAAACTAGGTTCTCGCTTCAGCAACTACGCTTCAGCAACTACGCTTCAGCAACCAAAACTAACTCTCGCTTCAGCAACTACGGCTCAGCAACCAAAATCTACTCTCGCTTCAGCAACCAAACCTCAGCAACCAAAACCCACCCCCTCCGGCAAGTACATGCACAGTCTCATCTTCCACGTCATATCAAAATCCCACCCCCCTCTGGCAAGCACATGCACAGTCTCATCTTACACGTAATCTCAAAATCCCACCCCCTCTGGCAAGTACATGCACAGTCTCATCTTACACGTCATATCAAAATCCCACCCTCTCTGGCAAGTACATGCACAGTCTCATCTTACACGTAATCTCAAAATCCCACCCCCTCTGGCAAGTACATGCACAGTCTCATCTTACACATCATATCAAAATTCCACCCCCTCTGGCAAGTACATGCACTGTCTCATCTTACACATCATATCAAAATCCCACCCCCTATGGCAACTACATGCACAGTCTCATCTTCCACGTCATCTCAAAATCCCACCCCCTCTGGCAAGTCCATGCACATTCTCATCTTGCACATCATATCAAAATCCCACCCCCTCTGGCAAGTACATGCACAGTCTCATCTTACACATCATATCAAAATCCCACCCCCTGTGGCAACTACATGCACAGTCTCATCTTCCACGTCATATCAAAATCCCACCCCCTCTGGCAAGTACATGCACAGTCTCATCTTACACGTAATCTCAAAATCCCACCCCCTCTGGCAAGTACATGCACAGTCTCATCTTACACGTCATATCAAAATCCCACCCCCTGTGGCAAGTACATGCACAGTCTCACCTTACACGTCATATCAAAATCCCACCCCCTCTGGCAAGTACATGCACAGCACAGTCAAAATCCCACCCCCTCTTACATGCACAGTCATATCAAAATCCCACCCCCTCTGGCAAGTACATGCACTGTCTCATCTTACACATCATATCAAAATCCCACCCCCTCTGGCAACTACATGCACAGTCTCATCTTCCACGTCATATCAAAATCCCACCCCCTCTGGCAAGTACATGCACAGTCTCATCTTACACGTAATCTCAAAATCCCACCCCCTCTGGCAAGTACATGCACAGTCTCATCTTACACGTCATATCAAAATCCCACCCCTGTGGCAAGTACATGCACAGTCTCACCTTACACGTCATATCAAAATCCCACCCCCTCTGGCAATTACAAGCACAGCCACATTTTACACGTCATATCAAAATCCCACCCCCTCTGGCAAGTACATGCACAGTCTCATCTTACACGCAATCTCAAAATCCCACCCCCTCTGGCAAGTACATGCACAGTCTCACCTTACACGTCATATCAAAATCCCACCCCCTGTGGCAAGTACATGCACAGTCTCACCTTACACGTCATATCAGAATCCCACCCCCTCTGGCAATTACAAGCACAGCCACATTTTACACGTCATATCAAAATCCCACCCCCTCTGGCAAGTACATGCACATTCTCATCTTCCACGTCATATCAAAATCCCACCCCCTCTGGCAAGTACATGCACAGTCTCATCTTACACATCATCGAAGGAAGTTTAGAAGTCAAACTTCCGACAATATGGACAGATTAGGCAGAGAGAAGAGAAAGATTAGAAGAGAGAAGATCAGAAGAGAAAGAGTCAGAAGAAAGAAGATGCAGGTGCGCGAAAAGGTAGGAAAGTCGCGAAACACTGTGTTTTTTGGTGGTTTTGTGGCTCCGGAGGGTTGAAAAGTAGGCTCGCTAAAGCGGCGGATGCGGAGACATCTGGGGAGATGAGAGATGAACAATTGCACGCCGTTGTGGCGCGAAGCACATTTCGAAGTCAAAATGTACAAAGCAGACCAGGTCCGGACCACTTTTGGCAGTTGAGATGTCGGAAAAGTGCACGCCGTTGTGGCGCGAAGCACATTTTGAAGTCAACATGTACAAAACACACCAGGTCCGGACCACTTTTGGCAGTTGAGATGTCGAAAAAGTGCACACCGTTGTGGCGCGAAGCATAGTTGACGGAGCATAGTTTACGGATCTTGGTTTACGATCCATAGTTTACGAGCCATGGTTTACGAGTCATGGCCATCTTGGTTTACGAATCATGGTTTACGAGCCATGGCTTATGAGTCATGGTTTACGATCCATAGTTTACGAGCCATGGTTTACGAGCCATGGTTTACGATCCATAGTTTACGAGCCATGGTTTACCGAAGCAGAAGTCAACCCCCTTTGATGGGTATAGCCCTCCAAGATGGGCAAATTGGAACGCCTGGAAATTATGGGGGAAACATCATCAAACCACCATCCTGGAAAAACTGTTCTAGCTTTGTGGGGACGATAATGCAACTTCTACAATCTTTGGCCACAAAAACTTTCCGTAAAGTCTGGGTGGCGTAAAGGATCGCGGAATGGACCAACCAAGCCCAAAATTGCAGGGTATCTAAGGTTGACCATGAACTTTGGCAGATTCTAGGTTAGGGGATGTTAGGGGTCTCAAGTCATCAACAAATTGATCAATGGATTGGTTTAAGGGACAAATTACAGGAAACACCAACAATCACCAACATATTTCATAGGAAAATCATGGACATTTCCGACGGTTTTGATTTTCTCTTAAGCCAATCAGCCAATCCATTTTTCATGTGATTTCCTATAGATTTTCCATGTTTTTTCCACCGTTAAACCTCGACTTTGCTCGGGGAGAACTCGTGTCCAGTGTCCAGGTGCAGGCGGGGATTCTTGACCTGGTGGCCACTCCGGAGCATGATCATCTGGGCTTTGAGACGCGGCTCGGCTGCTGTGTAGTTCATCTCTCTCTATTATACATATATTATGTATATTATGTATATATATATATTGTATTTATATGTATGTAACTGTGTATACATATATGTTTATGTTTATGTTTATGTTTATGTAGATGTAGCTGTAGATGTATATGTATATGTGTACGTGCATGTACATATATATGCATATGTATATGTAATTACTTGTTATTTTCATAGATACTTATATAGATTAGATGTGCACAAGTCTATGTGCATATCATGGATGGGTCAATCGGGGTGAGTTTGGTGCGCACCATTCCCCAGCGATTTGGGATTCTTTTTGGCATAGCAGCGATTCACAGGATTTGAAAGCCAGAATCTTGCACTGAAATTTCAGCCCAAGTGGCATATGTATATATATATATATACATGTATATCTATATATATATATATATACACATGTATATATATATATAAATAATTCGAGGGGACCGAATCAAGAGGAAGACAGCTGCGGTTCACCGCAAATGAATCTGAAACCAGAAATCTTGACACATGGACGGGGCTCTGTCCAAGGACGAGTTCCCTGAACTTCAACGCTGTGGAAGTAGCCAAAGTTGAGCCTGGAAGCTGGGCGCAGAGGATGCGCATCAGGAGCGCATCAGTTGATGGTCGACTTGGGGCTCCGCTAATCTTTGGTTACCCTCTGGTACTAACAGTTTGAAGATTGCCATTTAGAAACAGTTGATTTACCCATTAAAAATGGCGATTTCCCATAGTTACGTTAGTTTACCAGAGGGTATATATCCATAGTTATGGGGGTGATATCCCCCAAAATGGAGGCTATTACCATGGTCAAAGGCATTTTCAACCCCAACAGAAAGTAGGGAAAATGATGATGAGCTGTGGGTTTTGGGGGTACTCGTACCTATTTTTAGACAAACCCACTAAAGGACAATCATGGTATTTTTTTCCAATCTGAATGAATTGAAACTCACGTCGCGATGTCGCCTTTCAATGATGGTTAGCAAGGGTATCTATCCAAATAAGGCCTAACATTTCAGGTTTGTGACTTATTATAGTTTATACTTTATAGATTTTTAGTACAATCCAGTAGGAAGAAGACACCCAACATCTGAACATACTGTGGCTGGAAGAAATCCTGCACCACCTTGGATGGTTGAAACCCTATAAATAGTGGGATAAACCACCTATCAGCTGGTGCAGGATTTCGCAACCATCCACCGTGAAAAAAGATGGATCCAACAGCCCAGTCTTTCCCTGGCTCCAGGATGGGCGATCATCTCTTGTCGTACGGGCACTCAGTTGTTGGGCGCTGGGAATTCACATCAAATTCCTGGAGGTACCCTCTGGTAAGCTGGTGAACTACCAGTTTGCTATTGAAATATGGTCCATTTATAGTGGATTTTCCCATTGAAAATGATGATTTTCCATAGTTATGTGACAGTTTACCAGAGGGTATATCCCATGACTTTGATGGTTGAGTACCCGTAATTTAACAGTTTGCTATTGAACATGGCCCAGTCGAAATAGTGGATTTTCCCATTCAAAATGGTGGATCCTTCCATCGTTTTTTGTATCTTTAATATTTCGGGTAGAAGAAGTCCCGGTGGCCCAGAGAAACAGACCGCCGCAGGATCGATGGTACTGCGGTGGGCTCCTTTGCCAGCAGCTCCCTGCAGGAGGCGCAGCGCCTCCGCTGAAGATGAGTCAACTATGGGATTATATAGTTATTAACCATTATATGGTTATTATATGGATATAAATGATGGTTATAATTATAATATATGGATGATGGTTATAATGGGATTATATATATGCTTATTATATCTTATTATAATGCGGCCCCCCCCAGTGATGTGAATGTTGGTTTAGATTCGCCCCAGTAACTATAGTAGCTTAGCTATCGTTTGGGGGCCTCACATTGTGGTAAACTAACATAAAACTATGGGAACCTCACCATTCTTCAAAACGGGACATCAACGAATGGAAAATGCCCATTTGATACATAGCAAACAATGTAATGTGCTTCCGTCAGGCGATCCGGAGCAGGGCACGAGCAATGCAGGGAGCCCCAGATGAACTCAACTTGTCCAAAAAATGGAACTAACCTGCTGAAATGTTCATTAAATCTGTTTTTAAAAAGCTTTTGGTCTCTTCTTGGTATTGGCAGCATCATATGAAAATAAAGCAGTTGGTGACAAAATGAATTTACCATGTAGTAACCAATTACACCCAAAGCTATATTAATGTATTGGCTAGATGGATACGTACCTACTTGGGGGCTGCCTCGTTCTGGCAGATCTTGGCAGATCTCCATGATTTGACCATCCTTCCACGATGGATGAGGCGTTTGCGCTTTCGACGACAAGGCCAAAACATTTTGGATGAGGAACCGCAAAAGGATGCGCTGTCGGTAGATGGGTAGATGATGGTAGATGTGAGTGGACCAACATGAATGTGTAGAAATGTGTAGAATTCTGAAACTGTCGAGTTTGCAACAACCAGTAATTATCCCTAGTGTCCTACTTGTGAACATTTTCGGGAATTTCATGATGTGGATTGGGGTCTAATTAGTCAATTCTTGTTGTCCCAGGATTTGACTAAGGATGTTTAGGCCCCAAAAACCATTCTCACTTTGAGGCCCCAAATTTTGACACCAACGGCCAGGACCAAAGACGATTAGATGTGCTTGCAACGGAGGCTGCGACTGTGAAAGAGATCCCACATTTTGGATACCCTCAGCTTGCTGAGTCGGTGAATTCTTTTCATTTTCAAAGTGGTAAATCCTTGATCTGGGGAATGTCTCTTTGGCAAATCCAAGGTGGATGGGTTCATATGGAAAACCAGTCAAGAGCGGCACTTGCCGAGGGGTCTATGTGGGTATGGCTCGAATTTTCATAGTTAGTCTTATGTTTTGCTCCAAGATTTTTATGGTGTCCATGGCGAAAAGAACATCAATATGGGTCCTTGAAGTACTCCATTTTTGAGCCATCACCATGTGAGTATGGCTTCAACGGCTATTTGCATCTGAAAATGAACATTTTCGCAGGGCTGCTCCAAGCTACTCTGGGCAAATTGTAGCCACAAGACGGCGAAATTAAATTGGTCATTCTACCCATTTACCCAATTTCATCCCGTACCCAAGTCCCATGGCCCATCGGCAGCCATCGACCGTGTCAGAGGCAGATGCGGAGCTGGGCTTTTTGATGAGCGGCCAACCGCCCAGTGAGGTCTTGGTCTTCAAGGCCAGGGCCCAGATTCTGAAGTCCTGGAAAGCAACACCCAGACATCACCAAACTGGAGCACCCTGCGGTTACGGCTGCGCGTTTTGCAGAATCCAGGGGCAACACGCTGCAGGTCATTCCTGGCAGTTGGGCTGCGCAACGTGGCCTTCAGGACTTGGGGGTCGGAAGTCAGAAGCCGGCGCCGTCATACGGCCAGCAAGATGGTGACATGTGGTGCTGCAGGCTATGTTGGCGATGTTGGTTTTGGATTGTGATTGTAGTCTGGTTGGTGGTTTTAAACATCTTTTATTTTCCATAATATGTGGGATAATCCTTCCCATTGACTTTCATACTTTTCAAGATGGTTAAAACCACCAACCAGTAGTATATTTCAATGAATTTAAATTAGTTTGGTCAGATGTGTGAACAGAAAATCAACCAACATAACTCGGGGGCACAAAGCTTTGTAGTGTGATTCCGAGTCATTCTGTGAAGTTGAGCAGTATCCCAAAATTTCAAGATCTCTAACATGATTTGCCCACACAGCAGCTGTCCATCTTGATATCTAGTCTAGTATGGCACATGATAGGACCTTTCTTGCTGTTGCTGAGGGTACAATTGAGAATGCACGTGTAAACAGTCTAGAAATTCTACGAGAGGGCCCCGTGGTCTGACTGTGAGGAGAAAGATGAGCTGGTGGCTGTGGCAGGCAAGGAGTTTGGCACCTGGGATGCTCTGGGTATCATGTACATGGGCACGGGAAGAACCACTACATGAATTCCTAAGATATGAGCCCGTGCCAATTTCTTCATATTTCTTATCTCGGATACTATTGCAAAGCTCATCTCTTGATTGGTTGCTGTGTGCCATGGGTTGAAACCACCAGAGGAATTCAGTACATTTAGCATCTCAAAGTGGCGGAAGGAGGGTTTTCCATGGGATTCTTCCGCTTCCTGAGTTGTGAGACTGAACCACTCTGGAAGTGGTTTATACATATGTAAGATGATATAAGATGATATAAGATTATACAAGTATATATATATATATATGTATATATATATATGAGTATATATTTATTACCAATCTATAACCCATTTTGATTCACATCCCTTTTTGCCTTTTGGCAGATCTTCTCAAGACACCAGTCGCTTCTCCCATGCTGTGCGTGACCGAAAAAATCGAAACCCCAAAATGGATGGTTGAGTACCCTCTGGTAAACTAACATAGCTATTGAAAATGGTCCATTTATATTGAGTTTTCCCATACAACATGGTAATTTCCCATAGTTATGTTAGTTTACCAGAGGGTAAGTCTATCAGACGAAAGATTGCAAAGTGTTTATCCACTAGCACGGAATGACCTGAGCCACTTGACCCACATCCCAGGGTCAAGTCATTTGGATTGGACCCTTTTCTTGGCCTTGCGATGGGAATCAATCCATTAATCCATTTGAAAATAGGGATTTAAATGTGGACAACCCAGATGTTATAAACCTACTGATTGGGGATGGCTTATGATGTTCATAAAAAAACATAAAAATGGTGATGACTTGGGGATGGTTGATCAAATTGGGGGACTTAGGAAAGTTACTAAGCACATGCGTTCAGTGGGATGATTCTCCAAGTGCTTCAGCCGCCGTGTGGAATTCTTCAGGCCAACCGGTGAGTGCTCTCAGTGGCGCCGCACTCATGCGCTACGTGCAATCCGTCCCTCGGCAGTTCGCAGTTGGGCTGTCTTTTGGTGCTGGAAGCTGGGGTCAAAGTGACGGGAGGGGCACGTTTCTTTGATTTGGTATCTAAGATTGGCCCATTTTTCGGTGTTCACAAACAGGACATTGCCAACAAACACATGGAAAAAAATCATCAGCGAGCATGGATAATCATTAGCTGTTTGGACAATTTTTGGAACAGCAGCAATACATGATACCATATGATATTTCTCATGATATATATGATGTTTCCCATTGATATTTCCATGAGATATCCTCCATATGATAGCTGTTTCGACTGGGCATGTCTAGTGGATCACACCTGGGATTCAATCCCCCAGGACTTTCCCTATGGGATTTTCCGACTGTTCCCCGAATTCGTGGAAGCTTTAGAAGATACCCGGCCTGGTAGACTAACATAGCGAACCGGAAAAACATCATTTTTATTAGGTATATCAACTGCAAATCACCATTTTCGATAGCTATAAATGGCCATTCATGATTCTTAATCTGGTTGGTGGTCGACTTACCCCTCCGAAAAATATGATTACTTCACGTATTGGCTTCTGTTAGTTTACCAGAGGGTAACTGGTCGTAAAAACCCATGGTTTCCGATGGTTTCCTGCAGAATTTCCCTTGAGCAAAGCCAGTGCAAGGTGCGCCCCTTGCGTCTACGGTTCCACTTGGCGCCGGGGGGTCCGCAGCCAGCCCGCGCCTGGACTTAGTGTTCAATGGATTGTAAACCAAGCTCCTTGATGATATAACATTAATATAATATATATATATGTATATATTATATATATAATATTATAAAATATATAATAACTAATATAATAATATAATAACACAATAATATAAGAACAATAAATAATGATAATGATAATAATAATGATAATAATAATAATATAATATAACATAATATAATTTGTATAATATACAATATATAATTTACAATTTATAATATCTATTATATATAACATATCATATATATAATATAATATAATATGATATAATATAATATAATATAATGTACTCTATAATATAATATACTAAAATATAATATAATATAATATGATATGATGTGATATTATGAAACATCATATAATATAACACAAAAATATGTAATATAATATAATATAATTTATTTTGTATAATAATAATATACACTTATATATAATATATATGATATATATAATATAATATAATATAAGATGATATGATATGACATAATATAATATAATATAACATGAAATCATATAATATAATATAATATAATATGATATAATCTAATCTGCTTTAATATAATATAACATAATATAATATAATATAATTAAATACAGTTCAAAATAATCTAATATAATACGATATAATGTGATATAATATAATTTATTTTGTATACATGATATAATATTAAACAAAATAAACTAATATAATATAATATAATATAACACAATAGGTATAAATCATATAATATAACATAATATAATACAATATAATATAATGTAACATAATATGATATAATATAACATAATATAATATGTTTTATTTTAATTTAATGTGTGTGTATATATATATATACGATTATGTATATATATATGTATATGCAAACGCATGTGAAATATAGACTTGACCCAGCCAGTATGTGAACCCAGTCAGTATTGACACTGGCTCGGTTTAGTCTATATCAATATGTATTTTAATTATATATGTATTATATAACTCCTCTGTGACTTGAATAGAATGTCTATAACTTATTGTGTTTGGTCTGGAAGTTTGCGTTTGGAGATTGTTGTTGAGTGATAGAACTGCGCAGTAGATTATGTTGACATGAGCATGCTGAAACAGCTCGCAAAACCAGTGTGGGAATTTGCCAATGTTGGGTAAATATACCGCCCGTGAAAAAGGCAGATGACATCCGAAAATGGTGATCAATACATCGCGACCCAGATCTGAACCCAGATTGGTTGATCCATCATTTTCCCTTGCAATCCCGAGCGCCCGACGTGCCAGCGCTCAGGTGCCAAGCCGAAAGCTGCGCCCAAAGTTGTCTCGGCTGCGAAAGAAGTGCCGGAGACCAAAGAAGCAGAGGCCATGGAATTTCGGCCCCAACATTTCACACGGATCGCATGGTTAAAACGCATTTTTTCTTTTTTTTGAAACACGGTAACCAAATTGGGGAGGAGAGGTTCCGGTAAATTTTCATACAAAAACATGTGACCATTTCTGGTGTTTCGGTCTCGAGGATTTTCCGCGCCTGGAGTTGGATGGATTTTTTTCGTCATGGTTGTGGGTTCCAGAGGTCAATTTTTTAGGGAGCGTTAGGTTATGTTGGGGACCACACGATGGTGCGGTTGGTAGATTCTAGCGAAGTGACTTCTCGGTCACCATAAATGATGGGGACCGCAGAGGGGAATCATCCCCAAAATGGGCTGCATTTTGACTTGGTGAAAGTTGGGGGCCGAATTGTGACTGTTGAAGATTTTTGATCCTGTTTTTTGTGCTGGGTTGAGGCGCAGAGGTTTGAATGACATGCTTTTCTACAGTCTATCATCAGGGACCGTGATGCCCAGATGTGAGACAGGTGGTGCAGCAAGATTTCCGAAGCCCTACAGCAACTACCCCCTGGTAATCTGACCAAACAAGGGAACTCTGCCATGACATCCTCGATGATTTTTTTCCTCCGTTTTCCCATGACATCATGACATCGACATCGAGCGACCAGGCCAGCCCTGTACCCAAAGCCAAGGGTCGCATGGGAAGGGCCAAGTTGGCACAGATGTTGGTGGGCGACATGATGAAGGCTGGGGATGGATCCTGTCACCTATGGTAGCGGTTGATGAGGGGAATAACCATAACAGAATCTGTCAGAATCTGTATGTCGATGTGAAAACCCGTGTACCAGAAATTTGACTCATTCCCGTATGTTCCCCGATATATATATATATATCCTTTTTAGAAAATTGCCACTTGAACCTTTTGATGGTTGCTTTCTCCGAACGTTCCCATTCGAATGCGTGGTTTTGTAGTGCCCCATGTGTTAGGACAAGCCAACCATCAACGAGCAGTTCACACATTGTAACCGAATCAGAACGGTTCGAAGTCGCTATGGATGAAGCCCTGTAGCAAAATTGGCTAGTTGAATGATGACCGACCCGTGGCAGGGCATGAGCCAGGAAGAGGAGGCGCACTGCGACATGTTGGCATTTTTTTTAAGGAAAATGTATGGCTGAAAAAACTGCAATGTTTGAGACTAGTGCTGGGCAGCAGATGACATTTTCAAGTTCCTTTGTGTCTCAAAACGTGAGCACATCATCATTTACACGTGTCGGCTGTTCTGAAATGCACAAATCCCTGCCATTCCTTTTAGACATATGTAGAGCTTGGCTGAAACAAAAAAGGCTTTTCTATGCTTTCCTCAGTTGGAGGTGCGAGAATGCCCCATACTTTGCCCAAGTTTTGTGGCCGAATCCTCCACTTTCCCACAGCAGGTACCCTCCAGCCCGCCTGCTGCAGCCTCATCGCCACCAGCTGCCGCGCCACCGGCCGCGCCACCGGCCGCGCCTGCAGCGCCGCCGGCGCCAAAGCCGGCCACACCCGCACCGGTGGCGCCGAAACCGGTGGCGCCGGCGGCAAAGCCAAAGGCGGCGCAGGCTTTCCGGGCAAGGGCCTGACCTTGGGGTTTGGGTTTATGGATGTTTATGGAGGATACCCTCTGGTAAACTAACATAGCGAACTGGAAAATCACCATTTTTAATGGGAAAACTCACTATAAATGACCATTTTCAATAGCTATGTTAGTTTACCAGAGGGTATATATATATAAACTCTGGTCAACGGAGGTTATAAACCAACTTCTAACGTTTAGGCCCCCCCACCCTGTAACCTTGGATATAGTTTCACACTCCATATTTCAAATCATTTTTAATGTGCTAAAGCCAATTTTATAAACATTTTTAAACCTTCCCCAAGTCATCAACCATCCCCAAATGGTAGGCGGCTCCAGCGTCTCGCCCTCCAGCGCGCGGCGTGCCGCCCGCCACAACGGGGCGGCCCTCGGAGCGTGCGCCAGCGGCGCAGGACCGGTGTGTGGTCATTGGGGGCGGGGATCGGGGCAAACATGGGTAGTTTCATCATCCAATGAACTGGAATTTCATCGGATTCTACTCACAGGTACAGTACCCTCTGGTAAACTAACACAACTATGGCAAATCACAGTTTTTAATGGGAAAACTCACTATAAATGGGCCATTTTCCATAGCTATGTTAAATTACCAGAGGGTAATTTTTCGTGGTTTCATTAACACAATGAGGGTTTGGTTTCTGGTTTTGGATGGTAAAATGGTGGTTTCATGCAGAGCATTTTGGATTTTCCAGGTGAAGTCCCGTGACCGTGAATGGTGAAGATGATTTTACCAGAGACTATCTGAATTTTGGATTTCCCCCATTTTTGAAAGGCTCCGGAATTTGACAGCGAGATGCAAGTTTTTCGTGAAAGCGATGGGGATACAATTTTTACAAGCATAGATTGCAAGTAACCGGAGAATCGGAGTTTCAAAAATGCTGCTGCTTGCAAAGATTGCTTGCTCATGTCCCTCCAGGGGTCATCAAGGAGGCTCATTTCGGCACAGGTAGACGATTTCAAGAACCTGCCAACCTACTGGTGACAGTGCAGATCTAGACATGATCTCTCAAAAATCAAAGTAGTCCCTTTCCCGGCTCAGAAAAACACACCAGAAACCCTGATTTAAATTATTTAAACGTGTTCTTTTTGGGCTCAAAGTGAGGGGTGGTTTGGTACTGGTTGGAATGACGACCAGGTCGTCATTTCCACCGGACATAAATCACACCTGTCCAGGACGACTCTTCGAGTGATGACGACGCCATGATTGAGAAGTCTGCGGGAACGCAGGTGCACCGGTAGGAACGCGCCAGTTCACAGGCCTAAGCAGTTTGCAGCTTCACAAAAAGCTACGTATGGGCTAAAACATGCTGAAACTGAGATATCTCTAATCAGATGAATGAACATCCCAGTTATTTAGTTGCATATGAGTTAATTATAGTGATACAATTTCCGATCTGTGCCCATGCCTTACCTCCAGTTTTCTTGAAACTGCTTGGGGGTACAGCGCGGCTTAGCAGTCTGGCAAGGCCTCTGACTGTGGGTGCCAGGTATTTCTCATATGTCATTTTGTTTCCAAAGGGACTAAAATCGCCGGTGATTTCGCAATGTTGTTCCAATTTGTACAATGTGGGCCCCCCCCCCAGTGATGTTAGTTGGTTTATAACCCCCAGTAACTATAGTTATTTGGGTACCATAAACCATAGTTATTGGAGTTACAAACCAACTTAGCCAGCTAGGGGGCCCCACTTTGTAGGGGTCTTTGCGGTGGTATTCATCAACCTGCTTCGTGTTTGTCTGAAACAACAGGCTACCTCCATGGTACCGTTTTCCATCGTTTTCCCCATGTGGAAGTGACAGAACCTGGGAGTTTCTCTCCATCCTTGGGGCCCACATCTCCATCAAAGCACAAGGTGGGCCTCCAAATTGTAGCTAAGTTGATGCTCATCACTTGGTTAACTATAGACTATAGTATCAATATATATATATATATAATGTAAGTATATAGTATTCAATGGGAATTTCAGGATCCTAAAATGGAGGTGCTGTACCATATAAGGCCATATTTTGCGGGGATATTCCCTTGCATAGGCCTTATATATGGTAGATACCTCCAATTTAGGTTCCTGAAATGGCCATTGACTGATTTAGACATGGGGACCATCATGGGGCTTACAAACCAACATGAGGTTCGGGGGATCCTTTCTACCGCTCCAGGATAAGGACCTGGGATTCGAGATCGCCCCCCGCGGCAGCGGCGCAGCCATGCGCGCATACCTAGCTTGCTGAACGAGGGCAGCAACCCCCAAGAGATACGGTGGATGGTTGCGAAATCCTGTACCAGTTGGGAACTATGAAGTACCTATGAAACACCGACTGGTGCAGGATTTCGCAACCATCCACCGTAGTATTTCTTAGCACTATTCTAACATGATTTTAACTTTTCTAATCGTTTATAAACTTTTCTTTCTTTTGAAGGTTGCGATATATTTCGCAATCAAACCTGCCAGTGGCAAGTTCCTTGCCATCGACACATCGGTACAATTTTTGGAGAAAACACCATTTCTTGCGACCGGAGATAAGCACCTGGATGTGCAATGGTTAAGAACCGCAATGACCACAATACAACCCGCTTAAATTAATGTGGTGTCCCCCCACTTCTATATGGCTTACATATGGGTTACTACCCACTTACTACGTGGGATCGCCAAGTATCTCCTTTTGGTAAATTCCCAGAATTGAAGGGCACGTAGAAACCAGAAACCTTCAAATTTGGGGCTATTCCCATGATGGTTTCCTGTAGACGTCCTGTAAAGAATCAGGTGGCCACCCCCAGAGTTGGTGGTAACTACCCATCGTAGTTTTCAACCAACTTAGCTCACTGAAATCCCACAAAAAAAGGCAGCCCATTCCACACATGCTGGTCAGATCCCGGCCTTCGCCAAGATCTTGTGCGACGCCCCGAGGTGTTTCGTGGTGAGTGCCGTACAGCCTGGCGGCTGGGCACAGCGTCAACGCATCGGTGTGGGAAACGTCGCTTGGAAAAAATTGGGGGGGTTTCCTATGGGGGGTACCCCCAAAAATCATCCAACATATCCAACATTCTGGGTAAATTATACCGACCTCACTGTGACCGAGCCCTGGAATCATGGTTAATAAGGGAAATCATCCCCTTTTATGGCCTTAATTCAGGTTAGTGAAATACTACAATTTACCCAGAACATTAGATATGACCTTGGAATTGAAAATGCTAATAATGTTGGATATCATGATATCATGAAACATGCAAGATCCAAACATATCCAACACATATCATTTCCTGGTACTGATAAAACAATCAAAAGCCTATAGTTTGGGGGATCCTTCGACCTCCATGTTCAGTTCCCGTTTTTTTTTTCGACCCAAAATGGCCAAGTTGGGGAAAAGTGAGAAGAGAAGCTGCTGGATTTCGGGACAACCTATTTTCAGACAAATGCATATAGGATATATATATATATATATATTATGGTGGTTGCAACAAAAAATGGGTAGCAAGGGACCCACAAACCTGGTAAGTTTTTTTGTTGGTATTTAGCTGTTTAGCCACCCAAATTTGGGGGTCACACGTTTTGAGCCCCATATTATGCCAACCAAAATCATGTCAACCAAAAAAAATCAAATGTGGGAATGACTTCTTCATGTTTGGTTATCCCTGATGGATTTGCTCATGGAATATGATCCAAGATAATGTGATAATTGTGATCCAAGCACAGATGATTGTTGGTTATCTGAGCAAACTTAATCATCTCAACCGCATTTTCCTTTCGATTGTATCAACTCTGAAGCTCTGCATCGAAAGCGAGGAGCTTCTGTCCATCGGTGGGCAGGTGGCGAAGAAAATGAAGCTGGAGGCCTACAGACCGGCTGCACATACAGGGGATATCAGGGTATGTTAAAGGAAATAGCCCCAAAATAAAGAGAACAGTTGAAGACTTGGAAATATGAGAGACATCTATCATCTATAGACTCTATAGATATTTCCATGTTTGTTATTTTATAATCAAGTTGGAGAATGCTTTTCTCCAGGTGAAAACCTGATGTTTTTGCTTGCATACCCCTTGATTAATTGTCTGTTGCTTTTATTGGGAAGATTTCAAGGAACTCCACCCTACTCTGGGTCGATTGATGAATAATTAGATGTGGGAATCTTTACTCTTATTTCTGAGACACATATATAGACATATATATATATATATACATGGTTTTGCCCTGAATGGAGTATAACACAAAAAATTGCGATTGAAGGTGGGGAACTTGATGAGAAACTGTTGAATCTTGGGGTACACCTATGGACAAACGAGACGGACCATGGATATCCCCTGTTTTGGAAGGCTTTTTCCTGGCTACACTGGCAGCACTTTCCAAAGGAGTTCACGCAAACACAAGGGACACGTGATAAACTCAACTCACTGTTGGTTTATACAATCCCTATGGATCCAAACGCTGTCTGAGAAGGTACTTAAATCTCTAAATCTACTTCCTAAGGTACTTGGATAGGGAATCGAAGGTTCACAGCCATTTCTATCCCCGCAACAAGATCATGTCTCAAGGGTTTGTCCAGCAATTTTTGGTACAATAAATCACCCTGGTTTGAAATGCTTTGAAATGCGAAAATCACCCAGTTGTTGCCATGGCCATCAATTGATCATGGGTGAACCCATCATCCTTCGCAGTTCAACAGTCCAATCCCCCTTTTTTTGACGTAAAGGCATCATTCTGACTTCATTTTCCGACGCTAAGACCATCGAAAAACGCTAGAAGCCTAATTTTTATTCATTTTTTCCCAGTTCAATCCATAAATTCTTCACGGTAAAACCGCTGTTCGTTCACAAAAACGCCAAATTTATCTGTAAGTTATGATCAGGTCAACAAATCCCAAGAGGTCACATATAAACCTTAGATGACAAATAATTACACATAATGTAATATAATTGTTGAATAATTTTCTAAGAACACCTTTGATTAATATAGGTCACACTAACGTTGTTATTTAATCTAAATTTAACCCTTTCATATTATTATTTCACACATTTAACTATTTCAATCTAAATTTAACTAATCATATTATTATCATTATTACTATAATTTCACCCGTCAAAACACTATTTTTTTTTGGGGGTTCCTTGGGGTTCCACCTGGCAGGACATCCAGAAGATGCTTGCGCCCGACGGAGTCCGGACACCGAGGGGACCAGGGTGAGTTCGCCTGCCTTGGGGATGTCTAGAGATATGGGGGTACTTCCAAATTGATGATTTTTTCCAGGGAAACCTCGTCCAACATAACATTGGACTACTGGTTGGTGGTTTCAAACCATGGATTTTTATGACTTTCTGGAGTATTGGGAATTTCATCGTCCCAAGTGACGAAGTCATATTTTTCAGAGGGGTTCAAACCACCAACCAGTAATATATCTAGTCTTATGATGTCTTATGACTTAGATACTATGATATATAGATGAACAAATAGATATAGAATTAGATACTTTCTGCCTGATGATGTCTACATCTACATAGATATTATTAGATGGGTAGAGAAATCTGCAGATGTCAGGATATTTGTATTTTTCTATTTAGCCGTGTTCTGGACGAGTGACCGCCGTGGCCTCTTGAAAAGCTCAGTGTATAGATATATATATATATACACATACAAACTATATATATACAATTATATATATATATACAATTATATATATATATACAATTATATATATATGCATAAATAGATAGACAAAGCCGTGCATATGGGCCATATGTATCATATGGGGATAGTTCTTTTAAGAGTACATGCAGCATCTCCCACCCTACACCCTAGACCCGACAACCCCCCCACAACTAGCCGCAACGTCCCTTCCACCTCCTCAACCCCACCGAACCTAAAGGTCTGAACCCAGGAGTGTTGTGAAACGCTCAAAACACTGCAAAGAAGTCTTAGTCTTAAACCAACGATGCCCATACATACATATATATATATATATATATACATATACATACATAAATAAAAGCATATATCTATATGGATATTACATTCACACATGTTGCAAATTTGTATGTTGCCTGCGTTTTAACCCTTGCCTGCTAGCTTTTTTACATGGCGTCTTTGGTGACCGGCCATGCTTGCATGTAGACCATCAAAAACTGGCATGTGGATGGCTCAAATCATTCGCGGCTCGTGAAAAATGAATGGTTTCATCAGTTGAATCCTACGATGACTGGATGACAGGATGGATCATGTCCGCTGGGACAGTTTTTTTGTTTACCAAAAAGAATTGTATAGCCACCCCTTAAAAAGACCATGAAACACATCAGAAATGGCTATGAGTCAAAACCCTGGTACCTTTTGTTCACCCCAAGTCATAGCTGGGATTTATGGATGTCCCATTAAAAATGTATCTATAGGTATTGACCCATACCCAAATGAGCAGGTTCTCATGATCCGCTGGGGTAGCTTCTGTTTTCATCAAACATTCCGCTTTCCAGCGGTTAAGTCATCATCGAACTTTGTCACCTGGGGATGTCCCAGCGCAATGATTGCCACAGGTCAACGAAATGATGGCCATTATTTTTTTTTAACCCTCAACCATAGGAAAATGGTGGTTTAATGGGATTTAATGGGATTTAATGGCACTTACCCTCTGGTAAACTAACATATAGCGAACTGGAAAATGGCCATAGAAATAGTGAGTTTTCCCATCAATAGCAGGGTGATTTTCCAGTTCGCTATGTAAACGTTTACCAGAGGGTAAGTGCCATTAAATCCCATTAAATCCCATTAAACCACCATTTTCCTATGATTTTCCTATGGTTTTCCTATGGTTTACCATTTGAGTAAACCAAACAACCTTGCCAGAGGACAAACTCAAAAAAGATCCCTTTGCCAGAGGCTACCCGGCCTGGTAAACTAACATAGCGAACTGGAAAATCACTAGTTGAATAGGGAAATCACTATTAAACTAAATGGTCTATTTTCCATACAATGTGGGCCCCCCAGTGATGTTAGTTGGTTTAGATTCGCCCCAGTAACTATAGTTATCTGCGTACCATTTTTACCATAGTGAAATTGGAGTTATTAGTTCACCCCAACTTAGCTATCGTAAACGGAGCCCCACTTTGTAGCTTTTTGTTAGTTTACCAGATAGTCCCCATGGACCAAGCAGGATCTAATGGAATGACAACCTCTTGGAGGCCCTGGGGCCACCATTGGTCGCCAGGTCAGACCCTTGCGATTTTGGTTGCAAGCCGACATGGGAAGTGACTCGGATCTTCTGTTTTTTGTGGTACCACATCTTGAAAAAGGGCTCCCCCCAGTGATGTGAATGTTGGTTTATAAACCATTTTATAACCACCATTAACTAGTTTCTGATATCTACCATAAACCATAGTTAATCCGCTTTTCAATCTACTTTAGAGAGTTTTTGGGATTACTATGACATCCGAGTAGCTCTTTTGGGGTCGCTCTTCTGCTGTCAAACTGTCGGCGCAGCAATGAAACGAGACGTGACGATCCTCAACTATTACTCGAAGTCAACAATTCGGACACCACCCCGGACCAGTCTCTCTGGCTGATTTACAGGGTTGCCCAACATACAGAGAAAAAAAATGGTGCCAAATTCTCCATCCGCGCCGCGAAATTTCGATGAATTCTGACTGGTCATGACGTCATGACCACTGAAGTCCGTCCCCCTGCCACCGTTGGGTTCAACCCAGGCTGAAGGATACCATGTTTCGGACCCAGGGAGGCCGTCGGGATGTGGGAACCATGTTTTTTTCTATAGGGACCCAGGAAGATAGCCCCAAGATGCTGCGGGAAAAGGGTTTTTTTCCACATGGCAATGGCGCAATTTCATCAACCACATCTTCTGGCTAATTTGAGTTTTATGGAGTTTGCAGAGTGATGTTCATTCAGAAGTGAAACTTGTACAAGCATTTCGGGAAATCCATAAACTCTCTCCAAACAAACATCAGGGTGAAAATCTACATTTCAAGCTCAACAAAGCCGTTACACCGGCAAGATTATTCGGATGAGATGCCAGGGTTTTGATCCAGAAATAACAGGACCCCGGTGATGAAACCTCCATTCCTGGGCCTCCTTGGATTCTTCTGTCGCCAGGTGGCCCCAACGACAGGGTGCTGCGACATGTCCAAGACACGACTTCTGCAGTCGGACCTCTATGGTTGAAGCCTTCTATATGAAGGTTTCCATAGTCATGGGGGTACCCTAATAGCATCTAATAGCTGGATGGTTTATAGGGAACACCCCATCTATAAATGGATGATTTGGGGGTATCCCCATTTATGGAGCCCTCATCAAATTTGATGGGAAAAAACACATGGGGAAACCGTAGTCGGCCTTCAGTTGGTGGATCTTCCGTCGTCAATTCGCCTGTGTGGCGAGGTGTACATAGCTACGCGTCGTAAAGGGAGGGTCGCTGAGATGAAACAGATGTGGAGCCCAGCTACCTATCGCTATCCGGATGGCTACTAGAAGATAGTAGAACCCATGGGAAAGCCAGGCTACCAGGCTTTTGATCTGAAGGGGCCCTCTGGTAATCATGACAACGGACAATTCCTGCATTTATAGATAATTTTTTCATTGAAACAATTGAAACCTCGATTTATAGAGGATTTACCATTGCCATGTTTGCTTATCGGGTAGATTTTCGATCATCAGTTCCAGTAAATGTTGAATTGGATCTGCGGGCCGGTCCGAAAAAAATCACCCTTTTGCGCTTTGCCGCGTGATTGGGACAAGGCCGGGATAACCTTCAAATCCGATATTCGGTGAGATTCTACGTGGTTCCCAATGCGAAGGTTCCTGCGACTGGTCCAACAGATATCTTCGGGACCCTGTGCAATCGCATTTCAGTGACCGCAGGGCAACTTGAGGTGTTTCTGTAAAGTCAGACAGCCTCAAAGCAGCACTCCTCTGTACGATAGACACATGCGACGCGAGAGGAAAACACTAGACAGGGAGTGATTTTATTTATTTTTTGATATTTTTTGGGCATATGTTATTCACACATATTTACACTGGTGATATGTTGTTCTTGTATATTATTATGGGGATACAATATAGTGATATAGTATGATATAGTCACATAGCCATTTCTAAAATCATATAAATTGTTATATAATGCATAGCTAGTTGGTGGTTTCATTTTTTTTAAACATTATTTTATTTTCCCTTATATATGGGATAACCCTTCCCATTGACGAACTCATATTTTTCAAGATGGGCACATTGCACCACCAACCAGATAGCCAATTCTAGTCACATTGCCATAGGATTACTAAAAAAAAACTATAGCCACAAATTATTATATAATTTATATAGTACATAGCCAGCCATAATACATAGCCATAATCATATCATACATAACTAATTCTACAAGGTGGTGCCCCCCAGTTATAAGTTGGTTTATAAGCCCATTAACTATAGATATATCACCTATAAACCATAGTTATTGGAGTTATGTTCACCAACTTAGCTATCGAACGGGGGCACCACCTTGTAGTAATTAATTCATAGCCATATATATCATACATAGCTAATTCATAGCCATGTAGCTAATTCATAGCCATACATATCATACATAACTAAATCATAGCCATATATATATCACAATTCATAGCCATATATCTCATATATCTCATATATTATATGTAATATGTAGCCAGTGGGTCTTGGTCGCTTTTGTTTTTTTCCCGCCCCCGCAGGTGTGATACCGCACTGGACTTTGGCAACCAGCTGGAGCCATCGCGGTGCCGAATCTCGGGGGGGATCATCTACTGGGTCAACTGACTGGTTAGATACGAAAATCATGGTAAAATCATGGTAAAATCATGGTAAAATCATGGTAAAATCATGGTAAAATCATGGTAAAATCATGGTAAAATCATGGTGAAATCATAGTAAAATCATGATAAAATCATGGTAAAATCATGATAAAATCATGGTAAAATCATGGTAAAATCATGGTAAAATCATGGTAAAATCATGGTAAAATCATGGTAAAATCATGGTAAAATCATGGTAAAATCATGGTAAAATCATGGTAAAATCATGGTAAAATCATGGTAAAATCATGGTAAAATCATGATAAAATCATGGTAAAATCATGGTAAAATCATGGTAAAATCATGGTAAAATCATGGTAAAATCATGGTAAAATCATGGTAAAATCATGGTAAAATCATGGTAAAATCATGGTAAAATCATGGTAAAATCATGGTAAAATCATGGTAAAATCATGGTAAAATCATGGTGAAATCATGTAAAATCATGTAAAATCATGGTAAAATCATGGTAAAATCATGGTAAAATCATGGTAAAATCATGGTAAAATCATGGTAAAATCATGGTAAAATCATGGTAAAATCATGGTAAAATCATGGTAAAATCATGGTAAAATCATGGTAAAATCATGGTAAAATCATGGTAAAATCATGATAATATCATGGTAAAATCATGGTGAAATCATGGTAAAATCATGGTAAAATCATGGTAAAATCATGATAAAATCATAGTAAAATCATAGTAAAATCATGGTAAAATCATGGTAAAATCATGGTAAAATCATGGTAAAATCATGATAACATGGTATGAACATCGTTTGCTATCAATGGTAAAATGATGGTCACATGTCTTACCCGGCGAGTTTTTTGTTGGCCATCTAAGATTCAGGGCAAAAGTGTTTGTGGTTCGTAACTGGCGGTGGTTTTCTGTACAAGGTGGCGCCCCATAGTTAGCTAAGTTGGTGAACATAACTCCAATTTCACTTGGGTTTATGGTAGATATACCTATACTTAATAGGGGTTATAAACCAATTAGATTTTTTTGGATCCACGAAACAAGGGGGACAAAAACGACCACCAGGATTCTAGGTCTGCAGTTTTGCAGCTCAGTAATGCCATCCCAAGATTGAACAGCCTTTTCCACTGGAGGAGTATGGGATGGGATAGTGATGTAGTCCTACGAAATTTTCGCCGAACAGAAATGGCTTAGTCCTTTTTCACTGGTCTCAAATATGTCAATCCTTACAGGATGGGGCACCCAAGATAGCATTCAGTTGCCTTATAAGTGGCTGAATTCTATGGTTTATGGTAAATATAACTATAGTTAACGGAGGTTATAATGGTTTATAAACCAACTTATAACTGGGGGGCCCATCCTGTACTAAACCATTTCTGAGGGGTGATTTTCATATTAGGGAGAGTGGATTGATTATAAATGGAGAGATCTGTGACACAGAGATTGATTTCCCCGAAAAACCGAGCCAGCCATTGAGGCTCGTTATCTCCAATTCTCTCACCGATTTCTGCGATTTGTTGCTGCTCGCTTTGAGGGTGATAGTGACACCATCCTCCACGCCATATGTTTGATGTCAACCGGCTTGTGCAAAGCTTCAGCATCCTTTTCTGAGTCTCCATTCAGCTGATAAGAGTGAAGTTCGGAGGTTGAAGAGAAGGGATTGGATCGATTGATTTGTTGGATAATTTCCACATATCTTGTGGATAGACCATGATAGACCCCATTGATTTGAGGATAAACAATGACGATGATACATTGATGATACTCCTTATTCTTAATAATTAGACTATGTCAAACTCCATGGTTTGTTGCTGACAGTCCCTGATCGTCAGGTGCTTGATTGAAGGCCAGTGTGTCAACCTTGCGGTCTCTGAAAATACTCAAAAATGGACATGGGATGGGGCAACACCTCTCATTTATGATGAAAAATACATAAAGATACCATATTTTGGGATACACATTCATAGAAATATAGAAATTTACATGAACATCTTACACAATCTTACACATAGAAAAATACATTTTCCCATATACCCGGAAAAATACATATTAACCCATTCATTAACCCAGCGAAGAAAATCCCGGTTCCCATCCACATGGATCATCACAGGAAGCTTTCTTTTTGCCTGGTCATTCCTGGCTTATCCATGGTTTTCCCATTTAGGATGGGGTTGGAACAATGTTATATCCTCACACATGTTACAATCATATATATATATACACACACTGTAATATGTATATATATATATGTATGATATTATATATAATATACACTGTAATATGTATATATATATATATGTATGATATTATATATATATGATATGATATGATATGATATGATATGTATATATATATTATGTATATATGATTCTATGTATATGTTATAACCACACACACACACACACACTAAGCAGTTTTATGGGGTTATCCTCCAAGTGCCATACTGTTTTTCTGATTTCCCATCAATATTCCATATATCCATCCAACATATCCATCCAACATACACCACAATATCCCATGAATTGATATGAAATAGTAGTAATATGTAGTAATGTCCCACCTTGGGCCAAGAATCTCCGGCAATCTTGCGGTGCTGGGCGGAACAGCAGGTCGTGTGATCATGACCTCGGGCATTCCGTACCTGCCCCCGGGCTGGGGGTTGGTGCTTGAGGTGCCGGTGATGGCGCCACGGAACTTTCGGTGATGGCTGTGATGGCTGTGATGGCTGTGATGGCTGAACGATGGCCAAACAAAACCAAGGTTCATGTTTTTCATGTCAACCCCGGATGAATAAACCATGGTTTATGACAATTAGGGGGTATTCCCCCAATCATCATGATTTGATACTTAAATGGTACCTTCCCAATTAAACATGACCAGACATGTTTTCGGGGGTCTGGAAAAACGAGGGTTCGGGGCGTTCGGGGGAGCCCATCGAAAAATTGCGGGAAGTTTTCCCCAGTTGTAAACGGGGCGAAATGTATGAGTTTGAACCAATTGCTATTCCTGCCATGCATCATGTTGGTATGGCCAAAACATATTATATACTATTGTATATATATATATATATATAGTCATTGTGAATACTAAAGAATCAATCAGGTCAACTATTTCAAACCATACAGATGTAGTTACTGCTTTTCCGCTCTTCCGCTTCCCCCATGATATCATACATTTTGCTGACATACCCTTTCAGGTCAAATTTCAGTAACCTCCAAAAAGCTGGCCATTTCCAATAGGCCCCCGAGCGATAGCTAAAAATTGGTTTACAATTTACAATATCAATAGAGACGAAGTAGGATTTAGGTGGAAATATATCTATCCTCTGGTTATTTGTTACATAGCCATGGTATAGATGGCCCATAGAAATAGATGGTTTACCTATTAAAAAGGGTGATTTTCCATGGCTATGTTAGTCATAACCAGATGGTAAAATATTCCAAAATGGGGTAACAGAAACCAACGAACACAAGTTGCAGGCCTTCCTGTGGGGTATCCAGGTATCCATTTCAATAGGTCGATTCATATATCTGGGTAAATTATAACGACCTCACTGCGACCTCACTGGAATCATGGTTAGTAAGGGAAATCATCCCAATATGGCCTTAATTCAGGTTAGTGAAATATTATAATTTGCCCAGATATATAGAACCAGCTTCAACCTGCGCCGCAATCTCCGGAACTACCAAAATGCAGTGGTTTATCATGATTTTTCTTATTAAAGTTCGCATAAATTGGGGGCATATGCCACAATTTCAGACATCCCATCAATATGGTTTGATATATATATACATACTTATATATATATATATACACAGTATATATATATACACACACACACATCCCACTACAGCCCATCCCATATTAAATATCTTCCCACCATTTTTGATCAACCGGTGTTTCAGCTTCTCTCACCTATCTCCTGGCCATCCCTGGCCAAAGTCAACACCGGTTTTCGCCCAGAGGTGTTTCTGATGCTGATCTTGCTCAGAAAGTTCGTTCTCGAATGGCAAGTGCAGGCAGAAAAACCTCAGTTTTCCCACTGGAAACACCGCAAGAAGGTGAGGTGAACCCCAACAGATGGCTGGTTTGTGTCCTTTTAAATAGGGGTCGCCGACATTTTCTCATGGTTGATGTTATCATATTTTCCATCCACATTTACATAAGAAAAGGGGTGTCTCTCCCCATTTCCCTTGGAACTGTGCCAGGTCAGATACTTTGACCACCTTGTACCGCGACAGGCTAGGTGGGTACTTGGTTTCAACGAGAAGGTGAGATTCAAACAGGAAAAAAACAGGAATTTCAACGACAATCGTAGGTTTTTTCTGGGGTGTTATAGGGATTTGCTTCAACCAGCAAAAAATGGGATGGATGATTTTCGGATGAAAAACCATCGGTTTCTTTCCATGTTTGCCGCAGGGTCCCTTTCCATGTTTGTATCCTGCACGGCATGATGGGCGGGGACTACATGGGCGACATCACTTGAACCCAGAAACAGAGAGCAAAAAACACTCGTAATTTGGGATAGGATGGGGCCCCAGTTCGTTAGCTAAGTTGGTGCAAATAACTATAATAGCAATAGTGACTCAATAGTGTATCATACGCAAATAATTATATTTAGATGGGGTTTTCTCAACCAACAAACATAACGTTTGGGGCCCCATCCTGGATGTTAGAGTTCATTTTGCGATTCCAACTTCGATCATCCCCGAAGACTGGCGCAACGGTCTTGCGGAGGAATATTTCAACAAGAACCACATTCGGTTTGGCCTGGCAATGCTTGCACGGCTCCAAGAAACAACCAGAAATGGGGAGACACCCCTGGAGTCACTGGATTCCTTCGTGCACTGAAGATTGGCTGCGCAGCCAAACTTCCATGTCCATGTCGCAAAACTGCCGAAAATGATTGCCAGCTCCATGTTGATTATTCAGGTGCATCCCACTGATATGAAAAGTGGGTAACAATTATTACATAGTATCCTTTTGTGACCCATTGAAACAATGGGTCAAAAAGGCTTGTATATGGCTTACAAACCACTTACGATTCCTTGGATGCACATTGGGCCAAGGTCTTGGAGGCCTTCGATGTGGTGATCTTCGCACTGCTGAGACCTAGGCGGTGGAAGCCATGCCATGCCATGCCCATGCTTCAACCGATGTTGGAGAAGCGATGCGTGGATTTTTGGACCCAGGGGGAACCAGGGGGAACCAGGGGGAACCAGGGGGGGTCCAGGAAAATCCTGGTGGAGCGGCCAGGTTTCGCTTCGCCTTCATAGCAAGATCTGGATATTTGTGCTTGCTTCCAGCCGTCGGGGGCGCTGAGGAAACGGGAGATGACTATTTCCCACAGAGTAACGAAAGGCACTTTGAGAAGTTCCTAAACTATCCTAAGCTCAGGTTATGACATCTGACTGGTGTAACTTGTACCTGGGGCCTCAAGGGGTAAACCCATCTGTCCTGATTTTGGTGGCTCAGTTGGCCAAAATGGGCTCAAGCTCTGGAAAATCACCATGTTTCTAGGTCAATCATCAAACCAAATGGGCCATTTTCCATAGCTATCTGAGTTTACCCAAGGCTAGTTCCAGGGTATTTCCAATAGCCCACGAAAATTCTGGCCATGACCCACCACTGATCTTCCTAGGTCACCACACTGGCGCGCTGCGTGTTGGCCTGCCTGTCGGGTGCCACAGATGGGTCAAAAAGTGAACCAAAGATGGTAACCCCCCACCCCCGCTCAACGTGCAGTTTGGAAGAATCCGAAGTTGACATATTTTAGAGTTTTAAGTTTTTTTTCCAGATGAAGTTGACATATTTTGAATGTTTTTAAATGTTAATGTATTCTGTCAGATTACGGGGAACGACAACTTGAATTTCGATCCGGCTCCAGAGACTCTCCGTGGCTGGACGAGGTGGGAGATGATCTCTGTGGCTGTCTTTCTGGTAGGCGATGGACTCTCGATCGGCAGTGATGATGATGGAGCGCTTAGCTGCGCTAGCAGCTAGGGCTATTCAGAAATATTCCCCTTTATAGAATGGGGAGCCAGTTGGAGCTACTTAGAGTTTGCCAAAAAAACATCTGGTTGGTGGTTTGGAACATGAATCTTATTTTTCCATTCAGTTGGGAATTTCATCATCCCAACTGACGAACTCATATTTTTCAGAGGGGTAGGTCAACCACCAGCCAGACATGATTAAGTCCAGTTAAGTCCAGTTGAGTCACTGGATGCTTTTCCAGATTGGATGATTGTGGTGAGCCGACCATGCCGTCCCATGCTGATTTTCGAAGCATCTGCCAACAACTCACGTCGCGACGTCGCGAAAACGAATGATAGGAATGGGATTCGGGTAACTATCCCGAAAAAGGTCAGTTCCACATTTCAGGTTGGTGAATTTACGACTTAAGATACTTAAGTTCTCCAGATCCACATGCATCCATATCATATTCTCACCATTTACCCTCAATGAAACATGGCATGCTGGAAAATACATCGTTTAGCTCGATGATTTTCCCAGCCATAAAAAAAAACATCCATGTACCCTCTGGTAATTTAACATAGCTATGGAAAATCATCATTTTTAATGGGAAAATCCACTATAAATGGCCATTTTCAATAGCTATGTTAGTTTACCAGAGGGTAGTAGTTCGGGGATTCTTTTCTTCATATTTCAAACCTCCATGATTAGAGTCTTTCCTTCAACCCTCCATGGCTGGGGCATTTCCCAGCCATGTTGGAGCAAAGCCAATCATTTTTTTTGGCTATGGACCAATACCCTATCAATAGCATATTTTTAGTGGCATGAACTGGCATGAACGTAAATCCCAGCTATTTTGATGTGAACTACAGGGGTACAAGGTAACTTGACTTATCCATATATATATATATATATGTAATTATATATATATATATATGTAATTATATACATATATATATATATATATGTATATCCATTGATATCCCACTATTGCTTATACCCCCATGATATCCGAAGATCGCCAGGCACCGTGGTCTTCTTCGCCTGGATCGCAGTGACCATCTTTAAGGACCTGGACCATGGCACCAAGGCCCTGCTTGGCTGCTGCCTAGATCCACCTGGTTCGTTGTTTCGTTGGTGACTTAATGTGTATTGATAGTGATTAATGGTGATTAGTGGTTAATGATGATGGTTCATGATGGTGGTTATTGGGTATTTTTGTGGTGATTCATGGTGATTTAGTAATTAAACCATCATTAACAATGGTCATTAAACACTATTTATTAATGGTTGATTGATGATTATTCATGTGGGTAAAACAATGGAAAATAAACCACCCATGACTGGGAATGGTAAGTTTATAGCACCTATAAAAATGGTGATGACTGGTGGATAGTTTATATTTATGGCATTGTTTTAACCAACAGAAGGTGATAGATTCCATGGAGATTCTTAAAAGCCCAGAACTCAGCATGACAGTCATTCTGTGCACTGTAGGGATGGTTTTCAACCACCGTTTTCGGTGGATTTCGCTGGCCCATCCACCGTGAGTTTGTGTGTTGACATATGTCAAAAATCGCCAGAGGGGATAGGCACCGAACAATTTACGCCTGGCAAAAATGACATCTGAGGAGATCTGGAGTTTTGCTGCACTTTTCGCTGAATCCTGACTTCTTTCGGAAAAACCATGGTAAACCCACCTGACTTGGACCATTGGATTCTTTAATTGCTGAAGCTGTCAGGGCTTCGAATCCTTCAAAGAGTCCTTGAACTCGATGTTCATCGCTGGTGCCCCTTGTCTTCAAACATTGCCTTTGGGATGCCCGGATGCCGCCGGTGGGGTGTGGCAACTGGTGGTACTCTGGACCAGGTTTTCAGGGTCTGACATTGGGATCTCCTCATCTTCCAGGAATTCATGCACCATGTTCGTTGAAGAACCTTGGCTCTGTAGATACAGACGTAAAACATGTCAGTGAAAAATGGAGGAATACTGTAGTTATGTGGTAAATCCAATGATAAACATGATAAACCAATACAAACCATCTCCAATTTGGGCTTATGATTGGGTACCAGCCCCTGTTGGGTTTATGACACGCCAACGTTTTTTTTTTCTGCGATGCAAACTCGCTGAGGTCTCCGATGAGTTTGTGGCGGTCTTTCTCAAGTGCCCAGGGGACGATTTCCCGATTTAGAAACTGACCCAACCTGGTTATGACTAACATACAAAGTGGGCCCCCAAACGATAGCTAAGTTGGTGAACATAACTCCAATAACTATGGTTTATGGTACGCAAATAACTATAGTTACTGGGGCGAATCTAAACCAACCTATAACTGGAGGGCCCCACATTGTAGCTATGGAAAATCCATTATAAATGGAGGTTTAGTTCGCTGGGAAAATCATCTATTTCGATTAGGGCCATCGACAAACCATGGCGAACTGTAACAGTCATAACCAGAGGGTAACAAAAAAACTGAACATCGAAACAGGATGCGGTTATGATTTGGTAAAAATCACATGCATCGAATTTCGATCGTTTCTTTTGAGTTCCAACGAGGAAGGACGACTGGATACATCTTCCATCAACTGTTTAAGTGCGCCTTGCGCACATTCTTGGCGATTTTGTCACAAGTTGTCCCACATCTTCTTTTCATCGGCCCGTCTTCGGTTTGGATGTTGGTTCAACATGATATTGTGGGAGTTTTCCCGAAACTTGGAACTGTAGAGCTCAAATAAATGTGGCCAACATCTGCCGTGGCAACTTTCATCTGCCGCCATGGCCAGGTCTTACACGGCATATCGCTTTGTTGGAGTCCGGGAGCCCGAGCTACGATTCAAATGGGGCTGTGGACCACTGATCCAATTGAGTGGCTTCAGTTGTACCAGTTGGCTAACATAGCCATGGAAAATCCTCATTTTTGATAGGTAAACCATCTATTTCTATGGGCCATCTATACCATGGCTACGTAACAAATAACCAGATGGCATCGTTTTTTTTGCGCCAACATGGCATCAGCTCCCAAGTTGTGCGGATTTTTACCGACAATCAGCAGTGTTTTGAGTTATTGCGTCCATAGTGATACACTGTGATGATGATGATGATGATGATGATGATGATGATGATGATGATGATGATGATGATGAGGACGACTAAGACTAAGATGATGATGTTGATGACAGTGATCGGGACACAATGTCGGATTCGTCTTCCCCATGAGCTTTAGCACAAGACTCAAGAGATTGCGCAATATTTTCTTCCAAACCTTTTTTGTTTAGGATTCACTGCTATCTTTCTGCGAATCGGTTCCCCAACTGGGGCATCTGCCCGAAATCTTCCGACTTTGCAACTGGCTTCCCTAAAGAATCGTCCCGTGGATCCCAGGAAACCGGGAAAAGTCATGAATTTGATCATCCATCGAGCATCTTATCCGTCTCATCCGAGATTCAATCCCTATCTCCCGATATCTCCCATTTTTTTGGTACACACTTGCATGGTATTGCTCACATCCCCACATCATCTAAAAAAACATCGCTTAAATACATGGAATGGGGAGACATAGCCGAATCTCCTCATTTCACTTAATCATCCATCAAACATCGTCCCATCATCCCTTGCCCCGAATATTTTTCACACCCCTTATCCGGAACCATCGTTTAGTAGGGATTCACAACTATTTTGGAAGCACTGGGGGTGTTTTTCACGTTAGGATGGGATTAATATGGATGGAACCATTTTCCTTAAATCATATACCCTCTGGTTATGACTAACATAGCCATGGTATAGGTGGCCCATAGAAATAGATGGTTTACCTATAAAACATGGGTGGATTTTCCATGGCTATGTAACAAATAACCAGATGGTATGTTGGTCATCTATGGACGTTTGGCATCTGCAGATCCTCTGGCTGATCTTCTTAGTCATCGCACATGTGATGCTGCTCAGTTTGGCCCGGGTCCTCGATTTTCCGGAAAAGGAGTTGACGGAGACACCCATTTTTGTGTGCGAAGAAACATAGGAAAATGGTGGTTTAATGGGATTTAATGGGATTTAATGGCACTTACCCTCTGGTAAACTAACATAGCTATTGAAAATTTTCCATTTCTAGTTGATTTACCCACTAAACATGGTGATTTTCCATCGTTTTTTGGATGTTTACCAGAGGGTAACATCATATAACTAGCATCCAAATCCCATGGGTTTTCATTCAATTCATGACATGTGGCGATTTCGGGGTGCGCTGAATTTTTGGACGCTAAACAATGGGACGGAAAGGGAGTGCTTTAGGGCTGAAAGTGGGAACAAAAACATGGAAATGGGAGAGGCGAAAAACCATTCCATGGGCAGAAATCCAATGGTAAGAGCAAGATAAAAGAACTCGGAAAACATGCCTGGAAAATCATTTTTTTGCGGGTGGATCCACAGTTTGAAGACTTTGAGTCACGTGTCATAGATATTGAATTTTGGGATTTGAGGGAGAGGCACGGCACCCAAAAGCATCCAGTATGTATGTTATTCTCCAGTGACTGACACACGGCAATGATAAATTCTGACTTGGGCTGGATGATTGCCTCTTGAGCGAAAGGATACTGTCAGCAACACTGGCGGAAAAGTATCTGGATGTATTCTCTGGTAATCAAACAGGGCAATAGAAAGCCCTCCATCAGTTTGTAGATGATTTTCCCATTTACCCTGTGGTTATTTAACGTAGCTATGGAAAATCACAAATTTTGATAGGTAAATCATCATAAATCATCTATGAATGGGCAATTTTCCATAGCCATGTTAAATAACCAGAGGGTAGATCTCCATTTATTTCGGAATTCTTGGCCAGCCATGTCTGATGACACCGGCCAGGTGTTAGACACACTCTGCTCGGAGCCTTGGTCCTGGGTTTTTCGAGATTCCTGGCGAATTTTGGTGGCCAACTGGAGATATTCCCAAGGCAGTTGGATGTTGGGAAGATTCGAATTTCCGGAAAGAATTTTTAGCATTAGCATTGGACATGGTTAGCCTAGTTTTTTAAGAACAGTTCTTAATATTTGGGGACATTTGGTATGTGAAACTCCCCGATAAACTCCTGAGATGATTTCCACCAAATGACCGGAAAAAAGGCTAAGCGACCCACACGAAGGGCCCCCCAATAAGACCATCTAACTAGATATATCACATATCCACCATAAATATAAAAATCCTTGGCCCAGGTTTTTGAACCAACTTGCCTATCAGCGGCTGCCTGCAGCTGGTCGTTGCTGAGGTGCAGCCTACATGACCTACTCAGAACATAGAGCTGAGGTGCGGTCTTGCCTGGTTTCAGGTCCACCCTGTGAGCACCTGCGGATCACCGCACTTATAACTGGAACACACTGGAACCATGCTTAGAACCATGGAACTGGAACCATGGTTACAATGCATGAGATAAGCCCGGAGGACTTGCAGGACTTGCGAGCAACAGGGTTAGCACTGACCATCAGTGGGACCACCATTTTCATAGGCTTTTGCTGGAGCTGTGAATAGGACTTGGATCCAGCAAAAGTTCATGGGGATTTGAGATTGGAGACGAGGATTCAAGCTGCTTGATACCTACTTGGTCTTTGTGGAAGAAATCCTGCATGGATAATTGAAACCCATTCAAAATCATGGGATAAACCATGGATAAACCTATCAACTGGTGCAGGATTTCGCTGGCCCATCCACAATATCCACCGTTGCGTCTCTTAGGCAACGGCTGAGCAGCGTATCTTAGGCATGTGGAAGGCGGCAACCGAGCAACTGTCGGGGAGAGATGGCTGATGGATTTTCCAGTCAGCTAGATTGGTTTTGAACTAGCTTGAGTAGGAATTATGTGGACTGGTTGGTGGTTTGGACCATGAATTTTATGACTTTCCATATATTGGGAATAGTCATCCCAACTGACTTTCATATTTTTCAAGATGGTTGAAAGCACCAACCAGTGGAATTATGGTGATTATAACTAAAATTAGGTGGGATTCTACAATATTATACACTAACTTAGAACAAGCACCCTTGGAGATCATGGCGAAGCCAGTCTCTGGCCACAGTACTCGTAGCTTCAGGGGGGGCGATCTATGTCTCGGTTCAACAGCTAAGTAAAATGGGAGAATCATTACCCTCTGGTTATGTCAAAATAGCTATTGAAAATGGCCATTTATAGTCGACTTACCCATTAATGGTGATTTTCCATAGTTACGTTAGTTTACCAGAGGGTACCAACTATCGATTCAAGTGACATGACCAGAATCCAACATCAATGGATCAAAATGGGTCAACATGGGTCATTGATTTCATGTGTCAACACCTCTTCGAAGCAATTGGACTAAAAACCAAAACACTCTACTCTCTAAGTTGGTTGGTGGTTTGGAACCATGGAATTTTATGACTTTCCATTCAGTTGGGAATTTCATCATCCCAACTGACGTTCACTCCATCATTTTTCAGAGGGGTTGACGGTCAACCACCAACCAGATTATTATTAACCATCATTAACCATATAATAACCATTACCCTCTGGTAAATAAACATAGACCCTGAAAATCACCAATTGTTAGAGGAAACTAATCTTCCAATTCCTATCTGCCAGGGTCTATGTTAATTTACGGGAGGGTAATATTAACCATTATTAACAGTATATTAACCACAACGGTAGGTCGGTGTTGAGAGCCCAGCTAAAGGATGATCAAGGAGATGTCTCCACTAGCCGCCTTTGAAGCCTCATTGACTCCCGGACAAACATATTAATATATTTATATTAATATACTATACTATACTATACTATGCTATACTATAATATAATATAAAATATTAATATAAATATGATATAATGTAATAATGAGAAAAATGATGTGATATGATATGATATAAGTATATATGTATATAGATATAATGTATATATCTATAACAAAAATATTCATATACATAATAATAGTATATATTAATAATAATGATAAAATATAAATACAAATATAAACATGATAATATATGTATATTATAATATATATATATAAATGATATATACATAAAACATATTAATATATAGAAATAATATGTATATATTTATATATATATAGAAATATAATAGTGTATATATATATAAATAATAAATAATACACATGTATATACTCTTATATATGTATATATATAATATATATATATATTATAGCGATAGACGTATCCGTATTATAGTACCCCACCAAAAGCTAGAAATGCAAAGTCTAATCCAAAAATAGAGATACATATAACATTTCTTATCTCTTTGGGGGTTACTCTTATACAATATACATATATACATGCACGCATACATACATCCATACATACTTACATAACATTCCATCACATGACATCACATCACATACATATAACATTTTTATACATTTTTTTTATCTCTTTGGGGGTTGCTCTTGCACATATACATCACATTACATTACATACAAGGTGGTACCCCCCCAGTTATAAGTTGGTTTATAACCCCCATTAAGTATAGGTATATCTACCATAAACCAAAGTTACTGGAGTTATGTTCACCAACTTAGCAAACTATGGGGCACCACTTTGTACACAGCACATACACAGAGAACATTCTCTATAAAAAACCTGTCACATCCAGGCCTTCAAGACGCTGAGCAACGCCACGGGTGGTCACGAGAAGGAGGTTCAGCTAACACCAAACTCCGGGGTCATCCTAGTGGTCGAAATGAGGACTTTCCCATGGGCAAAATATGGTGGGTCTTGGGTGGTGTTTTCCATGAGAACTCCGGGATTTGGATGGGCTGGGACCAGGTGAGGGGATTTCACACCCAGAAACGAAGCCGGGAGATGGCCGGGACCGCCCTAAAAAGGGCGAACCTGGGATTTGGGATCTGGAACCAACAATGAGATATTTTTTTTGGGGACCTGAAAATTGGGTATAGCCCGAAAATGGCTCTTTTATTGGGAACGATGATGCGTGTTTTTTTTTCTGTTTGCACCCTATTTTCGCACAAACACTTGTGGTGAATCCAGATTTTTTGTTGGGGGTCTGTCTATAGATGAATTTTATAGTATTGTTGGTTGTCCATTCGTAGATCCATACTGGTATAGTTTACTGCAATGAGAAATGATCCAAAAGTTCATGTCTTCTCAAAGCAGTGTTAGTTATATCACCCTCACCTTCCAGGCAAACCTATCAGAGTAACCAATCACAAGTTATCATGAGGTTGTTCATCACCTTCCAGTTAGCTATCTCAGAGGAAATTGGAAGTTAGGGAGTTACTAAGTGAAATATGATTATAAATCCCATTAAGACACCATTTGAGTCCCATAAAACCACCATTTTTCGTGATTTTAGAGGTTCAGTCACTAGGTCCTGGTTTGCGGTATCGAAGACTAGCCATGTACTATCCACCAATATTAAGACGCAAAGACTTGTTGGTCCACACATGGGTCGAGTTCCCAAAATCAATCCATTTTCGTGAGGATTCCCATTATGTTTGGATTCCCAATCTGACGTTTTGACCATGGCACAAACGGGCACAAGGCTGCTTGCTTTTTTTGGCTCAGTACCCCCCAAAAATCATACCACTTGTTGGCGCAAAGACTTTCCTACACAGTTGGCTTTGGTCGTTGAGATCATTCAACTTGGTCGCCACCTGTTTAATGTTATTATTCCCTTGCATTTTGATGAAATTTTCATGTAAGTATTAATGTTTTCTGTTTTCCTAGTATGAATTTTAATGTTATTATTTTCTCATTAAAATGTTATTTTAAAATCGTATTTATGTTATTTTAATGTTATTTTAGATTCTCATTCCCTAGCGATGAATTTTCATCATTTCTCCCTTTCCCACAAGAACCTGTCAGGTCACACAGTCCAACTTCATGCTCTTCCTGCAGGAGTTGAAAAACAGCAACTATCCTGGATGTGGCTTTAGAAAAACCCATGGAAAAAATCATGGATTTCACCAACAATGGGAAGATCATGGGGGAAAACCCCATGGAAAAATGAAGAATTTCACCAACAATGGGATATATGATGGGGAAGAATAGGGAACATTGATGAACATTGGACATATACTGGGCATATTGCCCTCCGTTGTGCTCAAACATCATCTACAACTAGGGCATTTTCCGAAAGGGCCACATTTGATTAGCGACAAATCATGGGAACACGATGGGACTGGAAAAACCCCAAATCTGCCGTTTCTTGTTTCATTTTGGGTTACCCGGCCTGGTGAACATACAAAAAGCGAACTGGAAAATGGCTATAGAAATAGTGGATTTTCCCATTAAGAATGGTGATTTTCCATTGCTATGTTAGTTCACCAGAGGGTATGTCATAGTTATAGTCATAAAATATGGTCAGAAAACTCCATATTTGTGTGGCCATGTGTGTCAAAAGGCTTTGACAGAAAGGCTTGACGAAGGATTGCCTCTGGCGGTACTGTCACAGACGTGTCACGTTTGAAAGCTTAGTACAACACCAAAACATGAATCAGGGCCATAGAACAATAGATTGTTATATGGGTTTGTCTGAAAATAGGGTATATTCCCAATGAAATAGCCATTTAATAGGGATAATGATCAGCAAAACCATTGGGTACAATGGGGTACACTATTTTCAGACACACCCATATATATATATGGAACAATACTGTAGATTGTTATGTTGGGGCTTTCTTAAAGTGTTTTGGATCTCCAAGTCACCGTGGGTCTCAGGACCAAGTCATGGTCATCCATGACGACTGGATGATGACTGGGGTGTTTCACCATTTTAGGACACCTCCATATGCTTATATAGTGGTTAGATATTCACTATAGGTATATACAACAAAAACATCTAAAAAATATAGATGTATCCTAAGAATAGCCATTGACTATAGATATTAACACATATTGACACATATTAACAGATATTAACATCTATTGACACATATTAACATATATTAACCTACATAGTTCATTATTAACAATCCTAGATATATGCTATGTGCCCATCAAAATGTGTCTCAGCATCAGTCCATGACCCTGGCGCCGGCTCCTCTGGCTCCGGCGGCTTGAGGAGATCAGTACATCGCCAAGATCCGCTGGCATTTCGACCGACGAGGCGGGACCCAGAGCTGCGGAGCTGGATGGGGTCCCTATCCGTCCAGTAAAAAAAGACGTAGCGAACGAACGGAAAGCCATAGAAACAGTGGATTTAATGTTCTAAAAAAGGGTGATTTGCCATGTTTGTTGGTTGAGAAAACCCCATCGAAATATAGTTATTTGCGTATCATACACTATTGTTATTATAGTTATTTGCACCAACTTAGCTAACGAACTGGGGCCCCATCATGTCTGATACTCCGTCTTTTCAATGTGTCAGTCTAGGTATCAAACTATCATAAAAACTTCCATCTATCATATTCTATCATATTCTATCAATCAATCGATCTATCGCTCTTTTGATTGATAGTTGGGTACACCCCCGTTGTCAAAACCATTCTGGGTAAATGATGACAAACGATATACCAGGCATTAGGCCCTCTATTCTTCCCAAAAGGACATTGATGGAGCGTGGTCCAGGACTTGCGAAATACGCATTGGATCGCATTGGTACAGTAAAGAAGGGGAACAATTCATTTTAAGATATCTTAAGACTTAAGACATATTCGTATTAAATCGTATTAAAGTAAGACTTAAGATATCAGTGCATTTATCTGAAAATATTATTCAGTATTTGGACATGCCCAACTGCAACGCAACTTCGTTGGTGACACGCTTTTGTTGGATGAGGTGGTATTGCCATGCCTGAGTTTTAGCGCGGGGGGCCATGTATTCCTAAATTGATTTACAAGTGGCTAGTGGGCAGATGTCATCTTGTTAAGATGTATTCATCTTGGAATCCCTTGGGAAAATTCAATCGTAGGCATTGGTTTCCAGCCTTCAGGAGAATTCGAAGCCCAGACAACATTGTGACATATGGGGATGGGTCAAAACCCTGGTACCTAGTGAACCCCAAAATAGCTGGTAAATGGATGTTCATTCCCCTAAAAATGGTATTAATAGGTATTGATCCATAGCCATATTATGACTGCAGCTGAACTCGCAAATGATTTTATATTTGGCTAATCAGATACCCTTTGGTAATCAAACATGCCCATGGAAAATGCACCATGAATAGAAGTTTTTCCCATTTATAGATGGTTATAAGTGGTAAGGACATAATCATGTTCCCATTTATACTCATTTCTAGGTGATGTTCCCATTTCATTTCCTATTCGTAAAGGGATTTCCATTCGTTTTTTCGGCAAATCAGATGGGCAGAACCGGCAGGCAGAGATCATGTGGCAGGCCATTGACAAGGCTTGCGGATGGCTCAAGGGATCTCACGGATCACGGATCAAAAAGGAGGTGAGACGACGAGGTTATACAAGAGATATTTTCAGGTACTAGTCAGAAACACATATATCGATATGTATATATATATATATGTATACATATATATATATATTATATGTATACATATATATATATATATTATATGTATACATATATATATATATATAATGTATATATATATATGTATTATATGTGTATATATATATGTATGTATATGTATATATGTATATATGTATATATGTATATATGTATATATGTAAATATGTATATATGTATATATGTATAGATGTATATATATACATGTATATATACACATATATGTATATGTGTACATATATATATGTATATATACACATATATATATATACACATATATGTATACATATGTATATATACATACATATACATATTCATATATACATACATATATATATATATAATTATATACATATATTATATATAATTACACATACATATTCTATCTATACATGTATACACGTAGACGCATACACTATCCACATTTTTCTCCGTGATTTCTGTCCCTTGGGGGTCTCGGGCGCCATGGCCAGGACCAGTCTGGCAGCATTGACCCTGAAGAGTCTGGAGCTCTGGTGGGTAGCAACTGGGTGGTATATCTGGCGCTATTGAAAATTGTAATTTACCGTGGGTTTTCCCATTAAAAATGGTGATTTTCCATAGTTATGTTAGTTTACCAGAGGGTATTTTTCCAGTTGGCATTCATTATTAAATTCGGGATATTTTTAGGTGGGGATATTTTTCCATTCGGAAAGCCGAGGCACACTGAGGCGAGTTTTTGAAGATGGGGATGGGTTTTGACCAAAAAAAAGATGGGAATCTCAAGGAATTCGATCAGGTGCTTTTGTTGGAGTATCTACCACCGTTTCTGTGGATGACCCAATGTTTTACTCAGGGTGGGGTTTAAGTAAGATGGGGATTGATGCGATTCACCATGGAGATTGATTCGATCACATGTGGCCATGTGGACATTCAAAAGACCGGTTGATGATGTTTGACTTTTTTTTTGGTGGTGACTAATACTGGGACAACAAATGGCTTTGCACATTGAATTTGTGATTCTGCTGGAACTTTGCCATTTTTGCATCCACCAGAAATGGATAAACTGTAAAGAATATGTCACTGTATTGTTGGGGCATTTCTTGCAGTCACCCATCTGACTCTCCAATTTTCAACCAATGGCCCAGGTTTTTGGGGGTGGTTGGGCTGATTCAGTACGACTTTTGGACAACCAGGACCGCAGGCATTGGGATTTTCGAGTTTTCGAGGCACCTTTTTTGGATATTCTGGATGACAGATCATACTACCAGGCCTTTTTTTTGGTGCTGATGTCTTTTTGGGCGAATTCATCTCGTGATCAGCCACGTCGGGAGCCTCTCTTTTGGACGGGACGAGGATTTTTCGAGTGGCCCTGGCAGGAAAGATTCCTACATCAGGGATTGGTTCCCAGAATTGTGGGACACTCCCTGGTACAGGCGCTGAGCTCTGTGCATTCTGTGCATTCTGAGATGATGTTGGGAAATTGCCGTGGAAACGATTGGTCAGTCACAGCTGCGACTCTAGATCAGTTTTTTTTCCGGGACAATAGGGATACTGTCTCTCTTTTTTTGCAGTTTGACAAGCGCTCGATCTATGATTGTCAGTCACATGTTCAGTCTTATTGGTGAATCATCCCACACTGAAATGTTGGTGAAACAATGGCCGTGACACATTTCCGTTAAGGATTTAACCAGTGTTCTTTTCAGTTCTTTAACATGATTGTTTTTTATGCCAATCCCACGCCCTTCATTAGCTTGGACATACGGTGAGCACTCTTGTTGGTTACCCTCTGGTAATTTAACATAGCTATTGAAAATTGCCAATTATAGTGGATTTTCCCATTAAAACATGGTGATTTTCCATAGTTATGTTAGTTTACCAGAGGGTACATCCCGTAGTATTCCCATGTAAAACAGCTTGAATTTGCTATCCAGTGCTGAGGGAGCGGTTCAGAGCTACTGGTATCTAATGGTATCTATGTGGGGAAAGCCAGTTGGAGCTACAATTGACTTTCCCGTGGCCACCATGGGAGATCTCCAGGATCCAATTGATGGAGGTACGTTAGTACCATATGTTGGGCCATATTTTGTGGGGATATTCCCTTACACAGGCCTCAAAAATAGGCCTTATATATGGTAAGCACCTCCAATTTAGGATCCTGAAATTCCCATTGATGATAGTCTGACAATTTCCAACTTTTGCACTGCCTGTGAACTCCAGTCTTGATACTCTCATACATTTCTAGCTCGGTCTTTGCAGGTGTTGGTATCTTCATGTTTAATGGCTAAGATACACTCCATGTTTGCGACGATAAGCCATTCCAGTCACCTGAAATCGCTCATCAGTTTTTTTTGAATTGGGCAAACAACAATCAACTTCACCCAATATTCCTATGATGGTTTGATGAGTTTGATGTTTAAGTCCTTAAATTTCTTGATGGATGAAAAAAAACATCTTTTCAATTTAATTATGGATTTCCATCTACACCCGGTTTTGCTCCTTGGGAAATCGCTTGGGAAATCCACCACGTCTTTATCCCTGCTGGGGATTCCATGGGAAAGTGACATTCGCTCCACAGGAAGTATCGCACGTTCGTGGACAGCGGAGACGACTTGGATTTGTCGGTTCTCACGCTGGACAGGTGCGGCACTAATTTGTTTCTCAAAATGGCTGGGATGATGAGCCAAAGATTGACTTAGGATGACTTAGATATGAGATGATATGAGTATGAACCATAAAAAAGATGTTTTTTTTTCTGCAAAAGACGGGAAATTCGAAGAAAAATGGAGTTTCACACATTTTGAACATGAAAACTATGGGATTGTGACCCAAGTATGGGGGTTTCTTCACACGCCATGACATGAGCATCTTTTCCGTGGACGTTCTCTTGAAAAGATGCCCAAATGGAAAAACATTTTTGGTGCTTGGGCGCAGGTTAGTGAACCTCATTCTGCTGGTACGAAAGCTTAGAAAGCTGGCGGCCTGAATTGTCTTGTTCTGAAGATATTTTGAGAGACCCAGAACACCACCAAAACGATATAAAGCACAAGAAATGAATCGATTGATCATGTTGATTCATGTGCCCAGTTGATACCCTCTGGTAATTTAACATAGCTATGGAAAGATCCACCATTTTTAATGGGTCAATCAACTCTTTCTATGGCCATTTTCCAGTTCGCTATGTAACAAATTACCAGTTGATAAATCGTATCCCAAAGTTCTGCAGCGGCTATCTCTGTTGGTGAAGCCGCACAGCGAGGTCAACTTGGTGTTGGTGGTGGTTGAGAGCTACTATGACCTCAGCAAGTGACCATCTTAGCTGTTTCATGGCACAGAAAAGCACGAGACTTCGAGCTCAAAATCTCAAAATCCCATGGGAAGAATCAGGAAGTCCTGTTCTACGCAATCAGTGGGTGAAATTGCTTGGTGATCAGAGGTCTCGGATTGCCAAGTAGCGTGATCGTCCTTCATCCAAAACGCGACGCGAAACCACATCGCAGTAATATTTTCTTCCCAACAATAGTCATATCAATAGTCTAGATATGTCTAGATGATATAGTTTTAAGTGTGTTTTATCCAGATGCTACAACTTGATGGTTGTTAAAAGCCCCATGGCTTCGGCTTTCGGCGCTGAGGTGGCCTGAACCAGAATGGATGGATTCGATGGAGTTGATCTTCTCCTTCATCTACTTGGGCTGGGGCACTGCTGTAGTGTTCCCAAGAAAAAAGGGATAGAAAAGGATAGAATCCCACTGAAACAGTGAAAAATGAGTGATGATTTATGATGATTTTTACTTTTTTGAATAAAAATTGGAGATTGTTGTTTGTCAGGATACCATGGTCTTTTGTGGATGCACATATATGTTCTGACATCCCCAATTCGGCAACGGTCCCATTGTTGGGTACCCTCTGATAAACATACAAAAAGCTATTGGAAATGGCCATAGAAATAGTGGATTTACCCATCAAAAATGGTGGATCTTTCCATAGTTATGTTAAATTACCAGAGGGTACTCCATAACATGGGCGGCGTTCGAACCTCGAACCTTTTGACGGGTTTGCCCATGTTTGCCGGCGATGGAGCGGACGCAGGGGAGTTCTTCATCAAGATCTCGGTGTTTTCCTTTGCAGAATACTGGCTTGGGTCTCCAGATGTACCCAACCTGGTTATGACTAACACAGCCATGGAAGCCATGGCCCATAGACATAGATGATTTTAACAGCGAACTAAACCTCCATTTGTGGTTGGGATTTTCCATGGCTATGTTCGTCATAACCAGATGGTGCATTTTTAGAAGCTGGGTCTTGAGTCTCAAGTGACGCTCAAAGGCACATGTCGAGCGCTTGCGCAGATCCACAGTAGCAACATGGCCACGCCCCAAAAAACGCCATTTGTCTCCATGAATTCGATTGTAGAACTAAAGCTGCCAGCAAGTCTCATTTTGGGTAAACCTGAATTGGGTCGCGTTTCGTTTCTTAGGGTGGAAAACGTCACAGAAGGAGACTCACCTATAAATATATATATATATAACATCCATATAAGATCTATACATCTACATAGCATACCCAGCTCAAGATGATTTTTGCCAGTTTCTGTATTTCGAACCATATCGGTCCATATCATGCATTATCATGGCTCCCGAGGTCCAGCATTTCGAACCAGTTCGATTTCTTCACCACTTGGCTCCTCTTAAGCACCTCCATCGCTGAGAGGCAGCGGCCACGGAGTTTGGGGCCGTTTGGCTGGGGGGTTCCAGGGTTCCATATGGCTGGGGGTATCCCGGATATCCCAATAGCACGCTGGATGGTTTATAATTAATGGAAACTGCCAAACAAAAATAGATGATAACAAAAATAGATGATAAAATGGATGATAACTGGGGGTACCCCTATTTCAAGCAGAAGATGTGTCACCTTTTTGCGCACCTTTTTGTGAATCCAATGTGTTGAGTTGGAGAAGATTTCAGCAAATAAAGTGTCGGGTTTATGTACATATACTATATGAAGTATATTATATATAGTATATATAATATAAGAATATATATATATATATATTTACCATTATATATATTATATATTATATATTATATATATTATATATTATATATTATATATATTATATTATATATTATATATTATATATTATATATATTATATATATATTATATATATTATATATATATTATATATATTATATATTATATATTATATATTTTATATATTATATATTATATATTATATATTATATATTATATATGATATATGATATATGATATATATATATATATATTATATATTATATATATTATATATTATATATTATATATTATATTATATATTATATATTATATTATATATTATATATTATATATTATATTTATTATATATTATATATTATATATATATTATATTATATATTATATATATATTATATTATATATTATATATTATATATTATATATTATATATTATATATTATATATTATATATTATATTGTATATATTATATTATATATTATATATTATATGTTATATATTCTATTATATATTATTATAATTATTATATTGTATATTATATTTTATATTATATCTTATATAATATATATTATACACTATATATTATATATAATTTATTATTATTATTATATATTATATTTTCTATATTTTATATTTTATATTGTATATTATATATATTTTATTGTATCCATTATATATTATATATATATTATATATATATTTTATTATATTCATTATATATCATATACATTGTATATAATATATATTATATGATATTTTATTATATGATATTATATATTATATTATATATTATATTATATTATATACATATATGTTATATTATATATTTATTATCAAATATTATATATATCATATTTATATATCTATAATTACGAATGTAAACATTGTAAATAAACTCAGCAATAAACCCGAGACTTTTCCACCAGGAACTCCTTTCAACTCCACAGAATTTCTCTCGCGCGCTACTGTACTGATGGGAGCGGCAGGTTGTTTTCCAGCGGCATCTCCACATATGCCAACATGCTGCGACTGCTCAGGAAGGGTGGGGTGTGAAACCAAGCATTGAATATTTGGGATATATCATGTATAATTGACTTGATGGAGAGAAATAGCGACCAAGAATTTCAGGGTTGTTCCAACCTATTGTAGGTAAATTATGGTCACGCCGGGAAGGAAAATGGGTAACTCTACATTTTTATCTAACTATTCCCACCCCAAACGTATCTGGGGTAGTGAGAGCAACCCTGTTAAAGGGGAAAGTGACGATCAACCAGCTGATAAATGGAATACTGACTTGACCCCTTGAGGATATCACGGGACTTTACCTGATACTCCTCACTAAAAATTGGCATTTAGAAAATTTAGATAGTCAACCCAATCCAAGATTCCTCCAAATTCTCAAGCGCAAGCTGTGGCAGCCAGACAGGTTGGTGCGCGTTGTGAAGAATTTGAAGAACTTGGAATCCGCCCGGAGACCCGTGGCACGGTTTTTGTGGTGCCACTTAGAATGTGGCATTCTGAATGCCTCTTTTGGTGAGGAAAGGGGAGTAGAATCAACCAAACCATGGAGGATTGATCGATAGAACTATAGTGTAGCATGTATCATGGTAGCTATAGTATAACATGGTACAACCTAAGACAAATTTGGAGGGGATAAGTATGAGTCAACTGTCACCACAGTTAACTTGGGTGTTCTGATGTTCCCTGAAGTTTGCTACAGGTTAAGGAGCCCGTGTTTGGAGGCTCACTACGGTATATTTCAGTAGGGAGTGGGAAAAACACTGGTGAGAGGCGAGAGAACCAGCCCCCAAAATTCAACCACAAATTCATGAGCCACAAAAGCTGAGAAAAACGCTGAGTTGATCACTCAAATCTTCCCCCCAATTCATAGCAACTTCCCGTCGTTCCATCCTTGGTGTGGATCTATGACGTCGAATCCTTGGTGTAGATCTATGACGTTGGGGGGATGGCATCAGGTGCCATAATCATAAGATCCCTTGCTTATGATCCAAGTAATATCCACTGGTACTAAGTGTACTATCCATCTTCGGTGGTTTTTCATATGATAGCCATCATACCATCCAAGTTTCAATGGATTGGTTTAGGGGAAAATTTACAGGAAAACCCCATATTTAATGGTAAAAACCATGGTTTCCTGTAAATTTTCCCTTAAACCAATCCATCCATTCGTTGGATAGCACCATTCATCGCAGGTTCAATTCATGATGGACACGGTGTCGAAGCTGGTGGCTGCCTCGCAGGACTTACCGGTGCCATCCATCTAAATTCCCTCAAAAGCCCCAAAAAAAAGTGGCCCCCCCTAATGACGATAGCTAAATGGTGATATACAACCAAGAAATAAAGGGATTTGATGGGATTTATAGCTGATTTATAATAGCGTTCAGTTGGGGTGAACACATAACTCCAAATTCACGAACTGGTAAAAATGTGGTACGCAAATAACGAACTAGTTACTGGGGTGAATCTAAACCAATTTAGAACCGGGGGGCCCCACATTGTACTAAGCACCAATAAGATGAAGGGGAAGGATTCACGAAGTTTCTCTCATTTTCATCGGAAGTTTCGCACTCTTTTGGGACGAAAAACCGAAAAACCGGTTGACCTTGACGCGGGCCCCAGTTTGCCGAGCTTGCGGTGATCTGACCCATGGGAGGTATAAACTATGAGTATGATTTCAGATATAGATTTGCCTTTATCTGGTTGGTGGTTTGGAACATGAATTTTACGACTTTCCATATATTGGGAATGTCATCACCCCAACTGACTAATATTTTTCAGAGGGGTAGGTATACCACCAACCAGTTATGTTTCTTTGTTGATAAAGCATAAGTATCCACTATAGATACTTTCAAGCTTCAGAAACATCACGAAACTGGCACCACCTGCAGAGGATATGATGCTTTTGCTGGGCGTGGTGGTTTTCTTCTTCTGTGCCTTCTCAGTTCAGGTCGCAAAGAGGGCTGGTCGGTGGCAAATGCTCTCCCTTGTGAAAGAATAGGTTGATGGGTTCCTTGTTGGTAAACAGGGCAGATTGAACCAGCAAGTTTCGAAATCAGAAAAACGAAGGGGTTGCTTGGTGGTGCAGCAATAGGGATGCATATTCCCTATGAAATGACATTCAATGGGGAGCCAAGGAAGGTCGCCCAAGACTGCCAGTTATACGGTTGCTTAGTACCCTAAAAACTCAATTCGCGGTTGATCAGAATCACCCCTAGGCTATTTGATTTTGTTTTGGGGTCACGTTCCATCGTGAAATAATTCAGCCCGATCCCGGAACATTTCTCAATGTCTAAGGGTTTAGACTATCCATCCAGCGGCAAATGTGCCATATCCATATTCAAAAGCCCAAGGCGCCCAAGGGGTTCAACCATGATTTTCCGTTCGGACCATCATTGCTCACTGATATTCCCAAGTGATGTTCCCAGGTTGTATTCCCAAGTGCTTGGAAGGGTCAAAACGCTGATGGTGCCCGGATGGTGCTAGGCTGCTAGGAGTGATGGATGGTAAGCCCAGTGAAAAAAGCCAATTTCATAGGTAGCTTGAGCCATCCCATGTCATGACAATGTCCTTGCATGTTAGCTTAAGATATCATAAACCAGCCCATATTTTGATATATATATATATACATGTTTTGGTGATTTATACCAACATATACCAACCAAACTATGATAAACATTAATGGTTTATACCAACCAAAATCTGATAGTTTTTATACCAACATATACCAAGCATTTATGGTTTTACCTTGGGGAAAACTGGGAAAACCTGGGTGCCCGGCTCGCCCTTCGCTCCATTCGTGGGCAGGCCTTTGGTGGTGACCTCTACGAAAACAACGAGCGCCTGGAGGTATGCCGTCGGAGTTCCGTGGGGATTTCCATGGGGATTTACCCAAGCTGGTTATGACTGTTACATAGCCATTAGAAAACCATAGGAAAACCATAGGAAAATGATGGTTTACTGGGATTTAATGGGATTTAATGGGATTTAATGGGATTTAATGGGATATACCCTCTGGTTATGACTGTTACATAGCCATGGTTTGTCGATGGCCCTAATCGAAATAGATGGTTTACCGAACTAAACATGGGTGGTTTTTCCATGGCGAACTGTTAGTCATAACCAGATGGTAATTGATTTTTAATTCCTATGATTCAATATGATTTCACATGTTTTAATATGATTCAAGAAAGGTGAGGATCTTACCAGTATGAATCTGGATTGGCTGTCTATTTCCCATTTTTTTTTGGGTCAAGCACTACTTTTCAGCTGGTTAGATAGTGGTCAACCCTCCAAAGGATGTGAGTTGTTTATGGGTGCCTAGCTGGTCCGGATGAACTGAGTCACAAAGAACTGGCTAGACGGCTAGAAATCATCGCTTCAGCCGCTTCAACCAAGCAGGATCATAGATGTCCTTCTCCCAGTGGTTGAGAACTGGAGGGGTCGTCTCCATTGAAGAACCAATCTGTAGCAATTTGAACATGATGACACATGGGATACCACCCCCAGGCCCTTCTATTTTATCCCCAAAGGACACGAGCTGCAGCTCAGCTCGGTGTCACAGCAATTTCGTGGTTCTGTGTCTATTGAGTCCAGTGACCATGTCTCCAAACCTGCAGACAAGCACCAAAGACGTGCTAAGTTGACATACCCTTTGGAAATCATAGCTGTCATAGCTGGTAGTCGAACATTCTGTATTGATGATATTGATGGATGATCTTCATATAACTTTTGCAATCTTCCATCACTGGCATCTTTGTGAAATGGAGGGTGGACAACTTCGCTGTGCGATCAGGGTACGGAATACTTGGAGAAGCACATGTTTGTGCTGAACTTCAACGACATCCCGTGCGCCTTTGGGTACTTGGCCTCAGTAGGGGAACTTGACAGAACCTGGGCCGGTAAACATACAAAAAACTATGGAAAATAACAATTTTCAATGGGTAAATCAACTATTTCTATGTTTACCAGAGGGTATGGTTGGGTACAACTTCCTGCGTCGCCCAACTCCTCCATGATTCCAAAGGAGCAGTGGCTGCGTTCGACACCCATCTTGGCTGACTGTCTATAGGTCGGGGGTTTTACTATCCAATAATACATTGGAATTGTCATCATCCATGGGCTGCGAATCCCGTTTCCAAGCAATTTGGTCAATTGGTGCATGATATACTACAATGTGGGGCCACCCAGTTATAAGTTGGTTTAGATTCGCCCCAGTAACTATAGTTATAAGTACCATAAACCATAGTGAAATTGGAGTTATGTTCACCAACTTAGCTATCGTTTGGGGGCCCCACTTTGTAACCACTGCGTAGAAATTGTTGTTAGTATACCCTCTGGTTATTTGTCACATGGCCATGGGGAAATTCACCCATGCTATTAATAGGTAAACCATCTATTTCGATTAGGGCCATCGACAAACCATGGCTATGTAACAGTCATAACCAAGATGATTTTCCCAACTAGAAACCTCCATTTATTTTGGGGATTTCCATGGCTATGTAACAGTCATAACCAGGTTGGGTACCCTCTGGTAAACTAGCATAGCTATTGAAAATGGCCAGTGAGTTTTCCCAGTAAAAATGGTGATTTTCAATAGCTATGTTAGTTTACCAGGTTGGGCAATTCTGAGTAAATTCCTGGAATGCCAGATGTGTCAGTCCCATTTGGCGACTGCGTTACGAACCGCAGGGTTTGGTTCGTGATGTTGCTCTGCGAGTACGAGCCCAACTTTCCCGAGGTCCGTTGTGCCTATCCGTGGATGGTGTTTTTTTGGGGGGTTGGGGCCATTGCATGGCGCTTAGCGGCTAAACCTCTAGATCATCCTACCTTTTCGAAACAAGTTGTACCAGCCCCAAAAAGTCACTGCTGGGACAGGTAGTGGCGCGAACCTCCTCGATACCATTTGGCTGGAGCTGGGTGGGTGGAGTTTTTAATGTAGGATCTAGTTGCCAGTGAAGAAATGCAAGTTTTTGCTTGCTCAAGAACGTGAATTTCAAGGTATCTTCCATGGCGAGACGGTTTTCAATGCACCCTCGCTCCAGGATCAGAAAATATCCAAGGAGGTTTATCTACCAGCCATCAGAAATGGTGAAACATCTCCCCTGGTTCCACGGATGTCCTCTAAAAGTCCTACTGGTGGATCGAACATCGACGGGCCCATTTGATATGCCCCTTCTGGGGCGTGGTTCCACCAATAGACGTGGCGTGTTATCATCGTTTTTGGGATATCCCAACTTGTGGAGATGACCAGAATTGGTCATAACCTTTTGTGCAGTCCCAAGCTATATATATGTATATATATATATATACAGTATCTGGTTGGTGGTTTGGAACCATGGAATTTTATGACTTTCCATTCAGTTGGGAAGTTCATAACCCCCAACTGACTCCATCATTTTTCAGCGGGGTAGGTATACCACCAACCAGTATATATAAATCATCCATTTATCACAGGAAGTGTCCATGAAATATGATTATTATAATGAATCATCCATCATAAATCATCCATATATATATATATACCACCAACCAGTATATGAAACCAATATATAGAGCTTGCTGTTTGAGAATTCTCACGCAAGCATCTCACAGGATGATCTTCCCAGTTTTCTACGTCCTCGGTGTGAGCATTGTCTTTGAGTTGGTCAAGGCCGTCATAGAAACATGGTCAGGTCAGGAGAGTTTTTCATCGACATCTGAGGATATAGTATATAATATATATATATATACATAATATATATATATATAGTGGTTAAAACAATAATAAACTACCCATTTGGGAATGGTTTATACCACCTATCTACATACACATATGTAATATATTGTAATATTATATATAACACATATGCAAGATTATGATATATTATATGTCCATTACATGTAATATCATATGTAAGTGTAGAACTGGGTCATGACTCCATGACACCTGGAAAAATTGTCCCCAAGACCTTGAAGCCTCGTTCAGTTCGGATCGGAATGATGGGACTGGGAGTGCACACAGCATGGGAGGTTTGGCTTAGCTGTATGATGTATATATATATATATATGTATACTAACTTATGGACTTATGGTTATCCACCTGTTTATATATCCATAACAGTCAAAACATGGGAATATCATATCGTATCTAATGATTATGGATATCCACTTAACAGTATAATATTTATATTTATACCTTTGATTTGCAGGGATGCCCTCTGGTAAACTAACAGTTTACTATGGAAAGATCCCACCATTTTATAGCTGGGTAAATAAACTATTTCGACTGGGCCATTTTCAATAGCTATGTTAGTTGACCATATATCATGGGTAAATATATCCTATCATGATGATCGCTAATGATAGTTCACCTCCAAAATCCCCGGCAGGCGTTCACCATTGAAGTCTTCATGAGCCTCAAGCAACGTTGGGAGCAACTGAAGTTGCTTGGTGCACCAGACTGGCCAACCACAACCCCCAGGAATTCTTTGGCTTTTTTCACGGTGTTGAAGCCATTTTTGCATGTTTTTTTTTGAAAGTCCTGAAATGGATTTGTTTGCAAGTTACCCTCTGGTAAACGTTTACATAACTATGGAAAATCACCATGTTTAATGGGTAAATGTCACTATAAATTTCCATTTTCAATAGCTATTTTGACATAACCAGAGGGTATCCCAGCAATGGTTTCTCATCGCTTATCACGGCATCCGCCGGCGCCCAAGTTGCCAAGGCGGGAAGCGAAGTCCCACGGCGATGCAGCCGAGGATCTAGGGCTGGACATGCAAACCTTTACCCAGGCGGATAGACGGAGGGTCTCTATAGTTATGGATAGTTATGGGATATATAGTTAGTTTATGGGATATATAGTTATGGTTATGGGATATATAGTTATGGATGGTTATGGATAGTTATGGGATAGAGTATGTGAATTAGTTTGAAATCATGATTAAATGATATTAAATGACTATAATTTAGTTAGTCATAGCTAGTCCAATGGCGATTTATGATGATTCATGGTGACTTAATTATGGTGATCTATGGTGATTTATGGGAATGTATGGTGATGTATGGTGATTTGGTTTGAAGGGTTTTACCAAGATAAAAGAAACCCTGGATGGTTCTTTGCATTTTAAATGGTGATTTGGGATGACAATTTGAAGGCTTTTAGTTCAAACCAGCACACGCCACGATAACAAAACGGTTTGTCTTGGCACTTTTGAAGGTTGATGTGTGGTGATTCGTCAAGTTTTAACCAGCAACAAACCAACAAACGTGAGGGTTCCATCAACCAAACATGGGGTTTTCTCACACCGAAAACGGAGGTCTGAGCTACCAAAACTAATACTCCGGACTATTAGACCACTTGCTATTAGGGCCGCAACCCCGCTGGGTGGAATGTAAATTCATGCAACAAACATGAACATATTCATCAAACATTGAGAAGAAGATTGCCACTAACATTGGAGGATGAACCAATAAATATGGGACTACCCTCTGGTAAACTAACATAGCTATTGAAAATGGCCATAGAAATAGTGGATTTTCCCATTAAAAATGGTGATTTTCCATAGCTATGTTAGTCATAACCAGAGGGTAACATTGGAGGATGAACCAATAGCGGTCGATAGTAACTGCGCCAGGCCTTTCAAGAGAAGGGTGAAGTGCTTCACTGCCGAGTCTCAGGGCATCCGTTGGGGACCCCAGTAAGCCAGGTCCATCCATGATGGGTTGGTGTTTCAGCAGATGTGGCTATGGATCAATACCTATAAAAATACAATTTTTAGGGGGTTATTCACATCCATAAATCCCAGCTATAACTTGATGTGAACAGAAGGGGTACTATTGGTTTTGACACTTTCAGCAGATGTCATGACTCATGACGTGACCAAATTGGAAGGATCTTGTAGCTTGGTGGAATTTTCGTAGAATCCAGTCCATGGAGCCCATGATTCTGAAATCCCACCTGTCAACCGCGGGTTAAATCATGCTTTGATGGTGAAATTCAGCATGTGAACACTGTGAACATCGAAAAAATGGCGACTGGTTTCAAAACTGGCTATAGCTCCAATTTTGGCGACTGGTTATTTCTGATATTTCAGATGTTTTTTTTCTCTCCCAATCTTGAAAAGTCGGGTCACAGGTCGCCATCCATGCCACGTCTCCGAGGTCGCAAGCCGCGATGATGCGCGAGGTGGAGAATCCGGTAGGAGAAGCTGCTGTGGGACTTTGACTTTGGACCAACCACTTGATTTCAACAAAAGTTTTTTGGCTAAGCAAGAAACTGTTATTTGGCTATGGATCAATACCTATTAATACCATTTTTGGGGGGATGAACATCCATTTACCAGCTATTTTGATGTTCACCAGGGGTACAAAGTTTTGACACACTGCCATTTATACATATTTATACATATTTATACCAAAAGTTTGGCCTTCTTTTTCAATCCAGAACTGGTGATTCAACGAACTCGAGTCCTCGCTTTTCGCGCTTTTCAAATAGGGAAGACTGGGGAAGATCACTATATGGATTTGAACCAATTAAGATCCAATACCTTGAGTGAATCCACACATCATCCACTTCGGTCCCTATGTTCAGGATCATTTGGTGACAGTTGCTGCTTCAAAACGAGAGAAAATGTGAATGGTTTTTCTCCATTCAGTAGCCCTCCAAAACAAAACTCTCTGGTTGCAACACGAATCCCATGGGGGGTCTGCGAGGCGAAACACCGCCTCTTATCAGGCCGATTTCACTGGATTCCAAGGGCCGGGCTGCGCTCGAGTTCTGTAGGTTGTTGAAAGGAAACTGCAAGATCTCCCCCATGGTTTTTGTATATTTTTGTTCTTCAGGATTATGATATGGGGGCAAACACCTCATATTTCCGGCTTTTTCAGGGGGTTAAAGGTACACATATTCATTAACGATCGTCTCGTGGTCATCAACCTAACAAATTAACACGATTTCAACAGCCATTACAAAGCCTATGGCAATTAACCTACCTATCAGCTCATTAGTAGGATTCGGAGGTACCCCAACTGAGGTTGTCCGACGTTCAACTGGTTAACTATTCACAGCAACCATTTTTGTTGGTTGTTTCAAATATTTTTTTCATCTTGAAGCTGGAGAATGTAATGAACATATACAACCAAATTGACTTTCATGTTTGCAGCGCGGCCGAAATTAATGAAACAAGTAAGAACTCGAAAGGTGTTTCAAAGAGTCATGAGGCAACATGGTTGATTTCCGATGAAATTCAATAGACTGTTTCAAGGGATACAGTCTGTTCCAGTAAACCTGGCTGATTTCTGCATCGCGAGGTGGTCACAATAAGAACCCTCATGGGCATGGTCAGAAGACACAGAGCTTGGCGAGTGGCAATGGGGATAGGTCGGATAGGTAGAGCTGGGTGGTTTCAAATTTGGATCCAAAATGGGGATGGGTCAAAACCCTGGTACCTAGTGAACCCCAAAATAGCTGGTAAATGGATGTTCATCCCAATAAAAATGGTATTAATAGGTATTGATTCATAGCCAAAATTGGAAATGGGGAGACCCCGGGCCCCAGTCAAAGTTCAGGTTTAGCCATGGGATATCTCCCATGAAGTCCATTTTCCTGTGTGAACAATTGAGGAATACCCCATTGACAGCCACTGCCACATGGGGAAAATGATGGTTCACCAATGGATTTGGGGACGCCATACTTTCAGACAAACCTATCTATTGATCTACTATCTGGTTATGACTAACATAGCCGTGGAAAATCCACCCATTTTTTGAACGGTAAACCATCTATTTCGATTGGGGCCATCGACAAACCATGGCTATGTAACAGTCATAACCAGGGGGTATATCCCATTAAATCCCATTAAACCATCATTTTCCTATGGTTTTCCTATGGTTTTCTAATGGCTATGTAACAGTCATAACCAGATGGTACATTTATAGATGATTTTCCCATCAAAACCGCCATTTATTTTGGGGATTTCCATGGCTATGTAACAGTCATAAGCAGGTTGGGTTAAATTCATAGCATCACCGGAGCTTTTTCAAAGGACAGCCCACCCGCTTGATGAATCCCCGGCGACGAAATCGCTGGAAAAATCCAGCCTGGATGCAGGAATGAGATTGTTGATTGCTAATCATGGAGAAAGGATTACTACAGTAGCTATTGGAACTAACAAAATGTTAATGGCTGTAACATGGTATTAATATTGTTTTTAGCCAGCCATAATCTATCATGCATTAATCATTGCATATCATTGCTATTGGTAATAATGGCTGGCTAAAAAAAGCAATGATATGGAATGATATTGTTGTTGATTGAAACTTCCATAGAGGTGCCATGGTCAAATTCTGCGTAGAGGTGCGATGCGGGATGGTCATGAATTCTTAAGAAAGTAGGGATTCCAGTGGATGGATGACCATGGTATATATATATACTGTATATAGGAATTATAATACATGGATATCCCAAATTTTCATCCATTTTCACCAACATACTGAGACGTCTCAGTATGCTTCTGGACCACTTAGTTAGATGATTCCTGGCACATAGAAAAACGGCCTATTTCCTCAGCGCGCCTTGAGGACATGGGAAGTGACTTCGTTGCTACATGGCCTTTGTCCGAGTCAAATCTTCCATGGATCTATGACGTAGCTATACAAAAGATAGAACAAAGGCACATGAAATCATGTGTGCCGTGGTCAAAACTGGGATAGTTTCCACACAGTTGCTGAATATTCCTGTACTTATCCAGGAAATCCGAACATTCATCAAATGGGCAACCAAGCAATCTTCACAATCGTTTTGAATGCAGAGGTCTAATAGTGAGTCTAGTGAGTGAATTCCATGTGGAAAGTCTTTCGTTTTGACCATCCCCACGACGAGCGTCCGGCGATTTCGCACGGCATTTCACGGTTTCTCCTCGCCACCTGCTGTCTGGTGGTGTTGGGGCGAGCCACTGGGTTCATCGCAAGCTATCGGTGCAGCAACTTCTGTGGTCCGGTGTTGTTGATCCACACCCACAGCCACCCAGGATCTGAGTCTTCCAGCTGGGTTTTTCAAGGACCTTCCCAACAGAACTATAGAAGACCTTTGGTCCAATTTCGAGACCTTTTCCCAGCTGCAGGTTGGTGTTTCTAGATCTTCCTCCATGCGGAATCATGGCCTGGAGATGCTCAACGTTGATCCTTTCAGTGTGCATCTGGTGAATGAACCCGGCATAGATTCAAGAACTTACCCCCAACTGGCAAAGCTGCGCCAAAAAGTGCCCCATAGGGTTCCAAAAATGGGCTCCGGGGCCTCAAATCAAAAGATGCATGGTTGTGTACCCATCCACGTGATCAACCCCGGCAGTAAGTGATTTTTTCGGGGCTATCAAATTGGGTTTGCCACAGGCCCAGTTTTCCATTGACTTTTGAGTCCTAGCTGGGAGAGTATCACAGCCAATCCCTCAAATTTTATTTGGGGTCACTGAAATGAACCTTGGAATGGCTAATTTGTAGAAGGAAACCCGGAACATCCGAAACCATCCTCAATGACTTACCATGTGTCAGAGGGATTTTCCAGCCATCGGATGCCATCTCCCTTGAGAGCAAATCACGGGATTTACCATGACTATGAATCAAAATGTAGCTCCTCCACAATTGGACCAAATATACTCATTATACTCCTGGTTGGTGGTTTGGAACATGAATCTTATTTTCCCATTCAGTTGGGAATTTCATCATCCCAACTGACTCATGTTTTTCGGAGGGGTAGGTATACCACCAACCAGGAATATACTCCAAGACGACCAAGCAATACCAAACATCTGTGGCTTCCCAGAGTATAGATTTATCGCCTCCGTCCAACTCTGGAGACCCCAAGAAACCGAATGTAAATATGGCTCTGTGTCCGAGAAAAAATACGTCAAAACCGGTGGGTTTTCCATGATTTCCCCCTAAGATGCAACTAGTTAGGATATATATATATAGAATATATATATATATTCAATTCAATTTCTAGCTAAACCCATCTCATGCATTTGCTTTATCACAGGTACAGCTTGAGTTTTCTTAGGTGCTTGTGTTGCGAATGGTCTAGATGCCTCCATATTTCCGGGACTGATTCTCGGTTCACAGGGCGGCCCGCTCGGGTCCCAATCAGTTTTCAATCAAGCAATTGTGAGTGTCAATTCTTTGGTAGGATGATCATCTTCGTTTCATTTCCCAGTTTAGTTTTTCATTTCACGTTTTTGGAGTGCTAAAAAAACACAAACCAGACAATGAATCAACTGTCAGCCGTGTCGTTTCGCCGTCAGTGTTGGATCATTTTCCGACTCTAACATAGTCTAACCAGCCCAGCGGCAAGTCACTTGTAAAGCAACATCAATTCAGGCTGCCCCGAGACAAAAACGGGGGTCACGTCCTTTCCGTGTGAAGCGTCCTTTTCAGGGAGGACCGTGTAACGGACGGAGTGCGGAATCCAAGATATCCAAGATATCCCGTTGGGTCCATAAGGATGGTTCTCCATGAAATTGGATTGGGATTTTCCATGAAATAAACCATTCCAGTGTGCTGGGGATCCCATAGCCATATGGAAACCCCCACGGCTGGTGTTTTCTCCAAGTGCTGGTGCAATGTCCTGTCATTTTCCGCTCAAATCATAAGTGACAGGAACGGATGGGAAACAGATGGAACCAGCAGTGCTGTACTTTGTCTGCGGATCTCCAAACAGAGGTGTATATATTGTTAGTCCTGTAGTCATTAATATATTAAGATATATATATATATAATAATTATATATATATAATTAATAATTATATATATATATATCTATATATAATTAATAATTATATATATATCTATATAATTAATAATTATATATATATGCACATCACTATGTAACAATATATCCACAAATCCAAAACCGCGTCCACACCCATAGTCCATGGGAACACTCCATTTCTGAGCCTCCGGAAAGTCCAATGCACTAAGACCAACGCTCATTGCTGGAAAGAATGGATTAATGTGGTTAAAACAATAATAAACCTCCCATTTGGGAATGGTTTATACCACCTATTTATGGTGAAATTGGGGATGATTTATTATTGTTTTACCCACATTATTAAATAAGATTGACCAATCCCATTTACTGTACACTGTACTCCCATTTAATGCCCATTTTGAGCCACGTATTTTGGGCCAAACTTGGGTAGCAATGTCAGTTATATCCACATTTATCTGTGATTAGATTCCCAGTCATCTCTTGGTGAATTCCCTGACTTCGATCCATGAATTCCCAGCCTTTTTGAAAACAACAACGGTGGAAACAGGTCGCTGGCCGATGCGACAGCTTGTTCTGGTTGATCGAGGCCCTAGGGGTCCCCCATGTCGTCGCTGATATGATGATGTTTGTTTTTTGTTAACCTATAAAAACGATGTTTTTTGCCCAATTCCCAGAGATTGTGGACATGGTCATTGTTCCAAACTTATATTGTATGTAAAAAACATGTATGTAAGCAAGATGTAAGAAACGACAACTGGGGGATATGCGAATGCCCCATCTGTGGGCAAACTCTTTCAACCATACCAGGCCAGTCATCTCTTCGTGTCCTGGCCTCGCTTGGCGTCGCTTCTCGGAATGAGGGAGTAACCCTGAAGGGGTGATGGCGTGCTTCAAAATTTAAGTGGTTGGAATGTGAAACAAATCACATTCTCATACTTCCTGCCGCGCATGGGTCTTTGTATCAATATGTACAAACATACACATGCACACAGATATGCATATTCTTCTGCAGAAGTCTACATCCTGGCAACTTCACCTGACTTGCAAGAGAAAAACACACATTTTCAATCGCATCATCTAAGATACTGAATGTATCCGAATGTTACCTGGCAACCAATGGGAAAAGACATGAAAATACCAATGGTTTATATAAGTTTTTTTTTTCCAATATGAATGTGTCGTTCGAATGAGGGTAATCATCGGTGTCCCCATAGCAAACATGCAATTATGATCACATATGTACATTTTCTATTTTCAAACACATCTGTATCATATTGTGGCTTAAATATCCTGTAGAGTATGGCCCATAGTAAAATATCATCAAAAATGGTCAGTCTCATGCCCTATTCTTTGTTTCGATGCCATTATCGCTAACTGCGGGTGAAACAGATATGGCAACATCATGGAAAACCAACACCAACATTCCTGGTGATTGCCAAGCCATTATTTCACCATGATATGCACATGTATTTTGAACCGAATTCGCCGGTGTGAAAACATGATTAAATTGGTGTTACTGTTGTGATTGGCTATAGAAATCTATTCTTTGTTACCATCAAGTAAACTTTCACATAGGTGTGGAAGACCCATCGTTTCCCGTTCGGACAATTCTCTGCATTCAACGTGTGTTTTCCATATTATTTGTATGAACATTTACTAGAGGGCATACAAACTGGTTGATATCCCGATTAAACATGATTAAACTGTAGTTACATCTATCATGCACCCAACAGTCAATCTAGCTGTAAAAATAAACCTGGCTGGCTTTCTAGGCAAATTACAGTAGTTCAGCAACCTGAATTGTTGAGCGATCTGTGGATGATTCCCCATACCACTCATCAATTATGCACCCAGGTGTTCAAGCCCCAATTGTGGGTGGCGTTTCATCATTTCCAAGAAACATTTGGGTTTGAACAAAAATATATGAGATTTAACATGTCATTTATAATGAAAACGGATTTCCATCATATGCTATCAATTCTTATTTTCAATTGTTGTTACTATATTTGGTGTTAAACCCCTTGTACTTGCAAGATGATAGTTTAATTTGATCATGAATATTCATCCCATTATATCATATTATATCCTATTATACCCAATTATGCTTAGGCTTTGTCTAAACTTATATATATATATATATTTGTTGTCAGTCAAACATTTACCATTTATGGTGTTTTTGAGCACATCTACCAATAATCCCTTGTTTATTGTTGGTTATATCCCATCACTTTCCATTCTTAATGGTTATAACGCAATCATTTTTCGGATATGTTGGTATATAATGGGATGCAACGATAAAATATCGGACATATGATAGTCATAATGGTACTTCATATATATATATATATTATAAGATGTTATAATGCTATACATAATATATATACTTCATTATTCTAAGAATTATGAGATATTGGACATATGATAGTCATAATGGTACATCATTTATATACTCCATGATTGATGCGTACATCGCCGAAAAACCCAGTCGGCCAGGATGACTGGCGCGCCTCCGGCTCCGAGCGAGGGCTGCCCAGAGTTTTCAGCGACAGAAATTGGTGGGTTTCCTAAATTGGTACCCCAAATGGATGGTTTTTTTAACGGTTTATACTGGAAAATCTGAAAATAACATGGTTTATACTGGAAAATCTGAAAATCACATGGTTTATACTGGAAAATCTGAAAATCACATGGTTTATACTGGAAAATCTGAAAATAACATGGTTTATACTGGAAAATCTGAAAATAACATGGATGATTTAGGGGTACCCCATGGTACCCCTATTTCCGGAAACCTCCAGATGTGTTTTTAACCATAAGATGGGATTGCGCTAGGAACGAGAGGTTGTCTTAGCATGTTTTGCCACCAAACATCTGGATTTACGCAGACATGTTTTTTTTTGGCACAATGGTGTTGGTGCGCAACACATGGGCAAGGAATCTGCAAGCCATGTCAGCTTACCGCAAACATTGAGGAGTGTGCAACGTCCATCAATGTCCAAGAAACGACTGAAGAATAGAGAGATTGTTTTTGCCCTTTCAGAGGGGTGTAGCCTTTGATCTTTATTCCAGAGTTTGAACTATTCCTATTAGTGTGCTGATTGCATACATGTTTATTTTTTTCTTGGCTGAATCATCTTTTGTAGGTTGCTATCAGCCCCATACTGTAACTCATCATATCCCTGACCATGTCCTACTGATATCCCCTTTTCTGAGGCCACGTTAGGTGCGGTACAGATTTTTCCGTAGCAGCTCCATGCAGTTTTCATCGTGCAAGGGTTGCATCAGTTGCGTTTTTTTTGCACATCAACTACCCTCTGGTAATTTAACATAGCTATGGAAAATCACCATTTTCAATGGGAACATCCACTATAAATGGCCATTTTCAATAGCTATGTTAAATTACCAGAGGGTACTGTAACTACATGGTAACCCTCAGACAGCCGTGGCAGAAACTGCATTCTGCCTTCTTGAACATGTTCGTGGCGCTGTGGCACTCGATTTTGATATCTTCGTTGTCATAATTTGGGTTTTGAAATTTCCCAAACTACTTTTTTTTGGCACATCATCTGCGTGACACTTTTATTTATTTTTCTTTCATGACCTTAACGGACTTTTTTGGTGGCTTTGCACAACTGTGCCAAGAATGCGTTTGGTTTACATGGCCCCAGCAGCTTCGCCACATGAACTGTTGAACCAATTTCTTCACTTTGGGATGTTCTATCACTTGTCCGTTGCAGCCAAGACATCTGGGAAAGCTGCGTGGAATGAATTGTTTCAGGGACAGCCTCCACACGTTTGCCCGAAAAAACAAGAGAATGAATAGGCATAGCAGCATAGCATAGCATGTGACAAGTGTGGAAGTGTCTATGAACGTTAACATCCCACCCCAACCCCCCACCTACCCCACCCCAAGAAGAGATAAGTAACGTAGCAGAGCACACAGAAGTAAAGGGCAATAGCGTAGCATGTGACAAGTCGGAAAGTTTACATGAAAACATGAACAAGATCCAAAAGGCAGAAAAGGACATGGCCAACTAAGGGTCGTGGTCCAACTACATTCCAGTTACATAGAAATTTGATCAAATTTGAGTATCTACTGTACATACAGCATACAGATATAGGTACCACTATGTTCCAGTTGCATAGACATTTAAGTTGAACGCATCTATATGACTTAAAACATATATATATATATGTTTTCCTATACAGTAGTGAGCATCTTTGGATGACACATGGATATCCGCCCATCCTGAAAAACCATGCTGCGCCCAGGTAAGGACCCTTTGCTGACCAGGCTGGCGGTGCCGGGATGATCCTCTAAGCGCTGGGATTTCTGGTAGATTGCACCTACCAAAAACCATCAAAAACCTGTCGACCTCACATTGTTTTAATATGTCTTAATGATGTTAATATTAGTAAGGATCCCCTAAATTGGCAAAGATTTAAGTGATTTGGGCATCACATGGAATCACTACAACTTGCGAAGATCGGGCAAACCTGCAAGAATGGTATGTCTTTGACCAAGAAAAATAGTGAGTCATGCCACCAAACTTGCCAATCTCTGGTCGTCAACCCTCATGGCATGTCCCAGCTTGGAAGCTTCCCTGAGCCAGAGAACTATTGAAACTATTGGTTGTATCCAGCTTTGGGTAGCCCCAACATCCGAAAGCACCACAGGCATCCTCGGACCCAGAGGACGGAGTCGGGGAGGGAAATTTCATGGTAGCACCAAAGTTTGTTGTTTTTAGCCCTCACCTTTTCAACTCAACTTGGAAGTCAATGGTCTTGGCTTGAGGATCTTGAGGACTCAATGATATGAACTGCTGCTTTCAAACAGAGCAGTAGGAGTGAGGTTGGAGCTGCATCGGTATGTCCCAAACTGCCCTTTCAATGCCGGAAAGAACGGTTCCGCCAGTCAAATTCTTCTGGTTCCCTCGTTCCTCGACATTTTCCCCAAAAAAGGTGTGAACATGTGTGAACGTTGGGTTGCAGCTCCCACATCAGCTGGAATCGCAGCTTCGCTTCCCAGGACTATAGCGGGGCTGGTGTCCATCACACCCGAGTTGAGGCTCAGTACTGTGTCTTACAAAGCGGCCTTGGGGTTACATCCGCTTGCGGCTACAAGGTGCTGATCGGTGGTGCCCAGTTCTTTGCTCGTTAAACTCCAGATCGAACTATAGTTATCACCAGACACATCCATTTCAACTGAGTTGCGAATCGAAAACTGGTTGGTGGTCCTGGTTTGGAACATTTTTTATTTTTCCATTCAGTTGGGAATTTCAGCATCCCAACTGACGAACTCCATCATTTTTCAGAGGGGTAAGGCTCAACCACCAACCAGAAAAAGTCATTTAAGATATTTTAAGATCACATCACATCAGCATTTGTGAAGTCAATGAAGTCCCACCATGGATTTCCCATGGGATTTTTCCATGGGTAAGGTCTAGGCCCATCGAGGGTTGCTCCGTCGCATCGCGCCTAGGCCCCCACGACCGAGGATGTTGCCCTCGCCGCCCCAGCAGTCACCAGCACCGTTGGGGGGCCCGTTGGGGGGCATTTATGGTTAGTGAATGATCAGTGAATACTCTCATGACATAATTTATACAACACTATACAAAACTATGATACTATGTGTTTTATTTTATGATAAGTTATGTCAGGTAAGTGAATCACGTGTATATATATATATGTATATATGTATATATGTATATATGTATATATGTATATATGTATGTATGTATATATGTATATATGTATATATGTATATATGTATATATGTATATATATATATATGTATATATGTCGATATGTGTATATGTATATATGTATATATGCATATATGCATATATGCATATATGTATATATGTATATATGTACATATGTATATGTACATATATCTATACATATATAAATATATACATATATATATATATACATAATCGACGCAGATAAAATGACAAATGTTGAGGGGGAAAATGATGATCAACCATGGGAAAATCCTTGCACTAAATGGGTGATTTTTTGAACATGGCATTTCATGGGTTCTGTTCAACCAACACTGGTTGGTGGTTTGGAACATGAATTTTATGACTTTCCATATATTGGGAATAATCATCCCAACTGACTTTCATATTTTTAAGAGGGGTAGGTATACCACCAACCAGAACACTGTGAAATTCGGCTTTGTCCAGAACTGGGATATAACTATTGACTATACGATAAAGGGCAATTTTGGATATAGAATGATATTTGATAAAGCATGGAATTTTGATGGATTTGGAGTATCCATGAGTGTAAATCCTTGCAAACAGAATCCGTGGTGTTTTTTTGTTTTGTTTTATTTCTGTTTTGAGACTGGGAAAGACTTTGATGAATGAAGGACCTACTGGTTTGCTTTGGAGCTTCGCTAAATCCCAAGATTTTCTCGGTTTCGAGGTCCCATAAATTTGCAACAAAACAGACAGATGTCATTCGCTAAATCCCCCTTTTTGTTGCTTAAATCCATTGAAATCCCAATTTTCGCTAAACTATCTTGTTTATTGGTGCTTAAGTCCGGGAGGATTTTTCCCTCTTGTTGCATGGGTCCGTCCTTGCAACGTGCGGATTGACTCGCACACGCATGAAAGGTCGCAGAAAAAGTTCAATGACCTCATAAGTCCCCAGGGTGGGTTATAAGCCACTTACGATTCGTGGGATGCACATCTCATTTGATTCAGGCATATGCGGCATACTTTACATTATTTATCGATTTTCCCATGGTAAAACCAGCATTTACCAGTAATTTCCCATGGTAACAACACCATTTTCCAATGGTTTTTCTGTCGAGGACCGCCGCCGCGCGCATGGCCATGGCTGCTGCCGAAGCCCCAAAAAACATCCAAGGGTGGTTCCCATGATTTAAGTGTAGCGATGGGTATATGATTCAAAGAATTCAGAGTTCATGAAACTTCCATCATCCAAATTTCAGGTTTCAGGTTTCCCGCATTCCCATGGTTCCAAGGAATGTTTCAGCTAAAAGTGAACATATGCATGAAGAACATGGAAGAACATGGAAGAACATGGAAGAAATGGATTTGGAAAGACTGAAATTGATGTTTTTTTCCTACCGGACATTGCCATTCGTGAAAAAAGGAAGAAGCGTTTAATTGTTTAAGGGTACTGTAACCACCGCAAACTTGTGACGTTTATCTAATTTGAGGTATGTGAAGTGTGTCGTCCTTTCAGACATCCTACAGATCATGAACTACGTAGAACTATGTGTTCTTTTTTTAATCCACACTACCTGATTGGTGGCAAAGATGTACTTCCAACAAACTGATTTGGTCATGTTTGGTGGTTCCAATCGATCCCTTTCACCATGACCAGATGTACCAATTATGAACTAAGCCAAAGATTCGGTTATCCTTGATGATTGGGTATATCTGGTTCATATTTATTGGTACCCTATATCAATACCATAATTATACCCATTATTGTACCAAGCCAATGAGTACTAATTATATACTAATTATATAAACATTATAGTTTTTTTTTCGAATAATGGGTACCTGATGAATGATTTTGGATGTGGTACAAAGTGGGGCCCCCCAAACGATAGCTAAGTTGGTGAACATAACTCCAATTTCACTATGGTTTATGGTACTTCATAACTATAGTTATGTCCACCTCTATAGCTTATTCTAATGTTTTTTAAACTTGAAAAAAAAGCAAAAAAAGGAAAACACATGGAAAATCAAAAAGCAAAACTTCAAAACCGAAAAAAACAGGAAGCAAAATAAATGGGAAAAAAAAGGAACGTCAAAAAGGGGAAAAAATTGGAAAAAAATGGACTTGTCCATTTGCATTTTTGTTGCTTTTTTTTTGCTTTTTCGATTTGTTTGTTTTTTGCTTTTGTTTTGCTTTTTTTTGCTTTTTGCCTGGAAAAAAGCAAAAAAAAACAACATAAAAGCAAAACAAAAGCAAACAAAAAGCAAATCGAAAAAGCAAAAAAAAAGCAACAAAAATGCAAATGGACAAGTCCATTTTTTTCCCATTTTTTCCCCTTTTTGTCTGTCCTTTTTGTTTCCTTTTTTTTCCCTTTTATTTTGCTTTTGTGTTTTTTGGATTTTGCTGATTTGCTTTTTGGTTTTTCCATTTTTTTTGCATTTTTCGCGCTTTTTTTCAAGTTAAAAAAAAATAAGAATAAGCTATGGTTTGGTGAACATAAAACTATAGTTACTGGGGTTTCTAAACCAATTTATAACACTGGGTGGCCCCACATTCTATACTGATGCTTCGGTTGATATTGTCGAACAGGATGGAGGGACAGCCCTTGAAAGGTGACCCCCCTAAACTAGGCCGCCGCCTCTGAAGCTTCATTGGAGGCGGGCGTTTTCAGGTCGTTGAATTCGGGGACCACAGGTCTTGTGTGCGGTTTTGTTCATGGTATCATTTTTCATTTCACAGACTTTTTGATGGGTCTATTAGAGTCTAAAGCATGAAAATTATGGATGATGACTGGATGGTTTATGACAGCGCTTTACTAACATTACCCTCTGGTAATTTAACATAGCCATGGAAAATCACCATTTTTAATAGGTAAACCATCTATAAATGGGTCATTTCCCATGGCTATGTTAAATAATCAGATGGTACCCAAGTTTGATCCGTAGCCAGCTGAAACGTTGCGCGGTCAGCACGTCAGGTTGGAATGGCCAGCAGGGGGTCAAAGAGCTTGCTCGGGATGGGAACGGCAGGTTCTGCTTGCGCTGCGTACTCACTGCAACATCTGCAACGTCACTGTATATACAACTACAACATACAATATACAATATACATATATATATAATTATATATATATTATAATTATATATATATAATTATATATATATAATTATATATATATATATATTATAATTATATATATATATATTATAATTATATATATATATAATTATATATATAATTATATATATATGCATATACATAGTGTGTATATATATATATATGAATAGCCTTCATATATGCTGAGCTCATTTCTTGCAGGGTGGTCGCGGTGAGCCATTGAAGCTAAGTGCTCCGGTTGAGTTGTTTGTGATTTTTCGACCGTGATATGACACAATGTGGAAATACCACGCAAGCAACCAACGTTTACCCTACAGTTCCGGCCATGTCAGTCAGTAAGTCACCCCAAGTATGGTTCATGAAACCCCCATGAAAAATGTCCATCAAAATCACTAGTTTCTCGGGCTTTGAACGTGCCAAACTTGACCATGGGATGCCAAGGTCCCTCCATTGAGCTCGCCTGGCGGGTGGTGCAAGCGGCAGAATCCCGCAAGGTGCCAGTGGCAACGTATGGGGAAGACTTGGAACGGTTTGCTCAAAGGTGGCAACGGAAAATACCCTCTGAAAATGGCCATAGAAATAGTTGATTTACCCATTAAAAATGATGAATGTCCATAGTTATGTAAACGTTTACCATAGGGGGTACCCCTAAATCATCCATATTTTTAGATGGATTTTCCATTATAAATCATATAAATCATTCATATAATTGGGGTAGAAAATACATCAAAATACGTGGATTTGTCAGCACGCCATGTGGGGATTAAACCATGAACTACCTATATCTACATGGAGGGAGCGAACGCTGGGGAAAGCATCGAACTAAAGGGTTTTTCAGCACGCCATTTTTTTAGAGGGCAAATGGGGTGATGAAACCAAGCATAGTAGGGATAGAATAGGGATCAAATGGGGAATTCATGGGATATCTCATCAAGATAATCAAGAAGACATTGGGAACATAAAACTTAAAATCATGATAGAGGACTGGATCCAAAGGTACCGTATTTTCAGACAAACCCATATCTGCCATTCCGTCAAAACTTGGATTTTTCCTCCTATATTGGATGGGAAAACTCCATCCATTTTCAAAGGGATTTATGTACCCATCATGGTGGGAATGGATTCCCATGATGGAATGGATGATCATCATCCACATAATCCACAAAAACCATATATACCATGTTCTGACCATTTTTGGCATATCTGGTGGGGATGACCATCCATAAATCCCAGCTGTTTTGAAGAGGATGGCTTCATGGCTTCATGGCTGACCAACTGGGGCCTTTTTGGGGTGGTTGCTGAACCAGTCGTTGCTTCAACCGTTGATGCAGCATAGTAACTAGTTCGATATATCTACCATAAACCCAAGAGTGAAATTGGAGTTACCTTCACCAACTTAGGCACCACCTTATAGGCTCGCAATTGGAAGAGACCGGAGGAGATTCGAAGAGATTCCATACTTCGGGCCATTCTTGTTGTATCCTGTTCTTTTTGGTTCATGGCTGCACCTGGCCATATGATAGCTTATTCTGTCGAGTGTTGGGGTCCCGTTTTCTTCCTCTTGATCCTTATATCCTTTATCGATTCAATCCTGAGTGGCGTTTCACTGCCCATTTTTATGGGATTTCATGTCATTTTGGCATCCTAACATCCAGTTTTTGGGTACCAGATCATAGCTATCCTTTCCATTTCCTAGTTGATTTTTTGCAGGGATACCTTACATGCAACAACCGATAGACAAACGATATGAACCTGATTCCGATGTATTTTTCACCAAACAAATCACTAGGAAAGATGCTGGATGGATCTTAGCCATACGCTCTGACCTGAAAACTTCCCAGTGGAAGTCTGACGAATTTAGCGATCAACAAACCACCAGGGATCCCTCCTTACCTCTGAGCTCACCGGAGGGCTGGTTGGTGGTTTGGAACATGAATTTTATTTTTCTATGGGAATTTCATCATCCCAATTGACGTGAAGTCCATCATTTTTCAGGGGGGTAGGGCTCAACCTAGGGCTCAACCACCAGCCAGAGGGTGATGAATGAAAAACCTCATGATCACTACAAAGTGGGGCCCCCTAGATAGCTAAGTTGGTTTATAAGCCCCAGTAACTATAGTTCTAAGTACCATAAACCATAGTTATTGGAGTTATGTTCACCAACTTAGCTATCGTTTGGGGGCCCCACATTGTAGGGCTTGGTGACGAAAATGGTGACCTCTCTGATCGCCTTTTCGAAACGACTCCGAAAGCAGTCAGTCAGGCTCTCCTAGACCAGCGTGCTCTCTCACTGCGTGTAAGGAGGAGATCGGGGCTAGACATTGAGGGTACCATGGCAAGAAACCAGTGGTGTAGTCGTATATAGCCATTATAATCCCATTCGAAAACCATAGGAAAACCATAGGAAAATGATGGTTTCATGGGATTTAATGGGATTTAATGGGATATACCCTCTGGTTATGACTAACAGTTCACCATGGTTTGTCGATGGCCCCAATCGAAATAGATGGTTTACATTGGTTTACCGTTCTATAAAATGGTTGGATTTTCCATGGCTATGTGAGTCATAACCAGATGGTAAATGACCTTTTGGTAATTTATCACAGTGAACTGGAAAAACCCACCATTTTTAAAGAGGTACAAAGTGGGGCCCCCTAGATAGCTAAGTTGGTTTATAACTCCAATTTCACTATGGTTTATGGTACTTATAACTATAGTTACTGGGGCTTATAAACCAACTAACATCACTGGGGGACCCCACATTGTAGATGATCATTCTTATTCATGTTTATCATCTATATTCATGGGCCATCTAAGCCAGGAGGCCATGCCATTCAGACCTGGCGACTTGGGACCATGTGGTTTTGCCGACTTTTTGGCATGGCAATTTGCCCATGGTTCTTCACCATATTCGCTTAAATAGCCACGATCTATGGTTTGTCATCCAATCATCAATTCAAATCATATCAAATCAGCCTGATATGGTTCAATTTAATATTCATATTCATATATGATTCCCATGAAGAATAGTATGTGGGTAATTCCCAATGCGATTTGCACCATTCCCCAGTCATCACCATTTTGATAGGTGCTATAAACTTACCATTCCCAGTCATGGGTGGTTTATGACATTGTTTTACCCACATTACAATGATGCAAGATGGTTTATAAACCATAATAACCCCCATGAACTAGTTCGTTATATCTACCATAAATCATAGAATTCAGCCACTTATAAGGCAACTGAATGCTATCCAACGGGGGCCCCATCCTGTACAAATGCCCCATGCCCCCTTTTTTTCGGCTTCCCGCGTTTTTTTTCCAGGACGGTGCCCGCACCGGCGTTGAACACCACCTTTCCCAGTCAGAAAGCATCCATGTCGCCACACTACAGGTGAGATCCGTGGGGCAGTTTGCGAACTTGAAACCATGGCAGAAAGTTCGTTGATTTACCGTCAATTGAACTAAGATATAGCTATTGAACATGACCATAGAAATAGTGGACTTAGCCATTAAAAATGGTGATTTTCCAATTCGCGATGTTTTTCTAGAGGGTTTTTGGGGGGATGGGATGTGGACGGCTCCCATTGAGCTTTGTGGGAGGGTTTTTCGTGACTTTAAAAGTTTTGTGACTGATGATACTAAGTTTTCCATAGAATGTGGTGCACCCAATAAAGTCAATAAATAAACCATCCCCACAAATCACCATTTTCATAAGGGTGCGCTAAACCATCTCGAAATGGTAGGTTTATGATTGGGTTTCCCACATTACTCTGATTGACCAACTAATTATATATCTGGTTTTGATCATGATACCACTGGCCGATTCGATTCTGATACACTTCCGCTAGCATGTTGAGGTTCTGATTAACCAATTCGCCTGAGCCCGGCCGAAAAAATCCAAGCCCGGTTGGTTGTATGTTTCAAGAAGTTGTTTTTGTGGGATGAGGAACCAACAGCTGGGATTTCACTAGCACCAGGTGATCATGACTCATGACAGCACTACGGTGAAGATATGAAATTATACTACATGAAAGCAATGAAACCACATCAACGACTATAGATGCATGTTGTGAACCCTAGATTCAAACTACATGGTTGCTGAATTCGGCAGCAACCCTGCAGAAGTGATCAAGCATCAAATGGGGTTATGAAGTATCCAAGGTGATCCAAGGCGCATAATGCCCCAGTGGTGCATTGCAGTGTCAAGCTATAAGAGACATAATGTGAATTTCAACTGTCAACACAGAGATTCCTTCACGCAAAGTATCCCTTTCCCCTAGTACTATCCTAAACAACCCCCCAGAACCCTCCAGTTTGGTATTGAGTTCGTTCATTCTTGTAGCCCGAATTGGGGAGTTTATTACGATCGCGAGATGGGATTAGCAGAGTTTCATTTCCCATGTCTTTTGTTTATGGCAACCTCCCAATCACCTCATCAGAATTGATGGCTAGTAGTAGAGGAATTTTCTCAAGCGACTCTTTCCAGCTTATGAATTACAAGTCGAATAAATTTTTGGTACGCCAATGGTCCATTAGAAGACCTTCATTCCACGCGACAATTACTGCCTATTTGGGACAGGCCCGCATTGATTTTGGGGTGATCAAAAGTCCCTTACCCATTTCAAGATGGTGAAATGACTCAACGACAAAAACAACGGATATACGCCTGCTCAAGATCCCTATCTTGATGCGAAAAGCAATCTGTACTGCATGTCAGTGGGATGCATATGCATTTTTCATTATTTTGATAGGGGACATATCATGATGAACCACACCATTTTTTTTGGGATGCTCCATTGTCAGAGAACACAATATTCATAATGCGCTCCCAACATGTCGTAAGCAACTTCTAACCCACTTGAATGAACTCAAATGATCTTTCAAAACGTACCAAAATGTACCAAACCATCAATAACACTCAGGAACCATCAGGAACCATCAATAACCATCAATAACCATCAATAACCATCAGTAACCATCAGTAATCCCCATTTTTTTTGTGGTTCAACGATGTCCATGGGGCCCAATTCGGATGATCTTCCAGGGAGTCCTATGAGGATGGACCACGGGGAGGCGACGGCGTCAATCTGCAGACGGGGGATATGACATGAGACGGCAAGAACCAGAAAAACCTGCTGCTTTTGCAGGATTTTGAACCATTTGGAACCTGAATTTGGCTAAAAACATGGCTAATTACTCATTCGGTAGACTCTGAAGGCTTCCGAATGACTGAAAGATTTCGGAGCTGGCGAGTACAAGGAAAAATGGTCAGTTCCTACAGGTGAAACCAAAGATTCCTCACCAGATTTCCCCCATGTCTGACCCCTACCAAAAGGTCATCTACCAGTTTTCTATGGTTTAGATAGTTTAGATGGCCCGTTTTTAGATGATTGACCCATGAAAAACATCGGGTTTTTCCATGGAAACCAGCTACTTTTTGGGGAATCTGCAGGATCCGGTGGGTCGCATTCACTCGGATGAACTGGATTTCCTCCAACTTTTTCCTTTCCGACGTGCAAACTGTTTGGATTCCCTGAGGCGTCAGACCACCGCTGCCGGCAACTCAGGGGGAATTCAATGGGAAGATCTACAGGAAGCCAGCAATCCCTATATAAATATCTATATTACCATATATTATGTTACATTATATTATATCATGTTATTATATATTCATTTTTTTCATGGTAAAAGGCCCGGTCGATGTTCCCGCAATCAATCCTTGGAATCAATTGCTCTGCCTTCCATGGGTCAATCTTCCAGTTCCATATGTTCCATGAATTGGTGCCTCACTCATCATCATGTTCATCATGATTCACCGGTTGGTGGTTTGGAACCATGGAATTTTATGATTTTCCATTCAGTTGGGAATTTCATCATCCCATTTGACGAACTCCATCATTTTTCAGAGGGGTAGGTCAACCACCAACCAGTTCATGATGACCGTTTTTTAAATAAATCTGGCTAAATTGTAATGACCTCACGTCGTGACGTCACTGGAATGATGGGGCTCGCCTTCACCACTTTCAGGTTTTTGTGACACCTGAAGATTCACCCATGATGAGGGAATTTCAGGATCCTAAAATATTTTGGGGGGATATTCCCGCAAACATAGGCCTGAACAATAGGCCTTATATATGGTAGGTACCTCCAATTTAGGTTCCTGAAATAGCCATTGAAATATGAATTGGCGGGCTCCACTTAGAAAGGATTTGCCCATTCTAAACCACTGGAATCTCGATCTTTGACTCAAAACGTCGGAAAATTCAGGCCCAATTACGGGGGTAGCCCACTGGCAGTCGCAGCGTGGCGGCCCTCAGAAAATGGCCGGAGACATTCCTAAGCTATGGATTTGGGATTGTTTGAAAATGATGGGGAAAACGGAAAAGCTCTAAATCCACGGGTTCATCATATTTCATCATCACTTGCCCGAGTTTTTTTGCCACTTGGAGGGGATACCATTTTCAGACACGCCCAGTTAATGGACATTTACAGGAACGTCAGGAACGAACAAACACAGGGGCTTCCAAGTTGTTCTTTCCATCGGAGAACCCATGTTGACCATAGAAACAGACTATCATCGCCCCAGTTTCGAGTTCAGCTCGTCGCCCACCCAAAAACAGTGTTTCCTTCAACCCATTTGTGGAAAAGACAGTATTTTTTTGCTGGTTGGTGGTTTGGAACATTTTTTATTTTTCTATATATTGGGAATTTCATCATCCCAACTGACGAACTCATATTTTTCAAGAGGGGTAGGTCAACCATCAACCACCAACCAGTTTTTTGTTGGGGCCAAAAAATGGAGAGATTTTTCGCACGATCTCAGGCGCCATCGGCCACCTGGTGGCTTCCCGCTCTTGCAGGCGAGGGTGAATCCCAACTTTTTGTGGTGAATATTGGTGAATAACCAATTGGATGTGGTACAAAGTGGGGCCCCCGTAAACGAGAACGCGTTCAGTTGGGGTTCACATAACTCCAATTTCACTATGGTAAACATGATACGCTAAAATAACGAACTAGTATTCCTGGGGTTCATAAAGCAATTAACATCACTGGGGCACACATTGTAGTAATCCCCAAAAGGATAGAAGAATAAAATCCTGATAAAATATAGTGATAACTTATGATAACTGACTTTTCGAGCTTTTTTGGAGTTGCTGTAGGCCAGTTTATAGCCAGCTAAATCATATAACGGCTCAACAAAAATGGGTTTTGGACCACATTTCCTGGGATGGACATCCAAGGACCATTTTTTTCTTATTCAAACATGAAACATAGAAAACCGCCTTGATTGGGAGCATATCCTTATTTATAATTTGGATGTAATATTCCATAGGGAAAGAAATTTGGGGCATTGCTCCAAATCTAATATAAAAATCATGATTTATTTATCCATACTTGGGTCTAATTTGTTGTCCTTTTTTCCCCCATTTTTTCGGCTGAAAAAAAAGGGGTACCAGCAGACTTGGTCATGTTGGATCCCGCAATCTCGTTGAAAGTTCGCCCTTCGGCTGCCACCTGGGTGGCGAACAAAAACTCTGTCGGCCTTCCTTCACTTGGTGAACCATTTTCGTATCTTTTTCGTTACCATGAAATATCGCCAGTGTCCTTGAAATGCATTCTGAAAAACATCTAGGCATGCACTGCTGTACAAGTTGGTTGGCTTCTACATAATTGTTTTCATTTCCTTGACCCTTCCATTTGTTTCTGAAGTCTATATATGCCATGGTTTGTAAATCTTTGCACCTTCTCTCCTGGTGAAGATCATCCCAAGTCATGAGTGCAGCATGACTAGAATATCATTCAATGTCTACATCTTTGTTGTTCTACCCGTTCTACCTCCACAAAGATGTAGAGATTCTGGTTCGTGGTTTGGAACATTTTGTATTTTTCCATATATTGGGAATTTCATCATCCCAACTGACTAATATTTTTCAGAGGGGTAGGTCAACCACCAACCAGGATTCATCGTTTGCCCATTCGACCATGCCGACCCCATCGGCCGATCATGTCCCGACCAGAGCGGTACATGGCATGAACAGAGGTGAACAGAGGCTCCTTTATTTGGGGTAACCTTAGATGGGGGTGGATGGGTAACCTTGGGGGTACAGGATGGGGCCCCCGTTGGATAGCATTCAGTGGCCCTATTTCAGTGGCTGAATTCTATGGTTTATGGTAGATATAACGAACTAGTGAATGGCTGTTGTAATGGTGTATAAACCAACAAACATCACTGGGGGGCCCCATCCTGTATGTTAGTGCAATTTTAATCTTTTTGGAAACAACCTTGGCGCCTAACCAGGCTCTTCAACAATACAGGATATCCAAGATTGGCTACATACAAAGTGGGGCCCCCAAACGATAGCTAAGTTGGTTTATAACTCCAATTTCACTATGGTTTATGGTACTTATAACTATAGTTGCTGGGGCGAATCTAAACCAACTTAGCTATCTTGGGGGCCCCACATTGTACCAATCACGCACACCGGCAATTCCATGTTACTTATTTTTCCACATGAATCGCCATGAAATCTCATAGAATTCCCATGGAATTTCATCCGATTGAAAATCCCCCAAAAAAATCTCCACTAGCCATAGGATCCATGGTGCTGGAATATTTACCAACATTTGCCCTAAAATCTCCCAAATGTGGGTAAATATACTATACATGGATCCTATGGGTTAAGATAAACAAATAGCCAATCTTTTGAACATGTTCTCAGATCGCCGTTGTCAGGTGTCCAGTTGGTTGCGTGACGATGCGAGGGCACCTAGGGCACCCTAGGGCACCTATCGCGCGAAGCAATGTGACGATCTGGGTGACGATCTGCCACCTTCACGGAGGGTTGGAAAATCCATGAAAATCCACTATCAATGGAGGTTTAGTCCACTAACTTATCGAACTAGGTGACTAAATCGGCCATTTTTTCGTCAGCCACGTTTTTCAGCAAAGCCTTCAGGTTTTGAGAAATTTCACACTTCCGAGTGATGAAATTGTTGGTGCTAGAGCTTACAATATCTTACAGATGAGCAGATGAATAGGGGAATCAAAGTCCAAGGGTCAAGTGACCCATAGCCATATGTCACGTGCATCCCAATCAACCCCGAAACCACTTGTGGGATCTTCCCACAGATCGTTTTGATAGATTAGATATACCATGATATACCCATGGTTTCTGATCAATAGTTGTATAACAGCAATAATTATAGACACATATATATATATATAATATGTAGTAATCTAATGTAATTTAGTGATCTATAGGGGAGATCCACAGATATATCAACGACCATAGCAATCATCCTGTTGCTGATTCTCCATGACACCTGGTTAGAAAGCCCCCATTCCGTGGGTTATCCCATGTATAAATGGAGTACAAAGTGGGGCCCCCGTTTACGAGAACGCCAAGTTGGGGTGAACTAATAACTCCAATTTCACTATGGTAAACATGGTACGCAAATAACGAACTAGTTACTGGGGCTTTTGTTAACCAACGTTCACATCACTGGGGGGCCCCACATTGCATCTCCATGATCCTCCTGCAGCTGTGCTCAGCCCGGCAGATACTTGGTTTTGGAGACCAAATTGCCAACCATTTACATAGGAAAACTCCAAGAATCATCCAACAAACATATCCCAAACACATCGGAAAACATGTAAAACATGACCGGAATATCTGTGATTTGCTGGGTTTTTGACCAGAAAAAGACCCTTCTGAGGCCGAACTGCCCGAACTTCGAGAATGTGAGCAGGATAGTCCTTTCAGCACTGCCGGGGGACTAGAGGGGCCTATCACAGGCGGAGACAATGGGTGAATCCCGACCTAGGTACCCCAAAACCTCATAGTCAATCATCTTTTCCCTTAGAACAGTGCCATGATTTCTGGGGCAAATTCCAACTTTTAGAGCAACAAAACACTTTGTGGTGTGGACATATCCAATGACATATATAACTCAACAAGATCTCCTAATGATCTTGTTGTTTTCGGGATATTTCATTGTTTGTTCTCACATAATTTGTTTGTTTAAACCAAACGTATTTTTGTTAAATTGTCATGCTGTGTTTTTTTTTCATATAAGTGATGAAATAGGCTTTGTTTAAACCACAATATCTTTGTTTAAAGCAAACAAACAATACCCTCTGGCAATTTAACATAGCGCATAGCTATTGAACATGGCCCATAGAAATAGTTAATTTTCCTATTAAAGATTGTGATTTTCCATAGCTAAGTTAGTTTACCGGAGACTACATCTTTCAATTAATCACCATCAATCACTATATATGATTATTAGCTATTATGTTTATTAATCAATATGGAAAACTAAAGATAGTTAGTTTACCACAGGGTACCGGTATGTCTTTGTCTGAAAACTTGCGGTTCCCGAGGCCTTACTGGAACGAAGTGCTGGGGGTCTGTGCGGTGGCCCCGGTGCGAAGGGAGATACCTTGGGATTGTTGTCGACGAAATACCGTATGAATCTATATATGAATCTATATGAATCTATATGTGAATCTATATGTGAATCTATACGTGAATCTATATGAATCCATATGAATCTATATATGAATCTATATGTGAATCTATATATGAATCGATATGAATCTATATGCGATTCTATATATGAATCTAGATCTATATTTGAATCTATATGAATCTATATGTGAATCTATGTATGATTCTATATGAATCTATATGTGAATCTATATATGCATCTATATGTGAATCTATATGAATCTATATGTGAATCTATATATGAATATATCTGAATCTATATGAATATATATGAATCTATATGTTAATTATTAATCTATATATGAATCTATATGAATCTATATATGAATCTATATATGAATCTATATATGAATTTATATATGTTTCTATATGAATCTATATGCGGCTCTATCTATGAATCTAGATCTATATGAATCTATATGAATCTAATGGATATATTTATATATATATGAATCATATGACTGAGACGAACACCCAAACATTCCAGCTATTTTGATGTGAACAGAGTCGGATTCTATGGCTTTTGATCCACAACGCCAGAGTTCCAAGAGATTGCCACTTTTACCAGGACTGAGGATCTAGGCAAATCACTGCTGTGGACATTTTGATACCTATGAAACCATTACCCTCTGGTAATTTAACATAGCTATTGAAAATCACCATTTTTAATGGGAAAACTCACTATTAATGGTCATTTTCAATAGCTACGTTAAATTACTAGAGGGTATTTTGAACCATGAACCATTTTTAACCATTTTTAACCATTAATCACCACAGTTTTCCCATAACTTCCCCCCAAATCACTTTTTTGATTAAAATATTGTCTTGCTTTTGACGTGTCGCTTTGCTTCCACTTCAACGTAAAACTATTTCTCAGTGTGGAGTTATTCAGTTTGAACCCTCCCTCCCCTGGAGGTACTTCATTGATGTTTCCATGTGTACCTCTCAACAAAAACTCGACACAGAATCAACACAAAAATACAATAACGGCGATTTCCGAAAGTGAAAACGAATGAAAACGAACTTCAAAAGCATTCCAAACCCTGATTTTTCTCTATTTATAGAGTAGACAGTAACCCTGGTGAGTAAGTTTCCTAAGAGGATGATCCCATTTATACTATGGGCTGTACTATCCCCCAGTAATAGGTGGTATAAACCATTCCCCGTCATGGGTGCTTTATGACATTGTTTGAACAACACTATTCACTAACTCCCATGACTATACCATGCTTAGTCATTAACTGTATCATATCCCATCAATATCTCATTCATATACCATTAATATTCATTAACCATTGGTATACCGGTATACCATTGTTTGAACCACATTACAGTGATACAAGATGGTTTATAAACCATTATAACCCCCATGAACTAGTTCGTTATATCATATATCTACCATAAACCATAGAATTCAGCCACTTAGAAGGCAACTTAGCTATCTTGGGGGCCCCATCCTGTACAAATTTCCCTGCCCCTAGTTGAGGGTTCCCCCGTTGTTCGTTTCGTTTCGTTCCCAGTTCTCCCACGGCCAAGGCGTAAGCGGCGGCCGAAGCATCCGCAGCGGGTGATCCACCAGGAGGAAGAGGAGGTCAGAGTTCTGGGGCGAGGGGTGGGGCGACTGGGGAAGGTGGGGAAGGCTGAGAAGTTGGGAATACCCATGGGAAAATGAGGAATATGATGGATGGGATAGTATGATGGGAATATTGAACATAAGAATCATGGGATACTATGGAATATGAATGGTATTATGAATGTGTCCCTCTTTTTTTCTGTTTTTTTCGGTGGTTTATAAACCATGAGTTGCAGCTGTTGCATATCACCCGGTTTTCCCGTGGCGATCAGTCGCTCCAGGCCATGTCGGGCGATTTCTCCGTCTCCGGCGTCCGCCTTGGTACGCAACGGCGAGGCGAGCGCATGGTTCATCCCACTCTTGGAATGTTAGGAAAATGGTGAATTCTGAGGGATTTTGTTTGGGATTTCATGGGATTTTATGAGTTCATCATGGTCCAGGTGGTCATAGTTCAAGTCATAGTTCTGCAGTGTTGGAGTCTGGACGTCTGGAGTGCCATTCTGATGAAAGAAGCATCCCCATGATCAGAAATTGGTGGCAAAGAATGCATCTCCGAATGGTACAGCTATCATTGGGTTTACCGTTTTTTTTGAATGGTTTCGCATACTTGGACGTGTGAGGCATCGCCTAAGTGTTAAACATGACTTACAACCAATATAGCTGGCCTAGATTTCACCAAGCAAAACTGAAAGGTCATGTGGATAAAACAATAATAAGCCATCCTCCAAATCATCATTTTTATAGGTGGTATAAACTTACCATTCCCAGTGAAATTCATGGTTTATTTTCCATTGTTTCTCCCACATTGCTGTTACATTAACCTTCCTTTTTCCGCAAAAACATAGAGATTTCACCAAGAGGCATGATATTTTCACAGACAGATACAGGATTCTTTGATCGCCTCTGGTCATCAAACCGGATGGTATTCACCATAGATATCCCCGTTATAAATCACCCATAAACTCTGATTAAAAAATCAATAAATCACCAGAGCATTCCTGGTTGGTGGTGACTGGAACCATGGAATTTTAAATGACTTTCCATTCAGTTGGGAAGTTCCATCCATCCCAACTGACGAAGTCCATCGTTTTTCAGAGGGGTAGGTCAACCACCAACCAGATTATCATTAACCATATAATAACCATTAATATTAACCATTAGTAACAGTATATTAACCACAATGGTAGGTCAACCACCAAGCAGATTCTATTAAATCACCACACGCTCCCATGAATTCATCATGAACTCAGCGTAAACTCGGTCAATCCAGGTGGTGGTTCCCGCCTGGCACCTGACCTCAATGCCTTGAAAGCCAAGAAGGCCTGATACGTCATGGCCATGGGGATCATGTTGGTGTACAGTAATAGAAGACCCAGATGGATGGTTGATACGATAAAAATGGTAATTGGGGAGATGTACATTTGCTTTACAAGTATGAATTAGACACAAATTATCATTAATGTTATTTTCATTATAACGGACACATTTTTTGTTAATTTTTCTAGAAAACAACCATTACAATGGATATTTTATGGAATAGAATTGTGAGATATATTTTAGAATAGAATTGGAACACCCTTGGATCATCCATATTGTGGGATATTCTTTTGGAAGGTGAAGGATTTTGAGCCATCCTCTTTGTTGACATAGAAAAGGCCGTGTGAATAGAGACAGAAATAGAACCATGAAAAACCTCTGCACACAGAATTTGTAGAACCACTGGGGTCTTTTTTGGCGAGTAAACCACACGGGTAAGACATACCGTTTGGGTCACATCCAGATCTCCTGTCTTGGATTGGAACTTCTTCGGTCGTAAGCTTGTGAATTCGGATGTTGGATGATGTTGGACTTCTTTAAACAAATCTGAAACATCATGGCATCAAATGACGGACTTGAGAATTTGCGCGCACGTTTTGTTTTCACGCGGTTTATGGTTCACTTTGGGCAAAGGTCAGAAATGGCCCCGGTGGTTAGCAAAGTGCAGCTTTTTGAGTTGTCGTATCTCAGGCTTTCGCGGTGCGGAACCCAAAAGTCACCGCAGAGGTGGAACAGTGGAACGAATCTGAAAATGGAGGATGGTTTCGAACAACTATATAATATATTTCACTATATAATTCACTGATGTTCATATATGACAATGGGATCCTGGGCATGGCTATTTTCCTCAAAGATGGAGGATTCACGGCCATGTCTTGAGGGGTGTCGAAGTCCGCTTTTCCAAGGCTCAGTCGCCCTGGAGACATGCGGATCCAGCGGCATTGGCCGAGGTGCCGGTTTTTGATGCTGCGTTTTTTGGTGGTTCTTGATGTTTTTTTTGATGGTTTTGATGGTGTGCTTTTTTTGATGGTTTTTCATGTTTTTTTTGATGGTTTTTGGAGAACATGTTTGATCTTTTTGATGGTTGAAGTCAACTTTATAGATGGTCTACGGAGATTTAGCCAACAAAGGAGCATCACGAAGTCCACTGATCGAACTTGAGACAGAAATTCAGCTGGTTTAACCAGGGGAATTGACTGCAAGTTGGATGGGATCTGGCAAGAGCTTGGCACCTTTCCGGACATTCACCTTTTTCGCCAGCTGATTCAGTTGATGGATACCGCAGCCCCAGTCGAAATGGTCGTTTCCAACTGTCAAGCCCACCTCTGCACTGTTAGTGGTGCAGTCTGTGGTGAAACAAGTTCGTTGAACTAAGTAGGTGAACATGACGTTATTGTTAAACCAAATCTCTAGTACATCCATTTTTGTAGCTGCATCTTATTTGATACTTGGGTCTACTGTGATAATGACTCAAGTTTTGTAACTTATATAACTATATGTACATAGACACAACAACGATTAGTGAACTATGTTATATAGTCATTTACCTGTGATTATGACTATATTTTACCAACTTAACTCTTAACTATATAGATAAAGATCTACTATTAATGAACTACGTATATATATATATAATTTATATAATATATAATTGAGTGGCTTTCAAGCCTTGGGCTTAGCCGCTGCAAACAGGCCTTGACGATTGCCCTGGGGCAGTTGCAGCAAAGCTCCTGGAATGAGGCCGGGTGGGATGCCTAACTTATAACTATATAGCTAGCTAAGTTGACTTATAAGTAGGTTAACTGGGGTTTGTGTTTGATATAACATGATATAACGAACTAGTATTCATGGGGTTATAAACCAACTTACATCACTGGGGGGGGAGCCACCTTAGTATGGTTTTAATGTGGTTTAATTAATAGGGATATGGGATAAAATCGGAGGATTTACCTTCCGGCAAGATCTAATGCATGGTTTCCTTGCCATGTTCGTTTCCCGCAGTTTGGAGAGATGTTTTTTATGTGGGTAAAACAATGGTATACTAATGGTTAATGAATATTAATGGTATATGAATGGGATATTGGTGGGATATGTTAAAGGTCAATGACTAAGCATGGTATAGTCATGGGATTTAAGGAATCAAATGTTGTTCAAACAATGGAAAATAATCCACCCATGACTGGGAATGGTAAGTTTATAGCACCTACAAAATTACAAAATGGTGATGACTGGGCGATTTTGCAAATGGCATTGGGAATTACCAGAGATCAATGTTGCGAACGGGCTCAGCTCCCATTTGTTTCAGTGGCGAACAGGTGAAGTGCTTTGTTCACCAACTTGTGAAAAATCATCGGAGTATGGAGCTTTCCTAAAATAATGGTACCCCCAAATCATCCATAATCATCCTAGTCATGGATGACCATGACTTAGGATTGAAACCCATGGTGTCCTGTTGTGTACCACCATATTGGGCGTGAAACCCTGCAACTTTCGGGGGGTCGAACTGCCCAAATGGAGATGGATGAACACCTATCATATTTGGGAAGGATAATCATCCATTGAGCTCGTTTTGGGTTTCGAGTACCAGGGTTTTGTGATGTTTTGATCAGCATATGCAATGCTGATCCATCATGGATTGGACGAGAAGCTGGTTCTTATCATCCCCTTCTGACAGAACGAGCTGGGTGGTTTTCCGGAGCCATAGCTGGCCTATCTTTGTCTCGTATGAAACCATGGTACCATAGCTGGGATGAAACCAGCTGAAAACGTGTAACCACGGCATTGTCGATGACCATCCATGGCCGGATTTTTTTCCACAGAATTGATGGTTATCAATCCATAGGGTCATATTTCTGTATCGATAGAAAGCCAGGGTCATGTTTTTCCATGATTTCCCATGAAATGGGCCATATTTTGACCATGGCACAGGAAAAACTTGGGTGCAGTTGGGGTTAGTGATGGTTACTGTAATGAATTCACGTATTATTCAATACACTGTAATGAAGTTGGGATGTAACTTATTGATATAACCCATGATCAACTATGATATACTATGATTAAGTATGCTTTAATTTGCGCCACTTATTACTTTAAGTCAAAGTACCATTATGATAAGCCATGAACTTTTAACTAGTACCATTAAAAGTACCAATATTATTAGTTTAAATACACCCTGTGGTTATTTAACATAGCCATGATATAGATGGCCCATAGAAATAGATGGTTTACCTAGCTATTAAATGGTTGGATTTTCCATGGCAAACTGCTAGTCATAACCAGAGGGTAGATCAATAGATGGCTTTGCCAGTATGGTGTCCCCAAATCCATTGGTGAACCATCATTTTCCCCATGTGGCAGTGGCTGTCAATGGGGTATTCCCCAATTGTTCACACAAACACATGGACTATCCATGTCATTGAAAATCAACAATTGTTGCCTCAGAGTGGATTGGAAATGGGAGATATCCCATTTATAGTGGATTTTCCCATCAAAAATGGTGGATCTTTCCATAGTTATGTTAGTTTACCAGGCCGGGTATCCCATGGCTAAACCTGATCCAACTCCACTCTGAGTGCACCTTCGATCGCTCTCGCTGGCCTGGCCAAACGTCGATCATGGCGCCGAATTTTCGACCTGCCCAGGCTGAAGAGGAGCTCGCTGAGGAGCGGAAATGGAGCGGAGCGGGCTGCCTGGCTTTGGTCAACCAGTATATATATATATATATTGTAAAACTAGCTATAAATATATGATTATATACTGTATATATATATTACATGGATCTAAACATCATCTCTAATGGATATATATATATGACATTATATGACTTTTTAAGACTCTATAAACAAAAGTAACACTATACCTATGGATATATAGATGTGAATACAACAAACATGTATACATACGTACAGTAGCCACCTGTATATATATATACATACACATATACATATACATATACATATACATATACACAGACTACATACATGTATAAGAAAGGAGATGGTAAGAACTCTTACTCACAGAGGTCTGTTCTACCCAATGTTTGCAGATTCCAAGTAGTGGCAGTCAAAACCAAAAGCATATTTTTTTGGCTTCCCAACCAGCCCATTGTCATGGATTGTTCTGGTAACTATCGACCCAGGCATCTAGTGGAATGCTATGATTCACATGCACGATTGTCGTATACCCAGTTGCAGATACGTTGTGAGAATCAAAGCGAATATCCTGATCTTTAAAAGGGCCCAAAGTTGTTGTTACCGGAGGAACATCCGATCACAGAGAACCAGAAATCCGGGCCCGGCTTTGCGTCCCAGAGGCTATTCCCATAATTGCGCAGATGATTTAGCTATAATCAATGGTGATTTTCCATGGATATGTTGAATTACCATAGGGTAGCCACTTTTTTTGGTGGCTTGTTGAATCCACAGTCATCAAAACGGTACCTTTCCAATCCTTTCCACGCCAGGAAAGCAACCGGACGCCCGAGATTGAGGTGGACGAGATGGGGAAACACGGGGGTTTCAGGCATCGTTTCAGCGGCTTCCAAGGCCAACATAGCTGTGTGGTGAGACTGCCGTTTGATGCGGGGTAACTAGGTTTCCCACGACCTTTTCAGGATTTATTTTGTCACAAGTTATCTGTGTCAATCTGTGTATACATGTATATGATTGTAACTGTATATATGTATGTATAATATATATATATATAGATATGCACACACACACACACATTTAAGCAGCGCAAAGCTACTCTGCGACTAAACGTATATACAAATTAGATCATCTAAATATTCAGTAGAATTTATCCCATGGTTTGAATGGTGATACTACTTCATGTTCTCCAGAATTAATCCAGGGAGACAAAAAAAGATGGCTGGTTGAAACTAGAATTTAATGATCATTTATCCATACAATGCTATATAGTAATCAAATTTCAGCCAGATATTCGTTTATAATTTCTCCTTTACCATTGATAAACTCCATACAATTCCACAGAATCTGACTCCATAGAATTTGATACAATTCCACATCTAGCCAGAAATTTGTTAACAACAGATACCCTCTGGTTATCCAACGTAGCTATGGAACATCACCATTCTGAAGTTCGGCAAATCATCATGGTGATCAGCTCTTTTCTAAGGGGCCATCTCAACTTCGCCATAGCTACGTGAAATACCCCGAGGGTATATCCTCTAGGGGGATATTCCATAGGTCATAGGTATTTATATACAAAAAAACGTCATCTGGCTGTGGACATGATCCACTCTCCAGTGGGTTTTTCTCAGTAAATCTAAATCTGGATGTGGTTTTATGATCCACTTACCCTCTGGTAAACTAACATAACAATGGAAAATCACCATTTTTAATGGGAAAATCCACTTTAAATGGCCATTTTCAATAGCTATGTTAAATTACCAGAGGGTACTAAGAAAAGCCATGGATTTATCCAATGATACCTGGCGTCTCCACGTCCAGGACACGGCACCCTCCGTGCCGCAGACTCGCCCACGGAAGCTGGCGCCAGCCAGGGGACCCCAGGAGTGTGTTCGCCACCTTTTTTGGGGGGTACCCTCTGGTAAACTAACATAGCTATTGAACATGGCCATTTATAGTGGATTTTCCCATTAAAAATGGTGGTTTTCCATAGTTATGTTAGTTTACCAGAGGGTACCCCCTACTTTTTAAAAGAGGAACCGTTGGGTGATGGATAGTGATGTATGGTGATGTTGGAGGCAAGTTAGGTGATTTTCCGGGAAAAAAAAATCTGGGGGAAGGAAATCGTCTCCATTCATGCCGTATTTTCATTTTCGATGGTTGGATGAACCAATTACAGACAAGATTACAACCTTTCTGACACCGGGGGAAGATGATGTTCATGTATTCCACCGATTGTTTTCCCCATTTTCGCCCCTTTTTTGTGTGTCTGAAAATGGAAGATACCTCAAAACTGCAATGTTGAAAGGGAAAACGGTCACAATGCTGATAACAAATCGGGTTTTAGGGGTACATAGTGACATAGTGCTAGTACTTGTTGTACCCGATTTGCAGATATTTGCAGATAAACAGAGATCCACTCCCATTGTTTTTGGCTTCCTATGCTATGGTGCAGGTACGGATTCAGGAGGAGCTTATAGAAGGCTGGGAGGGGATCCTAGTTTTGGGTTTGAACATGAACCATGTCACGGGACACCAGAAATGAGAAAACCCAATACTAAACCACTGTTTCCAGGGTCGTATTTCATAAGTTTTTGTTGACACATCAGCACCCTTGAAGTGTAGGATGGAACCCACACAAGGGCAGTGCCGACGGAAAATCATGAGTGTCATCCAAAACAGCAAGGCAGCAAGACATTTTCTCAAGTTCCATGTTAGTTTTGACTACGCAGTCCCGGTGTTGAGAGATTTTCCCGGCAACCGAAGATGAACATGGCAATTTTGGAAACACATTTCCAGATATCAACAATTGGAAGAATCCATGGAATTTCATTATACTGTGGATGAATCCTGCACCTTAGATGAAACCCAATGCAAAATAATGGGATGTTTATCACCTATCAACTGGTGCAGGATTTGTTCCATCAAGAATTCCTCCTTGGTCAGGCTCCTTCGAGGACGACTCGCTTCTTGGCTGAAGCGGGGCAATCTGACCTGTTTCTTCCTCCTGTTTAGATAGTGTGGATGTACATTTAAAGAAACAAACATGACATACAGGCGACATATGTAGATAAAGTAGATAAACACACCACGAAAATATCTACAAACGTTGTAGGATCAGCCACGAGTTCGTTGTTGGTTCGCTGTTTCGGAATCCCACAAATTCCTCATAAAGAGAACGATCTGAGGGGGGAGAGAGAGAGAGAGAGCTGACCTGCAGAGATCCAAGCTGCTTCTCCTCAAATCTACAATGGTTCGATTCTTGTTTGTTGTAAGCCCATCGTTTCGCTTTCGCTATCCCATGATTTCGCATAAGTTCGCAACATATTCCAAGAGTCATGGCAGCTACTTTTGATTTATCCGCTATCACGCATGCTTGTTGACATCCCCACTTTTGTTGATCTACTCTGTCTATAGACATATATGTATATATATAATTACATATACAAAATAATTAATTATATATTATAATATTATATAATTATATATATATATATGTATACTCCTGACACAATAGTTTCCAATATCGCTGGTTTTGTCGGTCATGTCACCATCTTTTGGTTCTGTTATGGTATCAGGCATCAGTGACATCCCATTAGATCCCGTTTTCATTTAAGTTGACACTCCATATCACTTATCTTTGGTTGATATATACTGTACTTCATAAATCTCCATATCATTCACTGCGCATATTTCATTTCTGCTCGGTCGTTTTGATGTGATACCTGTATGAAACACTCTTTCTATTGATTCGCCGACGCCATCATCGAAGGATTTTGGTTATTGTGATATGATGTTCCTTTTTTTTTGCTGATACCCTCCAGTAAATTAACATAGACCCTGGCAGATAGGGGTTGGAAGATTAGTTTCCATTAAAACTAAGCTATTTTCAGGGTCTATGTTAATTTACCAGAGGGTAACCCAGGTTTGTTTTTCCTTGTAGAATCATATGGTAAAATCAGCAATCTGAAACAGCACATCCACTTGATTGAGCAAATAAATTCATCGTACCAATTTTGCCATCACTTTTTAAAACCGAATTTGTGTAGTAAAATCATCAATGTTGGTTCTAGGTATATAAAAATTATTAAAACATCCTCAAAATTGGTTTTAAATCTTGGTAATCATCAGTCCTAGTTATAGTTGGTACATTATCTCCTGATTGGTGGAGATCATGGCTTGGGTGGATCATTATCAAATCCACCCAAGAGTTTGATCGTTTTGGCGGGTGACAAATCCCCATTTTTGGTTGCTCAAATCAGCATCATGGATGGTCAAGTTTGCCATTTTGGGAATGGTAGAATATGACAAAATTGTACATGTTGATGCGTGAATTTCCGATTTCGGGATTCTTTTTTTGTGATTCTATATCGTCTTGAAAAATTAATTTTACCATCCACCATAATTTTTTATGGTCATTGTATATGGGTTTGTCTGGAAATAGGGTATATTCCCAATTATAGCCATTTAATAGGGATAATGATCATTAACCATTGGGTTTAGGGGTACACTATTTTCAGACACACCCATATGGTGAAAATTTCACCATCCACCATTGTTTTGGTCGTTTTGGTATGGTCGTTTCGGTGATTTTGCCTTTAGGCCTTCCGCCACCTGGCCCCCCGGCGCCGCCAAGCGCCGGACACGACAGGTGCGAAACAGGTTAGAGCCACGGAGTTCCGTGGAAAATATATGGTGGTTTCCTAAAATTGTTGGGTTAGATTTGGTTAGTATATGGTAATTGGTTAGTATATGGTAATTTCCCAAAAGCATTGGTTAATTGTTTTTTTCCCCTATTGATTTTCCTATGAATATGGATTGATATGGTGGCTCCTAGATGGTGGGTAGCCCAAAATCATCCAAAATTGGTTATTATCAATAGGAAAACCAATGGTTTGGGGTATCCATATTTTATGAAACCACCATGAGAACATAGCCATTTTAATGGCAATTTTTAGATGTTTTCAGGTTGACGTGTGATTCCCGAATGCGTAGCAAGGGTTCCCGTTTCACTCTGGGGGTCTGGGGGCTGAGGGTGTGTTCGCTCGACGTTGCGTTTGTGGTCGCAACCGTTCGCAACCGTCCGCAACCGTTCGCAACCGTTCGCAACCGTTCGCGTGAGGACCGTATGGCCGTGCCTATGGGAAGTTTTACAGAGGTGGTCCTTTTTGGAGGTTTCAGACGTCTGGTTGCTTCGTTTCGCGTGGCAGGCGTGGCACTTCGTGACATTCAGACGTGTTCTGCAACGTGTCGAAAGTCGTTTTGTGTGGCAGGCACAATACTTTTACGTCGTTTTCAGAAGATGTGTTGCAGTTTTCGTGGCAGGCGCAGCACTTTGGACGCGTCCATCGTCATTTTTCGTGGCAGGCGCAGCACTTTAGACGCGTCCTGTGGCGTGTTTTTTGTAAATCGCATTGGCAGGGTTGCGTCAAGTGGTGACAAGGTGCAAATTCCGTGGCAGGCGTGGCATTTTCTGACATGTGCTGAAAATTGACGGAAGCCTCGCACGAAACATCGATTTTGAGGTTGCAAATTTTCGGGTTCTAAGGAAAACTCGTAGGAAAACGTCGATTTTGAAGCTGCAAAGTGTTAAAAGTGGAGGAAGTCTCGCATGAAATGCTCGTTTTGGTGCTCCCACCTGTCTCTTCTCGCGTGTCTGGTTTTCCCGTGGCCTCGCTGTGTCTATGGGGGAAGGTGCAAAACTTGTCTTTTTATCTTGTCGGCAACTGTGAAAATTGCCGGAAGTCTCGCACAAAATGCTAGTTTTTCTGCATCCACGTGTCTTGTCTCGAGTCGCTGGTTTTCCTGTGGCGTCGCCGTGTCTATGGGGGAAGCTGGAAAACCTGTCCTTTTCGAATGTTTCCAAGCAAGGTTGTCATGTTGTTTTGCGTGGCAGACGTGGCACTTTCTGACATTCCAACCTGTTTGATGATGTTCACACAATTTCAAAATTGGAGGAATTCTCGTGGGAAATGCTGGTTTTTCTGCATCCACGTGTCGTGTCGCGAGTCTCTCGTTTTCCTGTGGCGTCGCCGTGTCTATGGGGGAAGCTGGAAAACATGTCCTATTTGAATGTGTCCAAGCAGGTTGTCATGTCGTTTTGCGTGGCAGGCGTGGCACTTTCTGACATTCCAAACTTGTTTTGCATCGTGTCGAAAATGTCAAAATTGGAGGAAGCCTCGTACGAAATGCTGGTTTTTCTGCATCCACATGTCTTATCTCGAGTCGCTGGTTCTCCTGTGGCGTCGCCGTTCCTATGGGGAAGCTCCGCACTCTACACTTTACACTCCGCACTCCACAATTGACACTTTAAACTCCACACTGTACGCTTTACACTCCACACTTTACACTTTGCACTTTACACTCCTCACTCCACACTTTACACTCCACACTCCACACTCTGCACTCTTCACTCCACACTCCACACTTTACACTCCACACTTTCCACTCCACGCTCCTTACTTTACACTCCGCACTTTCCACTCCACACTCCACACTTTACACTCCACACTCCGCACTTTACACTCCTCACTCCACACTTTACACTCGTCACTTTACACTCTACACTCCACACTCTACACTTTACACTCTACACTTTACACTCTACACTCCACACTCCAGACTCTACACTTTACACTCTTCTACGCTCCACACTTTACATTTTACACTCCACACTCCACACTCTACACACCACACTCTACACTTTCCACTCCACACTGCACACTCCACACTCTACACTTTACACTCCACACTCCACACTTTACACTTTACACTCCTCACTCCACACTCTACACTTCACACTCCACACTCTACACTTTCCACTCCACACTCCGCACTCCACACTCCACACTTTACACTCCACACTCCACACTTTATACTTTACACTCCTCGCTCCACACTCTAAACTTTACACTCCTCACTTTACACTCCACACTCCACACTCTACACTTTCCACTCCAGACTCCACACTCTACACTTTACGCTCCACACTCCACACTTTTCACTCCACACTCCACACTTTATTACACTCCACACTTTACACTCCACACTTTACACTCCACACTCGCACTTTACACTCCACACTCCGCACTTTACACTCCTCACTCCACACTCCACACTTTACACTCCACACTCCTTACTTTACACACTCCACACTTTCCACTCCACACTCCACACTCACACTTTACACTCCACACTCCACACTTTACATTCCACACTTTACACTCCACACTCTACACTCCTCACTCCACACTCCGCACTTTACACTCCTTACTTTACACTCCTTACTTTACACTCCACACTTCAACACCACACTTTCCACTCCACACTCCACACTCCACACTTTACACTCCACACTTTACACTCCTCACTCCACACTTTACACTCCACACTTTACACTCCACACTTTACACTCCACACTCTACACTTTAGACTCCACACTTTACACTCCACACTCCACACTCTACACTTTACACTCTACACTATACACTCTATACTCCACACTTTACACTTTACATTCCGCGCTTTCTACTTTACACTCCTCACTCCACACTTTACACTCCACACTCCACACTCTACACTTTACACTCCACACTCCACACTCTACACTCCACACTTTACACTCCACACTCCACACCCTACACACCACACTCTACACTTTCCACACCACATCCACACGCTACACTCTACACTCCACACTCTACACTTTACACTCTACACTTTACACTCTACACTTCACACTCTACAATTTACAAACTCCACACTCCTCACTCCACACTTTACACTCCTCACTTTACACTCCACACTCCTCACTCCACACTTTACACTCTACACTTTACACTCCACACTCCACACTTTGCACTTTACACTCCTCACTCCACACTCATCACTCCACACTTTACACTCCACACTCTTCACTCCACGCTTTATACTCCTCACTTTACACTCCACACTCCACACTTTGCACTTTACACTCCTCACTCCACACTCCTCACTCCACACTCTACACTCCACACTCTACACTTTACACTCCATCCTCCACACTCTACACTTTACATTCCGCATTCTACACTTTACACTCTTCTACGCTCCACACTTTACATTTTACACTCCGCACTCCACACTCCACACTCTACACTTTCCACTCCACACTGCAGACTGGTAACAAGGGAAACATGCACAAGACTGTTCAAATAAACTATTGCAGAAAGGTATTGTGCGTGACTGCATAACCATGTGTTTTGACATCTGTACCATTAACATACGTGTGAGCATTCGGGTTCGTGGGCTTCATCTTGTTTTTTTCATTGCGCATTTTCATGGCAATTTTAGGAAACTTAAGGGACACAACATAATTTTGTGGCAATTTGTTTATGGGAAAAATGATGCTACAGCAATTTTTGGGTCCCAGATTTTGAGACCCAGAGATATATGGGAACTCATGTGCTAAAATGGGGATGGAAGGAGAGAAAGGGTGGATGGATGTGGATGGTGATCTCGACCTATCCATACCTATCCATCAAATGGAAGATTGGTGGACACAACCAGAAAAATGGAGGGTGCTGGTAATATGTGTGTTTTCCTAAATGCTGCCTGATTCTTTGTCATTGGAGGGTTTCAACCACCAGCTAGCCCAAGACAAAACGGAAACAACTCGGGAATATCTTGAACGCGTCACTCACGCATGTTTGATCGAACCTATTGCATCATAAACCATATAACTTCAATCAATCAATCAATCAACCAACCAACCAACCAATCAATCAATCAATCAATATATATATATATCATTTAATCAATTCAACTATCAATATATATAATTATATATATATATGTCCAACAGGAATGAGGAGTCAAGTACAACTGATGGATTCTAGTTACTTGCCCACCAAAGATACCTTCAATGCCTTCAGCCTGGTGGCAGGCGCCGGCCAAAGCCTTGATCATAAGAAGCAAGTGGGGCGCCCCCAAGGAGAGTTCAACTCGTGGGATGAAACCTGGCTCTGGTCAGCTGGGTCACCCTTGGGGGAAATTCTAAGGGCATGAGGAAAAGTGGATCCCCGGCCACCAAAAATCAAACGAGAACCCCAGCCGGCACACAAGGGATGACTCAGGGGACTCAGCAATTCATTTTGCCCTTTTTCGAAATGATGTGAATCTGTGGGCACCCAAATTGGTGCTTCATTTTTGGTAGGTTTTTTCAGTCTCCATGAAAGCCCGAAAGCAGGCATGTGAACATGATTTGAGATGATTTCTGAATAGCTTGGCTGGTGTGGCTGATAGGTTCCGAAAGGTCGCCAGTCTCAGGTCTTTGCCGGGCGAGAAAGCCGAAAAACCCGCCGAAAAGGGCGTGGAGAAGGACAAGGCGACCGTGAATAGAATGTGTCATCCTGGTATTGCTGATATTATCACCTCCGGTAATCAAACATGGCCCTCATTTCGAAGATGATACTCCCATATATTCCCATTAAAACCTCCATTTGTAGATTTGTAGATCATTTTCCCATTAAATCCTCCATTCATAGATGATTTTCCCATTATAGTTGCATGAAAAAACATCCATTTCGTTCGGGGCAGACTCCAGACGTTGCAAAGCGGGACGGGCCAGGCGCCCACGGAGAAGCGCGCAGGTGCCGCGGTGTGAGGGGTACTCCTCCAATAGTCATTATCTGATACTTAAATGGTACAATGTGGGGCCCCCAAGATAGCTAAGTTGGTGAACATAACTCCAATAACTATGACTTTGGTAATTACTTATAACTATAGTTAATGGGGTTTGTAAATCAATTTATGACTAGGGGGCCCCACGTTGTAGCCTCCCAATTAAACAGCCGTTTGGGGTTTATTAATCCAGGGTTGACATTACCCGCTGGTAAATTAACAACTATTAACAATTTGACCCTGAAAATTGCTATTCTTTTTTGTAGTGGAAACTAAACTTTCAAGCCCTACCTGGCAGGGTCTATGTTAATTTACTGGAGGGCAAGGTATGTGACCAATATTACGACAAAAAACCAACTAGTAACCATAGACAGGAAAAAAACAAGAGTACCATCTTTTGAACACATATTTCGACCATAGAGATGGTAAACTTATGATCTCCAATGACGAACCAGCATGTTTCAGGGTGGCTTCACATGGAAATCGATAGCATCGATAGCCATCATCATGATCCTTGGATAAATCCATGGCTTTTCTGAGTACCCTCTGGTTATGTCAAAATAGCTATTGAAAATGGCCATAGAAATAGTGGATTTTCCCATTGAAAATGGTGGATCTTTCCATAGTTATGCAACAGTTTACCAGAGGGTAAATCAATGAAGACGTCATTTACAGAGTTCCTAATCCGTTTCCCCCGAACCACCTTGGTGGAATGCAGCAGGTCCTCCAAATGAGGAGGATCGGCAGGTCCCGGGGCCGCAAGTTGCAGTGATTGGAAGACTTCGTCAAGACCTGATTCGAAGTCATTTTGGGTTTTGGCAGGTACTAAAAAGTCAGTTTTGGACATATTGAAGACTCTCGGTGTCTGAACATATTACCAGACTTGAACAACCAATCCGTATGAAATCGTATGAAGGTGTCATAGGTTCAGCTTTGGAGCTGGGCTTCTCTTTCGGAGCCCTCAATTTATGGTCATTTGCGTAGGGCTGAGTAGGGAGTATGATGAGTAACCAGTGGATTAAGGGGTATCCTATTTTTCTAGAACCCCCCTTCTTCTCAGTATTTGAAAGATCTTGACAAGGATCACTCGAAATGTTTCAAACTGAATGATTGAAATCCCTTTCAGCCATCCATGAAATTAGGGACCGGTCAACAAAAATATGGGATGCTGCCTATGTAGCATGATATTTGTGGATTACACACCCTTAATCCATAATCTTATCTCGGATTTGCTGAAGATGAGTTTGCATTTTCCAAAAAATAACATGTCCACCACACAGTGGAACCATGTTTGCAGAATATCGGTCAGTTCTTGGGAGGCCATCTCAAGCAATTCTTACGTAGATATTCCCATCATGCGCTCATTGCCACCTCCTCTTGGGCCCAAGGGGGTTGGAACGGTTGGGCAGGTGGCGCCCGAGAAGAGTCAGAGCGGTCAGAGCGAGACGTCCCTTGAGAAGATGATGGGGGCTGATTGGTTTGGGGGTTATACAATCTATATCCCAGATGCTCCATGGTGCTGGAATATTTATACCTACAAAACTGGCTCATAAAAATGGGGTAAATGTTGGATTCATATTCCAGCACCATGGTTCGCATATGGGTATGGGGATGGGTCAAAACCTATTAAAATCCCGCTTTTGGGGACTTGAATAAACACCCATAAACCATCTGTTTTAGGGTACCACTTGGGGTACCAGGGTTTTGACTCGTAGCAATACACAAAAATTTGGGCTGATCATGTCATCCGTGAACCCGGCACCCTTGCGAACCAACCATCCTAACCGGGCAGCCGCTGATCATTAGGGGGATATCATCAACTCCAGCGTTTGGACATTGCGGCGAACGAGCAACCATGATGATGTTCCAATGATCAAATATTGTTTGGCAACAAAAACTAGGAGCTATTCAGCAACAAGAAGATGAGATGGGACGGAGGTTCTTTCTTGATATGGGGCCAAGTGGACGCAATGAGCCACAGCTGCCAGATCAACATTGAGCGTATTGAGCCAACGATGCTGAGATTCCAACACTTCATGGTGGACTCATGTGATATTGTTTACCGCAAATCGCAACAACGCAAGGTCAAGAAAAGTATTTCCCTATGAATCTCCCAAGTTTTTATTTATGGATATATATATATATTTATGGAGTATTTTCTTATGAATATCCTTAAATGAACATCCCTAATTTTGTCAGTTTTGGTGCGTGACGTGTTCCTGCACGTCCGACTAGGCACCCCCGACCCCCACGGATCAGCGTTGAACCCAGGAAAACTTGTGGTGAAAGGGTAACGTATGACAAGGTGCGGTGGGACAAATCCAGGGCAAGAGAAACATCAAGAGTTTGCTGGTGAGTGGAGATGCGATTTCCCCCCAAATATATCCAAATATGGTGATAATATACCCATAGGATCCATGTATGGTATATATGCTAACATTGGGGGTATATTGATGGTAAATGTTATCATATATAGCATACATGGATCCTATGGGATATGTAATTTCATAGGTTTTGACCCATCCCCATTTTCTAAAGTTTGTAAGTTGACTGCAGGTGATCATTGCGATATATTGCGATCAATGCTCACAGTTGTCCGATGTTCCCCAAGGTGTGACGACGGCTCGGCTTCTTTTGGCACACCAAGCTTTGTTGAAGAAATGAGAATTTGATGAACAAAAAAAGGAACTACTTGTATCACGTTGAGGAGAATCATCGCGGCCCCCATTCATGATCTCCATCACCACCATCACCAATGGGACCAATATATTGAAGCAATGTACCTGCCTTGTTGAAAACAAGTGAAACAAGCGTCTCGGTCAAGCCGTTTTTGAACTCACATTACTTGCATTGATGGAATCCATATAGATTCAACACATTCAACACCAAGATTCATGTTCCCTGAAGTTACCAACTGGCTAAAAAAACTGAGGTTTTTCACCTCTGAATCATGTCTGAGGTCGACCTATCAAACCTCGTTACTTTGATCCATTTACCTGGGCTCAAATTGCTCAACTTGGAGGATGGCGGATGGTCCCAAAATTGATTTCGTTCCCCCCAATTGATGGCGTGTCTTTCGGGAAACCCCCATGAAGTGGGACTCCGCGACTCCGAGAGGCCAAACGGCCAAACAAGCCCTTGACTTTAGTGAAGTCCGAGAAGAGCACCACAGGCGGCGAAGCCCAGCAGCGGAAGAAAAATGGGAAAAGTCAAGCATCAAATGATGGTTTTGACATGTTTTTACCATCCAAAACATGGGCATGTAAGTAGGAAAGATTGGGATTTCCGTCATTTGGGTTTGTCTGCAAATGGATATCCAAGCCAGTTTTTGGGCATTCTAATGGGGACAAATGATGGTAAACTATGGAGTTTCGGGGCATGCGGTTTTGAGACATACCGAATACCTGATTCGTTGCCGTAGGTCTCGAGTTGTGTCTTTGGCGGTTCATCTGAGTTTGACTGAGGCTCTAGACTCTACCTTAGCCACAGAATCCGATTCCGCGGTGCCATGTCGCTGAAAGATGTCACCAAACTTCCGGAGAAAATGGGGCCCAAGGCTCGGCGGTTTTTGGGCCCCCTGGGCCAGGTACTTCCAGCTCCAAAAGTAAAAGTCGCTCGAAGGCCGGAGCGAAAAAGATGGCCCGGAGACCTGGAAAAGCTGGCCGCAATACCGTTGAAGCCTTGTTGAGTGACGAAAGATGAGGATTGGAATACTACTTGACCCAACCTGGTTATGACTAACATAGCCATGGTTTGTCGATGGCCCTAATCGAAATAGATGGTTTACCGTTCTTAATCATGGTGATTTTCCATGGCTATGTTAGTCATAACCAGATGGTATTTTATACTATCCAATCTACAGGGGACGATCATAATCCAGGGGAATCAACTGAGGTTTTAAGAGTGCTGCAACTGAGGCGTTTTTTTGGGATAAAGCCGGATTTTCGGCAAAAATGGTGATTCTTACAGTGGCAGCACTCAAATCTGGGTAGACCAAATGGAGACTGGTACTCGTAGGTTGAGTGACTTGAGCGGTGCATGGGGGAATAGCCAGCTGAAAACTTATCTCTTGTATCCCAAACTTGTTCCAAAACATGAGATATAAATGGGACTTCTTGGCACGACATGCCCCAGTCACTAGTCATTTACAAACTTGACGGGGCTCTGAAGTCGGGTCAGTGGTACGTACCCCTTGGTATCCTTGGTCCGATCTTCGGGGTGATTGAAAAACACGAGACATGGTTCACTACAAGCTTGACGGGCACAGCGATGAACATATTTTGGGACGATCATCTGAAAGCTCTCAGCTGCGCCATGCAAGTGATTTGCTTTGGAATCTAAGGGGCTTCCTATAAAAACATATACCCAACCTGGTTATGACTAACAATACTAACAGTTCGCCATGGTATAGATGGCCCATAGAAATTATACCCTCTGGTTATGACTAACATAGCCATGGAAAATTGCACATTTATAGATGGTTTACCTATTAAAAATGGTGATTTTCCATAGCTATGTTAGTCATAACCAGATGGTAAAAGGGGAAGGTCACTTTGGGGTCCTCAGAGTACAACTAAGCCAGCTGAGGTTTTGCCATTTGCCTACTGCTTCGATGACCCTCGCTACTGGCACGTTGAAAGCACTGAAGGCCATGCAAACCATGGCCTCATAGGGGGCCGATGGCCTTTCAAGGGTTGCCGATGGGGTCAACGATGTTTTTTTCAGGGTTGATGTCTATTGGCGTGGTCAAAAATGGAGGATTACCAAAAATTCCCATTCATTCCCTATGATTTTTTTTCGGACTTTGGGTTCAAGTTGTAACTGGAGTCCTGGACCCAGCCGCAAGTTGTCACCTATGATCAGTGTCTGTGCTTGGAATGGATATAATCCAGATGATACCAGATATTACCAGATAGATTTCTGCAATTTGCATGGCTTTGAAGGAGGCTTTCAGCATATTTGATGATATACTTTTCACAGCGAGGCGAACAAGTGAAAGGCAAAAGTGCCTTAAACAAGCATTTCTCAGATTTGAATGTGTCGTTTTTGTTTGTTATACTCTTGATATCTCTCGATACACCCATATTCTCCAGCCAGGTTTGACCATGTGGGATGCCTGTTCAGTTGGTCCGCTTGCGAGGCCGGGCTTGCCCAGAATTCCTGCCCGAGAACCGTGCATGAGGCACGGCCGGGCTGCGCCGACGCCCCAAAACCAGAGGATTTGATGGGAAGCTTAGACAGGACCACCCAAAAATCTGGGTAAATTATAACGACCTCACTGCGACCGAGCCCTGGAATCATGGTTAGTAAGGGGAATCATCCCCAAGTGGCCGCAAGATTCAGGCTCTCTTGCTTGCGGGGGGGGGTCCGGCCAAAGGGAAGATCGGTGGCCTTAATTCAGGTTAGTGAAATACTATAATTTACCCAGTATAATGTACATAGAGAGGCTGCTGAGTGAATTCAATTCATCTCAATATTCCATCTCTAAGAAAATGTCAATGACTTGAGTGATTTCTCCACAAGTGACACTTTCCAGGATCAGTTCAATTGCCAAAAATATCAGTGTTTTTTCCTATTTTTTTGCAGCTGACTGCTCCCACCAGTATATTATACAATACTTGGACCACCAGCCCATTTTGTGGACGACCAATGATCCTGATTAGCAAGTCACCGATAGCATATCAAAAACAATATCTATATCAATATCTGTAGCCATATCAGTGTCTATATATATCTCTATTAATTTATATCTATATAACTACATATATTCAAATATCTACATAAATAAGAATATGTATAATATATATATATATATATTATTGTTTATTATTCTCACATATACATATATATATATATACATATATATATATACACTCATATATATATATATTCATATATACTACTCCCAATATCTCCCAATGTTTGCTGACCATCGAGGACCACTGGGACGGTGCACAGCAATCAGGCCCCACGTGTGGCGCGCCGATTTTGCGCCGATTTTCAAGCCCTGGAGAACTCCAAATTCTTCGATTTTCAATGGGAAATCCATATAAATCTACTAGAATAGATGGAACAAGAAACACTATCTTTTGGAAAAACCATCTACAATTCCCGATATTTTTTGGAAATCCATCTATAAATGGAGATTTCCCTGGGAAAATCATCCAAATAAACTGGGAAATCTACCAGATTTGGCGAATCATCCTATTTCAAGGGGTGGGAAACAGGGCAGAATGGCCACGGCCACGTTGTAACCAGGGCACGTCCCTCCGGCATCGCATCGCGGGGCACTTAATGGCTGCGCACAGCCATTTTTCATAGAAAGATGTAGGAAGATCATATAAATATTGACCATTGACATGCTGTAGTTTTTATGAATAATGATTTGTAATTGTTAAGTATTGATTCATCGTGATTATACCTGTTATAACATTCCCAATTGCTGGATCCAGGCGTAGCGTATCTTAGATAGGACGTGTGACGTACGGGGTATGATGACGTGACTAGGGGGGTTATCCGTGGACATGGGATGCATAGGGATCATATACAGGCATCTGATTGGTGGTTTGGAACATTTCTTTATGACTTTCCATTCAGTTGGGAACAAAAAATCCCAACTGACGAACTTTAATATTTTTCAGAGGGGTTGAAACCACCAACCAGTATATATATATATAAAATAACAAATTAATAACAACTACCCCCAAAAAGATAGACAAAGAATATTCTCCAGAAGAGAATTGGGCAGTTTTCTTCCTTTTCGATCTTTTTCTGGTTGCTAAACATGAATTTCATAAACTGCAAATGGATATGGGGCTTCCCAAAAAACAGGCTCTTGATGGATTTCAGATTGGTGAATGATGGTAATTTACGATACTTGAGGCAGATCCAACCGCCGATGGGGTGTAGGAGCAGTACATACCAAGAGCTACCCATTTTTACATCGGGAGCGCGTTTCGGAGCTACCAAGAGGTTCCCAACCACGTGATAGGTTGACAACGTCTCCTTTTCACATGATTTATTGCCAACTTGTGCAGAAGCAACCAACTGGTTCTCATGTGCCATCGTTCTGCGAGCGTTTGCAAGCTGGAGGCTCCTGGAATGGTAACGATCTGGAGAAGGGCTTGGAGAAGATATTGAAGGGGCCCAAAATGGGCATAATATATATATATATTATGTGATTATATGTTATAATTATGTGTTCCCATTTCAAGGTTTCCTATTTCCGTTGTCAGCAGATGTAGGTCATAGTGTATGAAGGACAATCCAGCAAAGAAGCATTGCCATGGAAAGTCCAGATGTCGATGCAGGATTAGACTATATACCGAAGGAAGGGCCCGTTCCAAGCCGTTTTCCCAGATGGAGAGCTGGTAGATGCTGGTAGTTTGATTGTGGACTGCATGAGAAGCTTATGGCAGATTTCCATAGATTTCCGGCTACTCTCTAGCCAAAAACGGTAGGGAGCCGGCACCTCAATCAGTTCACTCTTAGATTCCAGGATTCCCGGAATTGCTAAGTGGAAACAGAGAACATTTTCAGAAAACCATGGTAGCTCCCATTTCTCAGGGGGTGAACTTGTGCAACCTCCAAAGCGTCTCCAAATTCAGAATAAATCCATGGAAAATTATCTGCTTCTCATTGAACAAATAAATAAATAGATAGATAAATGAATAAATAAATAAATACACTATATATGTAATGTATATATAATATATAATATATATATATAACATATAATATTTATATAATATTTCCATCTTAGTGTCTTAATACTAACCATCCAGGTGGTTGTTGGTAGTTAATCCCTCAGTGAAGCCATGGACCATCGCTGCTTCTCAAGACGCACAACTTCCCGCGTTTCACCCGACCTCGTCGCTCTCCTTGGGACTTCGCTAAGGGCGAGGTCCTTCGCCAAGGGGACCTGACGTGGCGGTGGTGGGCCGAAATGGCAGCCGGGCGCTGCGAGATGTGCGATTACGTTGGGTTCCATTAAAAATACCCAAGTGTTGGCTGTTTATATATATATATATGATATAAGATATATACATTATATATAATTATATATATATATATAGAGTCTATATATAGAGTCTATACTACGTAATTACCATTTACTCTCTGGTTATTGAATATAGCCATGGAAAACGGCCCCTTTATAGATGATAAACATTATGATTTACCTATAAAGAATTGTGATTTTCGACAGCTACGTTAAATAACCAGAGGATATACCAACTGACCCACAATAGACCATGATAGTATTTGTTTTGCATCTGTTCACAACCAATTGGTTTGTGGTCTAAATGGGAGATGTAGCTGGTTTTTTGGCCCCGAAAACATGAGGAAATGATAATAGATTCATAAACCACGGCTTAGAATCATTTGACGGGCCTGGGTTTCAAAGACAAACGTAGGGGATTTACCTTTGTTAACTTGTCTCCCTTTTTCTTGGAACAAACAATAAAAGTCAAATATCACCAAAAGATTTAGCTTTCCCACTCGTTTAGTTGATAAAGAGAGGTGGTAAATCCCGTTGAACAAGCAAAACAAGCACAGAACCAAACCACGAATGGCACCAAATCAATGGTTTTACTTCGATGTTTCTGCAATGTAGCTAAGTGGTTAGCAAGAGGTAGAATTAGCTTACAACTTATATTTATATATATATATATTGTAGCTTATAACTTATATAGTTTAAACCA